CGATGTGTCCCAATTCGCAGAATGGAGCAACTTGCCCTGGAAATCATGCAAGCCTTCAATGTCTGGCCATTTCCAATTGTTGAGAATTCCAACAGCACTGATAACTACCTCGGATTCAACACTGCCGACGTCATTTGTCCCATCAAGCTTGGTGGATTCTGTGTCAACAGTCCAGGTATTCGTGTTCTCATTCCACTCTGCTTTAGTGGCTCTCGTATTGTATTTTATCTTCTTGTCCACGCCATACTTGTGGGCGACACCCTGTACGTATTTCAGGATTTCTTGTCCGGAGGCAAAGAGCTTGGACCATTGCGTGTTAGGCTCAAACGAGTACTGGTAAACGTGGCTGGGAATGTCACACGCTACGCCGGGATAACGATTCTCGTACCAGGTGCCACCGGCCTGGGGGTTCTTCTCTATTATGGTGATCTGCGCTGCCGGGACATGCTGAAGAAGTCGTATATAAAGGGCGATGCCTGACAAGCCTGCACCAATGATTAACACACGTATGGGCCGGCCATCATCGACAGCGTAGCCTGCAGGCTTGAAGTCCGTCTCCACATGGCCATTCATTATTTAGGCGGTTTAACACTGAATAAGGCCAGCTCGAAGATGACTAAAGTGCAGAAGATCGGATATGTTTGAAAATTCCGATGATAAGAATGATAAGATTAATGATGCAACTCCATTCTACGAGATGAATGGCTCAATTCAATGCTAATAAAGGCATATCAGAGCACTAATCTCCTTGGGCGAACATCCTATCCTTGCTGCCTATCATGCCATAATTGCTTGTTGTTTATCGGCCGTAGGTGACCGACCCACAATGATCATGGCCGAAAATGGCCGAAATCGCGGCGAACCAGACTAGGACTCTTGTGTGTGTTATGTGCCCCCTTAGTAGCTCTTCTAGACTAGATGCTCTAGAACACTTCACAAATAATTCTGTAAGTATTGGAATTCGTACTTCAATTAAAGTCTTTGATGTCCAATGCCTTCCGCTAGTCATAGATCACTTCATCTAGGGTAGGCAGAGCAATTGCTTGTACATGACATCGATAATACTGGGTCTGAATCAGTCTTTCCACACAGGGCTTTCTTGGTCAGCTAAGATTCAAAGGATCATCATCTCCTGGCAATGATCTGTGCATGCTCGCGGCGACATGAGGCTGCAGGTAGAAGACTTTCTCGAGGCCAGCCTTCAATACACTGTCGAGACGTAGAAGCCCGAGTCGCATGTTGTGAAAGAGAACACTCTGCTCTCTTAATATGATAGTCCATCTCGAAAGTGTCAAAAGAACTTGCTTGGTGTCGCTCAATGTGGGAGCACAGATTAGCAACAACAAAAACGCATTGGACAGAGTAGCAAAGCAGGATCGTGCCCCTAGGACGAGGAAAGCTTTGGTCAGCTTTTTCAACACCTCGCATGATGCATAGAAACATGATTGAGGGGTACTCACATGCATAACAGAAACTGTTCATATCGTATGGCGTCAGCTTTTGAGTGAAAGTGATAGCTCGACCCATGAGGGCCATTGCGCCATGGAGACTTTGAACCATCTGCGGGTTCAATTCAGGCACCATCGAGGGCGTACTATTGTGATCATCGCTTTCACCAATTGTCTGCTCTGTCATTGACGCGGACAGCTCAGATCTCTGACGAGAGACTGATTCCAATACTGGTCTCAGGAGGGCGCGATAGACAAGCACTTCCAGTGTTAAGGAGGCTAACTTCAGATGCGAAGACGAGCCCGGGTGGAAGTAATCGCGGTTATCTGCGTCAGGAGCATGTTCCATTGACATGCGCGGCGGAAGCCTCGATCGCCACTCGTCGATCGCATCTAACAAGTCGCGACAGATGGGTACGCAGAGAGCAGTATTTGCAGCCAATTTTTTGACGGCAGAAACCGTAAAGAGCGAGTGATGTACGTCTTGTGCCAGCACAGCAAGCTGGGAGAGGAAGCGAAAGTCGTAGCCTGAATGACAGTATACACACGGCCTCTGAAAAGCTGGATCTTGTGCGGCTGTTGTTTCGTCAGGACAAAAGACGTGGTCGATGGTGAAGTCATCATCAATCAAGGGAGCCACCTCCCATTGGTCCTCAGAAATCGAGGTAGGAAGACCTTGTAAAAGGCTTCGCCAAGTCACTTCCGAGAAGACGCTCCACCAGACTCGACGCCTCAGTCGTTTTTCCCACGAAGGAATTGCCCAATCATTACAATCCACATGCAAACCAAGCCTCATAGCTATACTGACGGCAGAACCCAGGAGCGACCATTGGTCAGCTCGTTCACAGGACCAAGTGGAACCAGACGCATCATCAACAGGGCGTTGTAGGTAAATCAGGATTGCTTGCAAAAGAGATAATGAAGGTGATGACATGCTCTCCATGATGCCTGTGAATGCAAATTCCCACAACTGAACTGCAGGAAACTCCTCGTCACCTTGTGTAACGTTCCAGACTGGATCGTAGCGGCGGAAGGACTCTACCGAGGCGTAAATCGCGGCGAGCAAAAACGCCGGCAGTGCCTTTATCGCTTTAGTCGGGGGACACATAGTTTCCATCCGCACGTTCAACCGGCTCCGAGATAGCACGGGAAGACTAGGAAAGTTATATCTTAGGAATCTACAGTGCTGTGATTAGTAGCTGTGCAAGATACTCAAAAGAAAAACATTGAACAGGCAATACTTACAAGCCAACAAGCCGACTTCCTAGATCAGGCGAGATTATTTGAGCCAACTGACTGGATCCGTGGGACCTTGCGGCTTGAGCTTTGTCATGCGCACCAACAGTCTGCCTTGGAATGGTCACGAGAAATGGGTGTGAGAGCATACTCGAGCTGTCTCTGTCCAAAGGGTTATTGCCGCAATGATCATCATTCATGGCACTGTTGATACCGCCATTTTCACCACTTTTGTTGTTCATAGACACCATTCGATAGTTAAACCGGCCAAATTGAGCCGTGTTTTCAGGCGAAAGCAGCATCTGACAGATGAGATCGCCAGTCATTTCACTGGATGGGCCTAGGTACTGATACTCCGCTGATATCGGCCTATCAGACGTATCGAGAGGCCGATCATGAGCTTCTACACCAGACTCGGCTTGCTCTTTCGCATTCTCAAGAGTCAATCGGGAAGATTCCACTGACTGCGACCGTTGGCGCTGTTGGTCTTGCTGTTGTCGCTGGATCGATCGTCGAGTGGCCTGCCGAGCTACTCCAGTCACATATTGGCGGCGTTGCTCACGCATTGCCAGGATAGGATCTAGTGGCTGGAAGGGCGTGGTCTGGCCGAGAAGATCGGCTACCTGGTCATTGTCTGTGCCATGGTAGAACGCTTGGCTGTCCAGAAGGTATGATGCATTTCCAAAGTCCTGCAGCGGCATAAACCAGGGTTCATTGTGTGACGACTGAAAGGCCAAATCGTTAAGTGGATCGGCATGCGTACCACCAAGGACATTGAACAATGGAGGATTGAGTGTATCTCCTTGATGAAAAATGATGCCACTGCGATCAGGGCGAGCAGAGGTGATGCAATTATTCAAGGACCATCCAGGAGGGCCATTGCCGCCGTCATTGACGGTGTCATTGCCGTCACTAGACTCTTGTTCGCCAGTATCGCTTTCTGCGCCACCCTGCGAGACTTCGACGGTTCCAATGCCGGGCACGGCTGCAGTACGATGAATTAACGGAGTATCAAGAGAGGGAGGACTGGACGGTGATCTCGGCAGCATCACCTGTGTCATGCTGGCTCTAGGCTGCTGCCTTTCCTGTAAGCAAGAGATAGGGGTGGGCATAGACCCCCCGGCCACGGGGTTTTCGGACCTAACCCATCCGTTTGTGATGCCGGGACCACCGTCGCCAATGGACGGCTCATGAGACAACCGATTGACATCGGCCCGCGTCCGGCGTCGCTTCGTAGGAGGATCAATAAAAGTGCACTCGGTACCAAGCTCGTGGCACGTCCTACATGGAGGGCTCCCGTCAATAAGGCAGCCGTGCTTACGGCGTCGGCAGACGTCACACGGCCGATGGCGCTTGGACCTGTACGGCCGAGTTCGCGGTGGTAAGCCTGTTGCCATGGCTTACTTGTTGCTGTAGGCTGTGATTGCTCTTTTTACCCTGCGAATACAGTGTTGCAAACCCAGATATGGTCTTGTCTGCAAGAGCAAGAAAGAAGGCCGCCGGGCGAAGAGGCGGTCGCTCGGGAATGGAGACACAAAACGACCCCCCGTAACGGGTAACGGGGGGCCAACTTGACAATGATCCTTATCAGCCAATAAAATAGGTGCACTCGTCCCGATTTGTGCATCAAGTCTGCCGAAGATTACCTAAGGTGCCCGCCCATCGCCCCTTATTAGTCTACAATCTTCCCCCTGCAATGTATGTACATAGCTATTTTGCATAGCAAGAAGTAGATGAACATTGGTCATGATTCATTGCTCACACGCCGTTCTTCTCTCTGTCGAGCTCAATGCCAATGATCACATTTGCACATTTAAAGTCAAACTTCAAATCTCATAGTCTTTGACAGTTCAGATTGACACATAGATAAGCGTCCGCCGCCCTAATGAAACTGTGCCGTGGCCGACGTCGCCCGCCCGAGGCCGCAGTCCGCCGGACTCATTCAAATTAGCCTCATCGGGAATAAACCGCACAATGGCCTATCTAATGTGGTCCTTTGCCCAGGCTCGTCGCGTGCACATAGTCAAAAGGTACGTATTTTCCAAAGGTAGTCCCAAGTAGTGTGAATATCAAGACTAAGTCCGCGTCGTACAGTGCGTCCGTAGTCAAATTTCTGTTTATAGCCATGTCGACCCTATTCTGAGGCCTTGCTCCTCGTTTTGGTTCCACCTTCTCACCTTCAGCCTTTCTTCGACGTCCCTGGACTATTCGTGGGGTGCATGCGTTGAATGCAAAACACTCGAATTATATTAGTGTCTCACCTCCTTTGTCTCTCTTTTGCCTTGCTGTGCCCTTTTCTGTATCATCACGTCTGCGATGGAGTCTGAAACGGGGTCCAGTCATACTGGACCACCTCCGCCGAAAGAGAAGGCTGAACTCAGGACGTTTATGGCCAGTAACCAGAACATTCCGATCGAAGCCTCTGAGAGCGGCCAAGTCTACAACACGAAGTCCACAATTCTGCAAACGTGTCGAGCATGGATCCGTAAAGTCGGCGCCGAAGAATCAGGCATTGAGCGCGTACCTGAGGACGCACGCACTCAACAGAAGCCATGGACTCTTGCGCTTCTCTTCTTCACCGGCAATTTCAGCACTGCAACTCTTGCGCTGGGATACCTCGGCCCTACCGTGTTTGGATTGGGATGGTGGGATTCATTTCTCAGCATCCTCTTCTTCAACTTGATTGGTGCCATTTTCCCAGCAATGATCACACCTTTCGGCCACCGCCTCGGTCTTCGAACCCTAACAGTTCCGCGCTACTCTTTCGGATGGTATCCGGCGAAGATGATAGCGGTTCTCAACATCATCACGCAGATTGGGTGGTCTATCGTCAATGATCTGTCCGGCGCAGATATTTTACTCGACGTTGGCGGCGGCAAACTTCCATTAGCAGTCTGTGTACTCTTGATTGGCTTGGTCGCCGTCATAATCTCCATTTTTGGTTACAAATACATTCACGTCTATGAGCAATACTCGTGGATTCTGATGCTGTTATGTTTTACCATTCTGGCTGGCTTTGGCGCTCCGCACTTCATCAACGTTCCGATGGGGTCCGGCTCGACAGAGGCGGCATCAGTGCTGTCATTTGGCACCGCAATTATTGGTTACGAGATAGCGTGGGCTATGCTTGCTGCGGACTATAATGTATACATGGAGGCGAATAAGAGCAACTTGCAAGTCATGGGCTTTTCTTTCGGCGGCCTGTTTGTTGGGCAGTTTTTCGTCGAGCTTCTAGGAGCGGCCCTAGGCACGCTCGTCATGAGTCCCGACCAACGCTTCCAAGTGGCTTATGACAGGGCCGGGATTGGCGGCCTCATAGGCGAGTCTTTCTCTGGTCGTGGTGCTGGCGTGAGAGGCTTGGGCAAGTTCGTGGAAGCTGTCCTATCCTTCTCCACGTCTGCAACCATCTGCCTTGGGATGTACTCCACCGGTCTGAGTGCACAGCTTGTCTCTCGAAAGGCACTCAAAATCCCTCGACTGGTGTATACCCTTCTTGCAGGAGCCATCTTCCTGGTTTGTGCCATTGCAGGCCGTGACCACTTTGAAGCGGTCATGACCAACTTCCTCAACATGATCGCTTACTATATTGTTCCTGTAACTACCATCGTTCTCCTCGAACATTATATCTGGAGGCGAGGTTATGCCTATGATCTGGTATCGTGGAATGATAGAGGCAATCTTCCAAAAGGACTTGCTGCGACCACGGCATTTGTCGTCGGTACGGTCATAGCCTTGCTATGCATGGTTCAGGAATGGTGGACCGGTCCAATTGCCAAAGGAGTAGGAGGAAGTAACGGTGGGATTGATATCAGCTGGATTCTTGCTGCAGTAACATCTACTGTGCTCTACGTTCCGCTCAGATATCTGGAACGCAAGAAGTGGGGAATCTAGCATACATGGACAGAAGATTTCGCCGTCCAAGGAAATCGCATTGGCCACATTTTAGGCTAAGTGTATAAATGAATAGCTAGGAAAGTCCATCTAACATAGCACAGGTAGTACTTCCCGTATGGCAATCACATAAGGATGGGATCGACAGGTTTTCACTCCCTCCAACGGCTTTTTCCTAGCCTTTTATTTGCTAATTATCGAAGACCCCATCGCTGAAATCAATGGCCTGTACCTGCTGAGCAACTGTATCGCTCCATTTCACAAAATCAAGATGAACCGGATCCTCTAATGCGTAGTAATCTCGATCTTCAGCGCTGTCGAATTCAACCACAAAAACATGGGTGAACCCATTCTATTGCAGGGAAAAGCGGGAAACTTTCAGCACATGTGCAATTATAGCCTTTGCTGCTTTTCGGGGAAGGACTTTCAATCCCAATGATGAACTTACCTGAATGCCTTGCACAGAGTTATCTCGGCCCCCAGAGAAAGATCGTATGTATGGTTTATTGCTCGTAGGGTGGAGGCATGTAGACTTCAGCTCATACATCCTATCTATAAGCTCCTGCAAGGCATCGTTAGACCCAAAGCTCTTGAAACGCCACAACAAACGCTCATTGCTTGAGAGAAGCCTGATATACCTGAATTTGGACGGGGCTTGCCTCGGCCTTGAATTGGAACTGGACAATGTGTGTGATGGTCGTCATTCTTTCTGTATTGCTTGACTTGCAAGAGGGCAGATAGATGAAGAAAACACTAAGAAGGACTGTGACTGCGATCACAAGGCTAAAAGGGGCTTGCACCTTGGAGTCACTTAGACTAGTAAAGCGATGGGGAATCAGCAAACGGCCAAGGTTGGCCGACTTCGCCCGATGGCGATCGATGACAAGTCGCACTATGCCTAAAGCTAGAACCCGAATAAGGTAATTTAATTGGTTCATAGAATACTCAGACCAACCATTTCACTAGGGCGCAGATTGATCTATTCATCACAAGCCACGGTGCTAGATCTGAAGCCAGCCATACTCACCGAGAGCCGTCATACCTACAATATAGCCCGACAAGGTAATTAGATTTTTCAATGTGGAAAGAATAACATGAGCGAATTTGACAAGATTGCGCACGAGGCTACTCGGAATGGTGTCATACCTGGGCTCGTTGTCTTTGCTGACAACCGTGATGGTACGTTTTCTTTTCCTGTTGTTAATCCACGCTGAGGCACTCCCATTGATATTTCTAAACTAGGCACCCTAAATTACTCAGCCACTTTTCCAGGATCCTTCAATTCCTACCATGAAGATACAATACTTGAAATAGCATCACTCACCAAACTTCTCACTGCCATTGCTGCTTTGCAGCAAGTCGAGAAAGGACTCATCAACCTTGACCAAGAGGTGTCTGAATTTATCCCCAGCTTTAGCAGCCAGAAGGTCCTCTACCCTGATCCCTGTGACGAGGCAAGGTCAATAGAAAGGGATCGGAGCCAGCCTATCACTTTGGAAGGACTATTGACACATTCAGCGGGAGCAGGATATCCTTTTTCCGATCTCCGTCTAGCTGGCTACATGAGTGCACCTGGCAAGTACCCACAGGGCAGCGTAGACGCGGCATTCGATTTTCCTTTATCATATGAGCCTGGGATGTCATGGCTATATGGAAACTCCATGGACCGAGTGGGCCAAGTTCTTAGACGTATCACCGGCAAAGACCTCGAGCAACTCTTTGATGAGGGCATCTTCAAGCCGCTCGGAATTACCAAGGCGTCGTTCTGGAATCTGCCGCACCCTCCAATGGCCGTTCGAAACAGACCCGGTGATTGTGCTGTTCCAGATTCAACGGCTCACAGTTATACTAGGGGAAACACCGAGCCATTTGGTGGCCAAGGCCTTCTGATGAGCGTCAAAGATTACATGAAGGTGCTACGGTCCCTCTTGAGAGACGACGGTGTGCTTTTAAAGTCAGAGTCTGTGTGCCTGCTCTTTGAACCGCGACTTGGGCCTGAACCCCGTATTGGCCTACTAAAGCATCTTCAGAGCCCTGGGTGGGCTGTTGGCGATCTGCCACCTACTGGCGAATATGACTGGTCTATTGGAGGCCTTGTTATTGCGGGGGATAGCCACCCATACCGTCGTAGAGGGACGGTCTTGTGGAGTGGTGCTCCGAGTTGTTTCTGGGTAAGTTTTCTTGAAATATAGGTGCCCACCTAATTTAGCAGATCTTTAACACGTTTGAAAAGTTTCTTGATCGTGAAAGTGGAGTTTGCGCTGTGTTCGGCACCCAGGTTCTTCCTGCCTGCGACCCCGAAGTAAAGCCAATCATCACAGCATTTGAGAAAGAAGTTTATCAACGGGCTGCTCGTCTATGTTAGTAGCATTATGTAGCTATGATATGCAATCGATTTCATTATCATACTTTATTACCTCTAAAATATCAGGAAATTATCTCAACGCCGTAAAGTCGTGAGACTAAGATGATTTAAAGACATTTCTCGAAAGGTTAAAGTACCGTGAATTAGACCCCCAATAAAGATTAGCCATATGTTGATTTCATCCTTGACTGGGGGGCCATCAAAACGGCTTGTATGCTCATCTATTGACGATAGTATTTCAGAGCTTCATGAGGATATCACCAGCTGAACAGGAGTATTAGGTGCTGATGCACCTGGCGATATTGTAGTCCAGAATTGACAGGGCGCAACCTCGCAAATACCGTGCTCCATGAGCCTTCTTGGTTGATTGCTTATTTTTCGGCAGTAGCCTCGCGCACGCCAGCACTTGTTGAGGGTTTCATGGACGTGTATAAATAGCCCCCAGCTCAGCCACATCAGCTCGTGACCACGACATTACCAGAGCCTCTACTATTGGGTTGCACTTTTCAACCTGCATTTGACCCCACTCCAAAATCAACGCACATGCATGTTGCTGAGAGATTCTCTGCTAACGTCCAGTTTTCCACGATAGCAGCACAGATAAGATATAACGCACGAAATTCTATTGCACCTATCTTGAAGAGTTCAAAAGGGAGTATTATGCGACTCATCAACGCACGGACTTACGAACTGGAGTTCTTCGGCTCTTCCCACCGTACAACAGCATCGCCATTTGGGAAACCCCAGTCGCATTCATTCAATGTGGAATATGCCATCCTATCACATACTTGGTATCCAGCCAGTGAAGAAGTCCTTTACCAGGACATGGAAGACATTCAAAGAGCCAGAATGAAAGTGGGCTGGGAGAAAATCGAGCTGAGTTGCAATCAGGCTCTGAGAGACAATCTGAACTACGTCTGGGTTGATACTTGCTGCATAGACAAGTCGAGCAGCGCAGAACTGAGCGAGGCAATCAACTCCATGTATCAGTGGTACAAAAACTCAAAGGTATGCTATGCATACTTATCTGACGTTAGTGAACCTAAAGAACTGGAAAGAAGCCGGTGGTTCACTCGTGGTTGGACTCTTCAAGAGCTCCTCGCGCCATCCCGCGTAAGATTCTACTCTAATAAGTGGGAAAGTCTTGGTACTCGATATACCTTGAGCCGATCGATTAGTGATGTCACAGGAATAGATGAGGTATACCTCATGCAAGAGCGAGATGTCAGTCGGGCCAGTGTAGCACAACGGATGTCTTGGGCTGCAAAGCGCCAGACGACCCGGGTTGAAGATGTGGCCTATAGCCTCCTTGGAATCTTTAACATCAACATGCCGCTACTTTATGGAGAAGGCGAGAATGCGTTCATTCGCTTGCAACAAGAGATTATCCGTGTCAACGAAGATCAGTCAATATTTGCGTGGGATATTAGCACAGCAACCGAATGGCATGCCCCCAGTGCAAACTTGACAGGTGCCCTAGCTGCATCGCCTGACTGGTTCAAATACAGTGCCGATGTTGTGCCTTGCGAGCTGGGGGACACTTGGGATCCACCTACCGTGACGAGTCGAGGGTTGCACATGCAGTCGCAGATCATCTGTTTCGGTCGGAAGGAGAACGGGATATACTTCATTCTTCTCAAGTGCCGTCGGCGCAGCGATTTGTTCAACATTATAGCGATACCCATTGACCGTGCTGATAAATCGTCCCAAACAACTTACACAATGCATCGCAACGCCCGAAGGATGTTCCGTAGCGTACCAGTGGAGGAGTGGACAGAGCTGGTGCGGCAACCAAAGCCTGACAAGTGTTACATTGTGCCCCGATTGGAAGAGGTTGTATCATGGAGTTCATTCACGACGACGCCAAATTCAGGAATTGCTCTCCGCGACCTGCCTCTGGAATTTGTTGTTGGAGAGGTGTACCCGCGGCAATGCTGGATGAAAGAGGAGGGATTCTTCAACACAAGGGAGCCCTATCGCGGTAAATCAGACATATTTGTGCGCCTAGACTCTCCTCGCCTGCCATCGTTGTCCTTGGCTTTGAAATTTGTTATGGCACAATGGGATGAGAATCCCAGTTGTGGGAAGTTGGATACTGTGGTGATGTCACCTGTCTCCAAGTATTGCACGATGGCTGGCATTCAATCATCACACTGGCAGAGAAGCATCCAGGTGTACAAGCAGACAGTTTCGGCAGAATACACGTGGGCCAATGTCTTTGGAACCAGGATGTACGTTGTTCAAATCCAGTACAACAAAAGGAGCAGGGGATAGCATGGCTGTCTCCGGCAGTAAAATGTGTAAGTCCCGCGCTTGCTCCATTCGTAGATCGCTGGAGCGATGGGGATTGGACGTTGATGAAATCTGAGGGTGCCCAAGTATGTCGCCATTCACAGCGGCGTAATATTCTCAATCAGAATTGACAACCTTCCGTTCATTTCCTTACTGCTATTGCCATAAAATCTATTGTACAACGGGACTTCTCCAAAGATTCTGCAAAAACAATACCAGCCTAGCAGGACCTAACATTACAAATAATAAAGGCATCAATTTATTAGAGCCCATAGGAAGAGAGCTGTAATGACTTTCCTCGAGACCCATAGTCATGGTACCAGCATTGTCCTCATTATAGTCGGAGACTGCCGCCAGCCTCGTTCCTTCAATGAACCAGGACAGTCATCAAACCACACCACGACCAGCTTCTAAGCTCGGTCCGCGATTGTAGTTTGCAGCTGTGCTCGATGTCCTCTCACCCGCGAACTGGTCCGTCCTGTCACTCCGAGGAACGGCTGATTTTTCGTTTGAGCCTGGCCCTGCGGTGGGGTTGATTATGTTGGCAGCGGCAACCGAAGACGGCCCGGAATTGGGGAAGTCGTCAACTCCAGGGCTGACAGTCCCGCCATCTATAGCCTGGATAAACTTATAGAAGCCGGAAGCAATCGCAGCACCCAGAACAGGGCCGAGCCAGTATATCCAGTGGTAGCCAGGGAAGCCGGTGACGACGTCAGGGCCAAATGATCGAGCCGGATTGACACTGCCACCAGTGTAATATACACCCCTTGAGAGTTATTAGCTGCAAAGTGGTCAGACTCTTGTACATGTAATAGCTCACATCATCTCAATAATGAACAGCCCTAGTCCGATGCCGACAGGGGCAATAAAAGTAGCACGATGTTTCTCGGATGCCAACATGAAGATGACAAAGACCAGTTCGGCAGTGAGAAACATCTCGAGGAACAACCCTCTGACAACCGACATACCGTCGCTTAGTCTTGTGCCGACCTTGAGATCGCCAGGAAGTAGAGCTGAAACGAGGGCTGCAGCTGCAATGCTAGCCACGACCTGAGCAACAATGACCAAGCCCGTCCGTAACAAGGTATTCGATCCGGTCAACCACATGCCAACAGCAACGGCGGGGTTGAAGAGACCACCACCAATTCGGAAGAATGCCCAAACATTGACGGCGAGGGACAATCCGAATATGAGCGAGATGTAGAGCATCTTGGAGGCGGTGGCACCGGCTCCCTCCGGTTGCGGTGATTCTGGGGCAGAGTTGACAACATTGGTACCGCCGTAGGCGAAGAATAGGAAGAGAAAAGTGCCGACAAACTCGCTTATCACGGCGACTATATGGTTCTTGGTGTGAATTGAGGAAGACCCTAAGAGTGTGTTGCGTCGTGCTGGATGGGCTGGTCCATGGTTCGCGTTAGTCGGCGGGTTCTGAGGCAAGGAGGCCATCGCGGGGGCTCTAGGTGTGCACTAATAGGAACGTCGTTGAAGCTGTAGGTAAACGGAAGAAGTGCAGTAAGATTTGATTTGAAGAGCGAGAGGCAATAGGAGCTAGATTAATAGGTATCGATGTGGTCTAGGAATGGTGTCGAGAGGCAGTAGGTAGAGAAACGTTGCGGAGTTGAGGCAGACTTGGATGGAGGAACGAATGGAGATGAAATCTTGAACAGGGCGCTGATCACGGCCATGGCTGTCAACATTGGCAGAGCCGGAAAGAGCTGCGGAAAGGGGAAGGCGCAATTCCTGCCCGAGTGTATCTAGAGAAGGGAAGTCACGACTACGCGTGCATGCGTCGGATGTCACCATCACATCGAACCACCTCGAGCGTTCTTTCCAAATCAGCGCATTTACTGCCGCTTTTTGCAATGTACCAGTTCAAGTGTGGACGGGAGGCACGTATCTATCCCAAAGATGGCTGATGTGAAGAAGGAGGCTTCTCAGCGAGTGTCCCTCGTCATCACGGTGACAGCAGCACAGCTCACGAGTAGAAAGAGCACGTCCAGAAGAGCAGCAGAATCAGGAGAAACATTCTTCGCACTCTCTCTGCGATAAGAGGAGAGTTGTGTGCTAAAACCTGCGACTGAAATTGCAAGGTATGGCAATGCGTTGATTCACCAAAGTCTAGGATCTGGCATCTAAATTCTCTTAATCCTATCCTTTCGTACTGTCGAAACACCGAGGTCTTCTCGTGTTTCCATGAGCATGCGTGTGTTCATAGATCTTTTCTTGCATGTAGTTTGTCCTCGGTCACACATAAGTGGGTGGTTGTTAGGGACTAAGAGTCCTGTCTTGCTGAGTTATTTCAACTGTGGTCATGTTTAGACAACTCCAGCCATAATTTGACAGGCGGCCACTGAACTCAGTGAGCTTATCTCAATCCCATCCATAGTTGTTGAGTCATGGCTATACCGGTCGAGAAGGGTCAGTTATTTCACCCATAACAAGCGGATAGCATGACCTCATCGAACTCACGAATGTACGTAGAAATACCCTGTACGTAGAGATACCCAGTGATATTCCGGGACTTGAGTCTGTCGCCAGCAAGATTGGCGGGAACAACTGATGCCCAAGTGAAACTTCGACGATGTTTCGGCTAAGGGACGTCGTCATAAAGTTGCAGTCACACAGGCACGACAGCCATCAATGCCGTTCCTTGCATCTGCCGAGGTCATACCGAATACTCAGCGGGAATTCGCAGCTGTTGTTGTTTACCAAACGCGAGATAGTGGTCTGATAAGCCGATACACTGAAAGTGAGGCAGCTTGTCACTCTTCGTTCGGGTACCCAAATGTCCAACTCTCTAAATCAGCCTGACCATCTTGACTTTCGCCTCTCTAAGCCACAACGGCTCGGATTCTGTGCCTGTGCTGTCCACGACGTCCAGTACCTTGTCCTCCTCGTCTACGTATACAATGTGTGGGACAAGGCTGCCGCCAGCCTCGGTACCGCGTCCATTCCTAAATCTGAGAAGACCGACCCTTTCGAAGCAATCTTCATGAGGCTTGAGTAGAAGAATACCGAGCGCCTTATTACTCGTTTGCTTTCCAAGAACGAGACCTAGCAATTCACCGTCAACTGGTGCGTCGTTATCCATATAAGCATATATGTATGCCCAAACGCCCTCCCCTATTGCCAACTTGGCGTGGAGGCCATCAATGAACCTCACACTATCTGTCCGACATTCCTGGCTGAACGAGTCGTTCAGATCACCCCATCCCCTGGGCCCAAGGCTGATAGGTATCGTTTTGCCAGTGATGAGCAACTCCATCGTCGGTGTTATATCTTTGGCGTATGCTGGTGAATTGATACGCTCCACATAGCTAGCAAGAGACAACAGATCCTCCCCAAGGAGAACCTCGACAGTGCAATCCCGGCAAACGTAAGTGTCCGGGTCATTCATACGGACAGTTCCCTTCCAGCCGGTCCATGACCAGCTCGGAAAGTCACGTCTTCTTTCTGCGCGGTTGACATGGTACCATCCAAGCGGAAGAAGTGTGCTATCTGGGCTTGGAGATACCTTGATAGGCAAGCCATGGAGATGATAAAACAACCTGTAGCGACCCTCCTCCCCGGCTAGTTCTCTCTTAACAGCCTGCGTGGACTCGAAAATACTCAAAATTGCATTGAGAGCATCAGAATCGTGTGTCAACTTTCGGTTGCTGTATTCCGTTATGTGCGTCTTGATTTCCTGGTAGTCCGTCAAGTTGCCCAGATCCATGTATCTCTTTCTCATAGGATTGGCGGTTTTTGGAATAAATCCCTGAAAAGGATTGTCTTCCGTCCCGATAAGGGATTCAGGTGGCATTTCTGCACTCTCACAATTGTGCCAGGCATTGCAAACCCATGCTACCTGGTCATCCGTGAAAATGAGGCGGCGTCTTGATAGGATGCTCTCCTGGTACGTCCACCCCCGTGAGGCCCAGGTTGATGAACGTAACGCGAAGGATGTATGAGGAGGTATATATGTTAGCTTAACCGTACCGATGTCTGTCGTTGCATGCCTCCTTCGAGCTGTCATTCCCACTCCTGGAAGGCCGTGGCTGGCGGCAGACCCGGCGGCGGCTACAATGGTCAGCTCTGCTTGGGAGTAGATCAGATCCATGCGAGCAATCTGCTCCTGCTTGTCGGGGCTGTCCTGATCAATGCACTTTCGACATGTTAGCATGTACGTAGAAAAAAGATCATAACTCCCTACATGCTTGTCAACCCATAGGTATTGAAACCCCAATGACGAGGTGACTAATATGCTATCCTCGACTACAGGCGCAAACCCCTGCTCGAGCTCTGTATCCCGCGGAGTAGATCCCCAAACGTAGGACAGAGCCACATATTTACACCTTGCAGGTGCCAGGATGACCGTCTTCGTCTGACAATCGATGACTCGTAGATGCCGGGGGAAGGGCCCTTTTGGCCGTGAACAAGTCTTCTCATGCCGATGCTTACAGCCACTCATCCATTGCTTGATCAGAGAATAGTTTATCTTCCGTGGAAGAATTTCACGCGCTCCACAATTGACGATCTCTTCGTCTGTATTTCCAAGCACAAGACACCCGGTCTGGTGCCAACCTCTTCTGTACTGAAAAGATGTCTGCGCACTATTCGTGTAGATGACTGTGCACTCCGGCACATTACCACTTGGTGGCAACGGACCCCTAGGCGTGGTCTTCTTGAGATAAGCGAACGATATCCGCGAAGAGAAGGCCTTGAGCTGACAGGGCTCCAGGTCTCGAGTTTTGGGCATAATGAGCGCTAGTATCTTGCAGACGCGGCATTTCGAATGCTGCGAGCCATCTTTTAGGGGGTCTATGCAGGGTATCACATGCCCTGCGCGCGAGAGTGGTGCTTCTTGTGCCAGTTGGTTCCAGTTGATGCCGCTACAACGATCGCAGAGGCCATCATCGGTAGTCTTGAGCGGGAGCACCGCACGTTTCTGTGGCTTGTCGGAAACGGGCTCGTTCAACTCCCGCTTCCTGGACGGATTCATGATTGAGCGCTATGTAGCTGCGTTCGCCGGTATAGAGCGAGATCATTGTGCAATTGATTGTGTTCTTGTTTCAGCTGGGAGAAGCTCCATCGAAGTCAAGACGGAAAGGCAAAATTGTGTCAGTCGCATTAGAATGCCTTATCTCCTCACGGTGGACTAGAATCAGTAGGCGTTCTGATGAGGCTTATTTTGGCCTTGGTTTCCAGGACTGCGGGGGAAGCTCTAGTGGATCCGGGAGCCCGGGACGCGCCGGATTCCAACCCGAAAGTCCAGTTCATTAGCGCTGTGCAGCCTTTTCAATTCCTTGGACATCCGACCTAATTCATCGATTGTCAATGAACATCACTTACGCGGCTGATAATTGATATACCGCCTCATATGATTCCCTCACGTCTTGGCCAAACATTTCGATTCCCGACGCAGCTTCTGTTAGCGAAAACAATCACGCTTTCCACATGTGGTCGAGCCTTTCACAACGCAAAGGCCAACCTCATCACTCTCGATGATCATGGCTCAAGCATAGCGCGGGAAATTGACATCTTTATCGGAGATCCTCACGAGGCATATGTGATGATAGACAAGAATGTTGGGGATGCCTTCAAATCATCTGTGATCCAGCAGACTGGATTATCCAAGACGGCGGAAACTGACACGATGCCTCTGACTTTTCATCACAAGACTCGGCATTTTGCACCTAGTAAGCAAATACCTTTGTACCCTGGCGGACCAATAAATTGACATCAGATTGGATGGTCTGGAATATCCTCGAATTGCTATTCGAAATGATCTTCCATGTGTGAGCGGCCGGAATGCAAGTCCTGGAACACTCTGGCTTGGGGGCTCAACGCTTTCTATCACTTTGGACGGCACATCTGACTGTAAGTTTTCTGAACCAATTGCAACTTGGAATGCGCTGACGGGAGACCCAGATCATTTTGCAGAGTCGTGTCAAGAGAGCCATATGAGGTTGAAAGGAGCAGCAGAACTCCTCAAAGATATGTGACACTAAGTCACGGTGTTGGAGCTCTCTATGTCTGTATATTATCTATGGGGGGAGAAGCGTTTGGTTCCTTTAGTGTAAGATATCTCTGGCAGCGGTTGCGGCAATCTACTAGTACATGAGTGAGTAGAGATGTATGTGGAAACGCACGACTCTACCATCTGATACCCCCTTCAACTCGTCAATATCTCAAGATACAGATATTCTGATTCATCTATGCTTTGCTGTGTGACCGTTACTTGACGAGGTCAGCGGGTAAGCGATGCTCTCGTAGAACTTTCCCAGATCCTCAGCCGTCCACTCCCTGGTCGCCACAGATACGTGGGCATCGGCGAGAGCCTGATCAAAAGCCTCGCTGCTCTTGAACATGGCATTCTTCTGTAAGCGATACCCATTCTCTTTCAGGAACATGTCTGCTGCAAACAGAGCAGTCCGCTTGTTGCCATCTTGATATGTGTGGTCCAGAATGATCTTCTCGGCTAGCACAGCCGCCAATTGGAACGGATCTCTTTGCCCGTAATGCTCATGGTTCACTGGTGAGTCGATTGCTGAGTTGAAGAGCGTCGGCTGAGTTGGCAAGGCCTTTGCAATGTGATGGAGGTGAAGCCTCTTGACTCGGGCGGCTGTGAGGAAACGGACGGGGACAGATGCAGACATGACGCGCTTTCCAGCCTCTACAGCCGCATTGCTCTGGAGAGAATGACCGCTGCCGTTAGGCCGAACAACCGCACAGCACTCCTGCTCTCTTTCTCTATCCCAGCATTCTCCACTAGCCAGCGAACGGGATGTGGTCAGAGCCGAAATACAGAACACGCACAGCCATCAGCGATCGGCAGTCTCTTGAGATAGCGGCACCTATTTTAACCGTGTCGGTGGGGGTTCAGAGGGGGCAACCAAGGGACCCTGGCCAAGCTGCACGGGCGGTTTTGCGTCATCCCGCGCTGGGGGCCACTAAACAATAGAGCCCATTTCCCTGATCTGGGCCAACCCTGCAGGGCTCGCTTATGCTGGTGTGTTCCTTCAACGCGCCCGGATCTTGAATTGTCGCCTCACCACCAGCCTGTGAGACCTGTGATGCATGATTCGAACCTCACAATGGGGGCTACATGACCGCCAAAACAGGACTGGCGTTTGCCACCTCCGGGGAAGCCTTGAAACCCCTGATGGGACATCTTTCCTCTTCCAGCTGTGATGGTCAGGGCTCTGACCTCAGAGCGGTTAGGCCAGTCCCAGTGCCGGACACTGACCTTGAATGAGAGCCTCAAGCCTGCTCGAAAACATGGCACCGGGTGCTGATCGCTGGTGAATCGCAGCTTCGGCTTTTCTGGAAGAATGTTTCCATGGCATCTCATTGGAACCGTGGCTGCACCGGTCATACGGCACAGCATCGATAGAGGCATGGACCCCGGAATGGCCGTTACGGCGACGAGGCACGATGAGGTCAGTCTTCGTATCGACTTTCACCGAGGGTGAACTATGATGCCGTTGTCAGGCAGGAAGAGAATGCAAGTCTGAGAATGAGGTCAGACTGGAGCATCTCAAGAGAGAGTGTGCTGACGGCTCAAGTATAAGACTGCCCAAGATGTCTCCTTAATCTATTCAAACTTCATTCTTCAGCAACAGCTTCCAACAATAACAGCATCAATCATCACATCCACCTCTTCTTCTTCTAATACATAATAATACTTAATTACTTCCCAGCCTCTCGCTGCAATAAACCACATAAACAATGGACTCCTACGGAAGCAACTCCTACTCCAACGACAACATGTCCTCCGGCATGGGCAGCGGCCGAGACTCCTACGGCTCAAACAACAACAGCAGCGACTACTCCTCGTCCCGCAACGAGGGGAGCTACGGCCGCTCGGGCGGCAACGACAGCGAGTACGGCTCCAACTCCAACTCCGGCATGAACTCCGGCTTCGGATCCGGCCGCCGCGACCGCGATGAGGACAGCGGCAGCTTTGGCGGCTCCGGCCGAGACAGCTACGGCAGCAACGACAACAATTCGTCGGGCTTTGGCGGCTCCACGGGCAACAGCTTCGGCTCCTCGGAGCGCAAGGAGCGCTCGTCCGAGTACGGAAACAAGAACTCGGGCAGCTACGAGAACGACTCGGGCTTCAGCTCTCGACGAGGTGAGCTTCTACCACCAGTGACAAGTGACAGCACGAGCTCGAACTAACCCAAGACCAGAGAATAACAGCTTCGGCTCCTCCAACAACAACGAGTATGGCTCCGGCAACAGCGGCTTCGGCAGCGGCGAGCACAAGAAGGAGAGCTTCACTGACAAAGTGATTGACGGCGCCGCCAAAGTGGCCAAGGACAAGTGGTAAACATAGTGTCGCTGGAATAATGCACACTTACACGCTTGTAGGCTCACCCGAAGCTGAAGCTGCTGTGAGTTTGGAGCAGCGGTGTCCACTCCTTTTTTGACCTTCTGGGGATCATGTATTATATGCCTTACACTTTCTGTAATGTCTAGATAGAAGATAGGGGAGTCGAGTGGACTACTGCCGTTCCTTTGAACTTAGTTAACGAACTGTAAACTCTCAAATTGAACTGCCCCGATATGCACGTGTCCCTTGAGAAAGCCGCAGAAGTAAGTAGACTCTTTTGTGAGTTAGTGGTTATTTGATTGATTTTTGTGTTCCTCGGTCTATCTTATCCATTGGCACCTCTGGAAGATGTCGCATTGTTAATTACAACCAAAAAGTGACCTGCCTCCGTTGGCAAAGCCGCCATATCTAAACCTTCCCGCCATGCAAAAATATCGTATTCCCCCTGATGATTTTGTTTGTAGACAAAGGAAAATGGGGTTCGAGCGAACTGACCAAAGAGTTGAACCACAATGGGTTGATATGTACACATACAATTATAGACAAACAATGCTCCTGTCATGCTCATACTCGTGATGGTATCTTATTGTCGTACATGCCCAGCCGGTTGTGGTAGCGATTCGAGCAAGGAGAAGATATTCCTGCAACAGGAAATGTTCAAGGTTTCTTCTCTTTCTTGTCGGCATCATCGTCCTTGGCCGGCTCCGTCTCGGGCTCTTTCTTGCCCTCCCGATACTTCTGCCACTTCTCGCCCAAGTAGCGCCATGTGCGCCCAAAGCCAGCCGTCAGGCCAGACTTCAGGCTCTGGGTGGTGCTGGGCCAATTGATGGTCTGCTTGATGACAGTCCTCACATAGCTGCGCAGCTGTTCGGGCTCGTCCTGCGCAATGCGCTGCTCAAAGCCACCTCCTTGACGACGCTTGAAGCTTGTCGAGTCTTCTGTCTGGCTTGCCTCCATCATAGCATCAAACTCGATCTGCGGGATCGCGAACTTTTTTTGATATTGGAAGTATAGGCGTGAGCGGAAGGCCTTGGGCAACCGGCGCACCATGTTACCTCGCTTGACCGGGTCCATGTCCTGACGCATATGCAGGTTGGACTCTGGGTTGGATAGCCAGTCGCGGCTCTTGCAGGCCGGGTCATCGAACTCAACGTTAGGGAGCGTCTCGATCAGCGGCGCGTACAGTCGGCGGAAGTTCGGGAGGTTGTTGCCCACAATGTTCGCAACCTTGCGCGGATTCTCGGTGGGGAAGCTCATCCGCGGATCGCCGAGGTAGCTAATCCCTGCGATGGTGGCGTACAGGTCTTGTTCGGAGAACTCGGGTGGCAGAAGGAGGAGTGCCGTCCGAAGCGCAGAGAGAAGATTCATCTGATTGGCGAGACGTACACGCGCATCGTCGCGTAGGATCTTCACGGGCTTGTGTAACCGACCAGCAAGATACAGCGTGTCCCACTCGCTGAGATCCTTGCATAGAGTGTCGAGGTTGACGACGCCATACTTGATCAGAATGCCATTGACTATCACATACGGGTTGAAGTAGACACCCGCTCCCCACCTGTCCTGAACGTGTGACACTGCGCCAGACCCTAAGCTGCCGAGCCAGCTGTAATGATCACGATGCTGATTCAGGTTCAAGCTGTGCCAGTGCTGAGTGAAGGTGACACCGAAGATGAAGTCAATCATCTTGGGGGTGCCATCCTGAGCACGTTGAACGGCGAGCGGTGCCTTTGGATGTATCCTGCGTAACTCTTCGTCTGTTGGGGTTCGACCGCTGGCCTTGGACTGTGGGAAGACACCGGAACCATAAGCAAAGGCGTAGCGAATTGGCGCCCGGAACTGCCACAGTATCTGACGCAATGCCTCCTTGAACTCGTCATTGATTATCATGTGTTGGTTTATACCAAAGTTGGAGTGCGGTAGCTCGGAGAAGGTTGAGATGTTGAAATTTGGGTTTTCTTCCCAGTCCTCGTCAGTGGGGTTGGATGCGGGTGAATACGCAGACTTCGGCGACGACGAAGGCGAGCTGGAAGCTTCGGAGGTCACTTCGCTCGACGAGGACGAGGCCGCCGTTGCGCTGGAGGTTGCTGAGTCGGACACATGCTCCTTAGCTGCGCTTTCCTTCGCGTTCTCGGACTCGGACCCGGGGCTGTTCTTCTCCCCTTTGCTCTTTTCATCTGCGAGAAGATAGGTGGAGCTGCCGAAGTGTCGTCGGATCACCGGAATGGGATAGGCCGGATAGCCAGCCTGCCTTAGACGCAATCGGGAGGTCAATCGAGACTGTGAGCGCAATGGCTGTGCGACCTGCAACGACGATACAACGGGTCAGCATTCGCGGTAGGAGCTATGACGTCGAAAGGAACCCCGGGAACATGAAGCTTACCAGGAGCCGCACCGAGGCAATTGGCGGGTGCATCGTAGGAGGGTGAAGGAGTGTGTGATGAGCAGATGCAAATGAGGGAGCATGAAAGAGGCGGAAGGTGGTGGCGGGCGGCAGCCAGTGCTGCAGGATATCACCGTGGAGGTTTGCCCATAAGACTTTGAGGATGTTGACAAGTTGAAGAGCGCAGGTCCCGCGCAGAAACAACGGGGAAGCTCAAGAAGAAGCTAATTAGTCTACCGCACTAACTAAACCCTGCCGCCCATCCATCACACCTGCTGCCCTAAAGCACGGACCAGGTGACGCCTTATTGTGGAGGTGGCAGCATTCCACGCCAATCAATCTGTTTCGTTTCATCGGCAAAATCCAATAGACTTGAACTAGAATCTCTACCTCGTCAATAGATACACCAACACCTCGTAAGACTTGATCTGCGGTATTATTATCTGCCTGGTCCTATGAAACAAGTATCCTCAAGCCTATACTAGATGTCGCCAAGTCTAATAGACATTGGATCTACGGGGCTGTTTTAGCGAAGTGAACTGCTATGTAAAGGAGAGGCGATCACTAAACAAGCAAGGTTGTAGGTCAAATCAACGAGCGAATGTGTCAGTACTCAAAATATGGATAGGGTGCCCTCTGGGTCTAGGTATTGTCTCCTCCTTAGCTGTCTCCAACGTATCCGCTCTTGCGCGGATCGTCAACCTATCCGGGCAGCTTGCTTACACACAAAGTCATTTGTCATCAACCATATATAATGTCAAGATTTCTGACCTCGAGGGAATTCGTCAAATATAGTTTGTGTTAGTTCCGCGTATCTGGTTGTCACACCTTTCTGAACGATCTATAGTGCTAAACTGATAGCTGACCGAGATCTGACACTTACTCTTGCGAATTGGCTAGCCCGCTATGCTCATTTGGTGACATTTTGCAAGCATTACGCCAGGGACTGGCCAAAGCTGCTAGCCTTCAGAAGAATAAGGCTCGGCCCTGTTGGTGGTCTATTCAGAATTTCCCATCCTAAGTTAGCAGGTTATGTTATCGCTTTGTTAGTCACCAGCAACTGTTCGAGCCTGAGGAAATGAACAATAGGGACCGAGAGAGAAGCAACCACGGCACCAATGACTAGCTCATGTACGGCCGAGACGTAAAGGAACTTCCAATCAGGATAAAGCCAATCAATCTCCTAGGTGTGTGACAACTATCTCGCTAGCCACCGCTAGCCACCGGTGCTGCTCATATGGTGTATGTCTAGTGTTCTCAACCACTTACCAATAAAGTAAAGACGTGTAACTCCAGAAGAGGTTGGTGTCGCCAAGCGTACGTTCTATAGGGCCACGTATAGCATGATGATTTTCAGCCTGCAAATCTGAAGACTGGGTAGGCTTGGCTAGCGTACGACTCTTGCAGGTCTTTCAGCCCCAGGACACCTCGTACGTGCAAGTGTTTCAAGAATGGTAGGGCCACGGTCCGGTTCATCCTCCCACCATCAGTTACAAGGAGACCTGTTACCCGTCATGTCGGCCGCATAAACCGATACCACCAAATACGATTACATGGGTATCAGCCGGCCGTAAATTGTCAGTGCTAAGTATAGAGATGTACATGTAAGTCTCATATTATAGGCAAGTCAAATCACATGAAAAGGCTTAGATAGGCGGACTCAAAGAGAAGGGATTTGGTGGTCCCGACCTATAGCAGCTATGGGCCTGACTGGGGAAAGGGATCATTTTGACCCGAGACACCATGCCAGGACAACAGACGGAATATCCCACGATAGGCTAGTTTTGTGAATAGAGGCAAAGTGCATCCTTGGCTGCGGATCTTTGTAATGGAAATAGTAAATAAGACCAGCACACAAACAGAACATAATAAGGTGGATAAGGCCAGTAGGAAGGACCTTCATTCTCTAAAGTGACCAGATTTAAGTGAAGAATCGAAATCAAGATGCCCAACCTTTCATTGACTGAAACCCGATAGCACCATCCGTCAGCTTCATCCCCACGGTTCCACAAGGAGAAATAATTCTATCATGTTCATGTACCAATATTAACGTGGAATTAGACTCCCAAGATATCTATGAGGAAAGACGCAGTTCATAGTTTAGGACAATTGTACCGCCGCTTCATTCTTTTCCTGATTGTTGATTCTAAGAGGCAGGATGAGAGGCAGGAGATAATGGAAGTTCAAGAGCCAGCACGGTATCGTGAATGACCCCATTACACAGAGGAGGTGCTACCGAGAGCAGCCCTACTCAACGAAAGATATCCCGTAACCAGTGCGTCTTCGTGGTTATCCCAAAAGTCAACTTAGTCAGGACATTTACCTTGCTTCACGACATAGAAGTGGTCTATAGCCGTGATGAATGCGTAGAAGTGAACTGTCAGTCCAATTGCCATCCCGACGTGGAATATCTGATGCGAATGGCCCCATATGTCAAACGCTCCGGGTTTCCACGACTCTGTCAGTCGCACCTGTTTCATCATAACCACAAAACATTAGCAAGGTCCAGACTTTCTTGAGCCAGCAGGTGTTTGATGCAGCAAGAGAGGCTCAAAGACACTTACCGCGTAGATAGTCACTGAGCATAGATAGATGAGAATGGTCAAGGCGTAGTATGAAGCTCCGTACTCAGCGTCAGCACGCGCCCAGCCAACTTGAAAGACCTTGATGATGATCGGGTAGAATGCAGAAGATGCCATGATGGAAAAGACAGTTCCACGTAGTGGTCGCATCTTGGGGGCCTGGAAGGATCTGTTGAAGAGGGCGAGCATGGCGGCGAGAAACTGAGCGATAAGGTCGACCTGCCCCGGATTGATCAGCTATCTAAGCTAGCTTGTTCGCCCACTCTAATATTTTGGAAGAAAGAAGACAAGTCCTAGATGAGATAAGAGTAGGTACTCACGGTAATCCAAGTAAATTTTGTTTCACGCGGAGCACAAGGGAAAGTATACCAGAGCCCTGGTGGGAAGCACCCAGCGGTGACAGTGAGGATGCCTACGAAGTCGAGCTTGAGGCAGAAGAGATGCGTACTATGTGAGTGATTGGACAGGACATGATAGGTTGTCGAAAGAAGATAGCAGACCGTCCCACCTAGGAAGAATAGGGAAAAAACAATTTCGTCGTCAGAGTTGGTAGCTGGGTACTGGTTTTTAATGTGAAAACTCCACCATGTGCCCAGCGCGATCATCCAGATGGCCGCGAAGAGATGGGTATATATGTTGCCAGTTTCGTTGTGGATGTACACCATGCTCTTGATAGATTCCCAGTACGAATTCGTTTCGGGCTTCCACCCAGAGAGAATGTGTTCGTTGTCCTGCGCCCATGCTGGCAGCTCGTCGTAGAGAAGGAGTGCTCGCGTCTTGGCTTTTTGCAGCAAAGTGGCGTCGTCCAAAACGTCGGGATTGGGTTGTTCAGCGATGCCGTCAACTTCAGTGGCTGGTGTCGACACTCTTCGTCTTGTTTGAGATTCCATGATAAGCTAAAGATGATGCTTAGGATCGGGAATATGTGCGAGTATGTGCTGCGAGCCTGCTAAAGTCACGTATTTGTAGGTAGTAAGCAGGTATAGGACGGTGATGTGCGGGCGGGATTGGTTGTTGCTGATCCGCACTGCTGACGTATTGTAGATGATGAGATCTGGGTAGCAGTAGAATAGGTTGCTGCGGGATGTGCAGAAAAGGACGGGACGGAAGTTTTACCTTATTATAAGCTTAGTAAATATCAAGATATAGAAGTTAGAGGCAGAAAAGTGGCTTACTTTTCTATCATGAGTCATCAGCTTGTTTAGATCTACTAAATCTTGTATATATATAACTTTAGAAGATAGTTAATAAGCTATATAAAAGACAATTAAAGGTAAGAAAGTGGATATCTAAAATATTAGAGTATCTAGAAACGAACCTCTATAAACTATAAGGTTTGATTCTATTTTTGACTTTATATCAACCTAGGTAGGATAGTAGATTAAGGCTCCCAAACAACACCATAGTCAACACACCAAGCATACCCACCATGCACCCGCTACAAACCCGCTACATAGGTTAAAGCAGCAGCAGCATCGGCCTACTTACGAAGAAAGAAGTGGGCGAGGGCAAGATTCGGGGAGCATTTTACTCTACATCAGAGAGCACACAGATAATCAACCTTTTTCAAGTTATCAGCTTGTAGAGTTAAGAGTGTGCCTGAGGCTTTATCATCGATCATTGAGTGATTTTTGACCCCAGTCTGTATTCAGGCATTTAAGAGACGTGGTCCAATCTGTTTGAAAGAAGGAAAAATGGAGATGCTTTTTAAATCTGAAGATCCCCCCGATTGCTATCACTCAGTCCGTAATCCTTATCCGCCGTTGCCTCTGGGTAGACACGACTCCCCCCCCATTCCGGCATTTCATTGCCTGACTGAGGGATTGACACACTCTGAGCTGAGACTCCCACAGTGAGGGCAAGGTGGTCGGTCAGTGGCACGTTGACCGTATCCTGAAATGTGAGTTAGCTTGCTTTGGTATGATTGTACGGTAGTTTCGATAAAAAGCTCACTTTAACAGCTCTCCACGACAACTCCTTCTGTAGGAACGCAACAACAGCATCCTCATTCTCAACATCCACGCCCCGCTTTTCCAAGGCTTCGTTCAACGGCACTGTTCCTGTAACGAGGATGCCACTTGCTTCCTGAGAAGCACAGTTCTCACAATGTTTCTTGGAACGGTTGGAGAGCATGGTGACCGTTCCGACACGGTTCTCGGAGAGGAACCATTCCTCAGTTGCGTCCGGCAGCTCGCCGAGGAAGATGTGCACCGCCCAAGTGCCCGTGAGAGCAAAGTTCTTCACTCTCAGGAAGACTTGCCAGTGGCGGACGCTTTCTTGGGGGTTGGCGCCAACGCCAGCGGGAATGTTCTCAGCCGGGGGTTGAGCTTTAAACCCACCCTTACTGTCGCGAAGTGCAGGAGGAAGGAGGTTCGCCGGCGCATACAGTTCGTAAATTTTCTGAGTAGTGTATGCCTTCATCTGGACCGGATCCTGGATGTATTCCAATGGTGTCTCCGGGTAATAGTAGCCGCCGAGGAAAGTACTCGTGAGCTCCTTGGTGTCATTGGCAATGTAGTAGTCAGACACCGAGTGCTGAGCGGTTTTGTGCCACGGCTCGAGGTTGGACTGCCCGCCTTCGACTGTTCCCTCTTTGGCAACGTAGCGGTCGTTCAAGGAGGGCCACTCATTGATTATGCAGTCAGGATTGAGCGCCTGCCAGAGAGCTGTGATCCTATCGCAGTTGACGTGATGAAGCCAGAATACTGGGTCGAATGAGCTGGCCTGTACATCGGTCATATTCCCAGTAAGCTTGGTATTGTTGTCGTACAGAACCGTGTCGTTCGTGCCGGTGTAGTTGTGGATGTTGTTATGCATTCCCTCCACAGAGTTGTATGCTTGAGGTCCTTCATTGTGTCTCCAGGCCTGACAAGTGAACTGATCAAAGTCATTGATTGCGGTGAGTGCCTGAAACGTCTGCAACTTGAACGCGTGGAAGGTTCCCACTTGCACATTGGCTATTTCCTGGTTGCTCTTCCCATCGGCATCCGGGCAGCGCTTGGACTCCTGCCAGGCGTCTGTAGTGTCCCAGTTCAACTCCTTCTGCAAGAGATCTATGGCATACTGAGAAGTGAACTTGTACGAGTATAAGGGATTGTGGTCGAGATACAGAGTATCTTGGCTTCCGGACGAGGTGCCCGGAATCGTGAGCGTGATGTCCGGGGACATCACAACAGGTGGAAGATGGGGGTCGCTGGCCCAATCCCAGTAGCTATTAGACATGTTAATGAAGTGGAAGCATCCGAGAAGCGGAGAACTTACGGGAGTCGAACGTATGGCAAAGCCTGCTGGTAAGCCTCAGCGGCGGATCCAGTCGCATTGTTTGCGATTTCTTGAGCATACGCATAGATGATTTGCTTCTAAAGTCAACATCTCTGATCTCCTAACAAGTTACCTGGGAATTACCTCATAAAGCATAAGGTACGGCCTATGCCAAGGCATAAACAAAACACTTCGATGAGTACAATATCCAACGCCTTGTACAGTGCCTTGAGTGGGATCTTGTTGCCATGGAATATATGGAACACCGTGAACACCTAAAAAGCATGAGTAACTCTCTGTTCAAGATTGGATAGGATAGGTTTCACTTGCCCGTGATCTGGAAGTAGCTTGTGCCGTTGACATTGTCTTTATCAAAATCTTCACTGCCATTGCGTTGCCAGGCAGCGAGCGCTTGTACATATAGAGCAAAGGCAAATGGGTAGTTCTTCTGAAACACGTCGACAGGAAGGCGCTGACTTGGCTTTCCTCCTTCGGTTTCAGCACCCACGATAGGTGTTGGGGAAGGAATTGTAGGTGCCATGCTGAGTGGTCTTCAGGAGAAAAGTGTGTCAGATTTTAGGATCAAGCTGAAGAGCTGAGAACTTTGTTCACCAAGCAATTCAAACCCAGCAAGTTGATCCCGTTGATATACTCTATATCCTCACTAAGTGTAATGCTTCAGCTCTAACTCCGCTGACATTGCTGGGTGATACCACCACACCGCACTCCAACGCACATTACTTCCCCCTCTTCAGCTCAGCCAAAGCCAGCCATCTTTCCGTAGCTTCATGTAACCAACATACCGGTCCCGCCGTGTCTCATGAACACTGCCAACCGGAGGACTCAACGGCAGCCACATAAGCAACACAGATTGAATGGCACGGGCCTAGATGAACGTGGAATGTCTCAGAGCTTAGCTTCTCCGCTACAGGGCTGAACCGGTAAGCCGTTTCCGGAACAGGAGCGTGGATCGTGGGAGTAGCTTGCAGTGCATTTCTCATGTATTCAGAAAGTCTACCCGAGGATCGCCTCCGTGGTACATGATCTGAAGAGTCGGCGGCAGCAGAATTCAGCGAGAGTCAACCCGGTCGGTGGGCAAAGAAGCAATACAACTAGCGCCACGCGGCACTGCCATTCTCAGATGCATAGTACACGTATCTGAGAACTGAGACGTCTAAACGAGAAGATATGTTCAGATAAGCAGGAGGCGAGGAGCAGAATTCGGTGCAGGAGTTGAGACATCGTGAGAGGCAAATTGCAACTTTGTTGACTCATAGCAGTTCTATCTGAGTGCCTAAGCTCGAGGCGCACGTAAAGAGAAAGCGATGATTGAATTATAGTTTTCGCTGTAAGACAGTTCAACTCGTACAGATTCGAGAACATTGACAAATTGCCATTTATACCTGAGACTTCAACAGGTAATAAAGACGGAGCTTTCATCTCAAATACTCTACATCAGTCGTCGTTGACACAAGCTCACGGGTATATAGTGGAGCTTTTCGGAGTTCAAAGAACAAAGACAGTTGAAAAGCAACTGGGGACACATTGACGTTCTTTGTAGCTCAACGAAGTGATTGCGTATTGAAAGAAGATATATATAGTTAGGGTCACATTTCTCATATCGAGTGTCTTCGAACATTTTGAAATATTTCGTATCTATATATTTGCTTAAAATGGGCACTGTTGACACTTACGAATTCAACTTGGAAGTCAGCTGGCTACGGCTTGGTCTTAGCTTCCAGGCCGTCAGACACCGCCTACAACAGCGCTACGACCGCCAAACAAGCACACGTGACCCCGCTGTTTTGGGCGCCTCAATAGCGGCTACGCGATCGCGGCCCAGTACCCGAACACGCGTTTACGATCTTCACCGAGCAACGATGAGAGCCCACACGCCCCAAGGACAGGGCAGCGACCCGCCCTCCGGCGGTGGTGGCCGGCGCGAGTCCCTAAACGGAGGAAGCAGTCGGCTTCGCGCAAGCAGTGGAAGTGGCTTGCCCCGGCCACAGACCTCACTGCGAGAATCGCGAGTGAGTACTGGATCCTTCAAGCTCTATATCTCAGGTTCAGCTTGATGAAGATACGATGTGACTGATATATCGCGTAGCTGAATGCAATTCGAGGCACTAGCACCCAGCCCTCATACAACCTCTTTACAGGCGAATCCTCCGGCATGAATCCCCCCCGACCGTCCAGTCGCCAAAGCACCATGACGCCCTCGCAGCGGGCCATCTCGCGAGAGTCTAGTAAGGAAAACCTCGCGCCGCCCGACGCAGAGGACTACGAGACGCAGCGGAAGCGGATCGAGGAGCTCAAAGCTGAGATCGGCACCCTGCGCTACACCATCAATAACAACGACGCGGAGAAGGAGATGGCGCGCCTGCAGCACGAGACCGAGCTCCGAGACGCGCAGCGCCGCGCTGAGGAGGACTTCAAGAAGAAGCAGACTGCCGAGTCGGACAGTGCGCAAGCGTCGAGGGCGGTGGAGCGGCTGCAAAACGAACTGGCTGAACTGCGATCGGAAAAGGAGAACCAGAAGCGAGAGCTGGATAAACGGGCAAGAGAAGCAGAAGACGAAGCTCGACTGCTGAAAGATCAGCTCGAAGATCTGAATGCGGCAAAAGAGGAGGCTGCGCGAATGGCTGAGAGGAAAGTCCTCGACTTGCAGAGTCAGATCACAGCCGCACAGAGAACAACCCAAGAGCTTGAGGAGGAAGGACAGCAAAGAGAACATGTCCTACAAAAGACACAAAAGCAATTGGCGGAAAAGGAAACTGTCGTTGGCAATCTTGAGGCTGAAGTTTTGAGACTGAAGGCCCAGACAGGCGATGCGGAGACGATGGCAGTGATTCGGAGAGAGCTGTCCGACCAGGTTACACATATTCGCACATTGGAGGCGACCAATCGTGAACAACTGGTTGAGTTGAAGCATCTGCGCCAAGTCCACAAAGCAGTGGAAATTGTGGAAGAGGAGAAGGCATCGCTTCGGCGGAAGCTTGAGGTCGCCGAGTCTCTACAAGACGAGCTTGCGGAAGAGAGGCGGCAGCGACAAAGGTTGGAAGACGAGCGTCTTGCCTGGGCTGCTTATCTCAAGAATGAAGCCACCACAGGCGATGCAGAGTTTGACTCGCCAGAGGCAGTTGCCAGAGCGCTTGTCCAGGAGCGCTACAACTCTGCGACCCTTACGGAGCAGCTTGGCGCCTTGCAGCCAGAGATATCAGAACGAGATGCCATCATCAAGACACTCGAAGACGAGAAGAATGAGCTCGCAAGTCAAATTGAGAAACTCAAGACAACTGGCACTGTCGGCTCAGCAGACAAAGCACGCGCGCGACTGGATCGACAACGTGCCCTGGCCGTCAAGGAAGTGGAATATCTCCGCGCTCAGTTGAAGACATTCGATGCGGAGGATATCACCTTCCAGCCAGAAAACTTCGACGAGCAGAAGGCAAAGCGGGTGCAAGAGCTGGAAGACCTCGTCGACAAATACAAAGAAGAGGTGCAGAAATTGCATTCGGAGTTATCTTCTCTCGAGTCATCGTCAGCAAGCCCTGCGCAACCCGCAGTCGGCAGCAAGCGCTCTCGCACAGACGATTCTGAAGAGCATGAACAGCTCGGCCAACTGGCCCGCAAAAACCGCAAGCTACAAGAGGAGATAGCCTCGCTACAGTCTAAGCATCGTCTGGCACAAAAGGAGCTCTCCGTCGCCCAGGAGCAGCTCGCCGCGGCCAAGAAGTCGGGTGAAGTGCGCATCCTCTCTCTTCGCTCGAACCCTACCTCAGACTTCGAGGCAATCAAGACGGAGACCCTCAAGGCTCTCAAGACCGAGAACAGAGAGCTCCTCGCTCAGATCCAGGGCAGCCCCGCGACATACCCCGTCGTGCCTGTGTCCAGCCTCATCGCCGCGCAGGGCGAAATCGAAGAGGCGAAGCGCGAGACGGCCTCGGCCAAGAAATCCGCACAGCGCCTCAAGGAAGTGTGGTCGCGCAAGTCGGCCGAGTTCAAGGAGGCCGTCTTCTCGGCGCTGGGGTGGCACGTCACGTTTATGCCCAACGGCAAGATGCGCGTCGAGAGCATCTACCACCCGTCGCGGACCGACGAGCACGAGAACAGCATCGTCTTTGACGGCGAGAAGGGCACCATGAAGGTCGGCGGCGGGCCCCGCAGCGCGTTCGCCCAGCGCATCGGCGACAATATAAAGTACTGGGTGCGCGAGAAGGAGTGCATCCCCGGCTTCCTGGCGAGTCTGACGCTCGAGTTCTTTGACGAGCAGACGGCTGCGGGCGCCCCGCCGGCGTCGTGAGGGTGGTGAGGAATAGGGCCTTTTTGTTTGGGCGACGAGATCAAGATATCATGATTGCTGAGCTTGGACCTAGTGTACTCAATAGGGGCGGCGGCTTGGCGCACATGGAAAATAATAGAATCGGTGTTCACTCATGCTTCACTACGAGCCTTTGAGATCTAGCATGGCATATCGGAGGACTGATAGCCGCATAGTAATACTAGTAAATCTGTGCAACACACGATCACAAGAGCTTGTAAGAAGTGATAGCTACAACTAAATTCTGCCCATCTGGCGGCTGTCCTAGTCAAACATCCGCCCGGCGCCTGCTATACAAACAAAAAATATTGGAGAGTGCAGCCGCCCCGCTAGGTGGTTAGGTCGGTAGGCACACTATGTGAACAGATAGGTAGATACAGTAAGTAGTATATGCATCATGCATTCGAATGCAATGTCCATCGGTCTTTTCTTCCCATGCCGTGGGGCGTGTAGGGGAGATCCAACTCTTAGATAAAAAATGATAAGCACGTCTCGTAGATTCATCCTCCCAATGCTGTCCCAATCTTAAAACCATGCTCCGTGAAACAATCTCGCCTCGCCTCACCTCGCTTCGTATCGCCCGCTGACAATCTTCCTTTGGAGCGGCACCTCTGACCACGACACGCCCTCGTCGGTTGTGCGCGGCGACGCTAGGGCGCTGTCGTCTGCGAAGGGATCGTCGTCGTCTTCGGTGGCTATTCCCTTACCCTTGCTTTCAGTCTTCCGGCTGACAGAGATGCCGCTTCCAGCTTCGTCAGCCGAAGGGGCATACTCCCAGCGAGCCTCGATATGACCCGGCCGAGGCTCTGCGTTCTCGGCACCGATGACTCGACAGACAATCTTTGTCCAATCGCTGCTGCCGGACAGTGTGACGTCGCCCAAACGCCAGTATACAAGATGTTTGTCTTTCAAATGTGTACCAGAAGGCTTGGTTTGAACACCGCTGGCTCGTGCATTCTCATATGTAGCAATGAACACCAAGTTTTTGAGCACCACGGGCTTCGGAAGGTTGCTATCTGGATTAAGCTTGTATTGCAAGAGAAGGCCCAGTTTATCGCCCTGAGGCTTCCAGGCAGGATTTATAAGCAATGGGCAGTGGCTTGATAGGTCTGATGTTGGGTCTTCCGCATGGATGCGGTATGTGAAGCCCGGTGTAGCCACCCTGGAAGGGAGGTGGCTCAAATCTAGCGTAAATTCATCTTCGGACGAAGTGTTGGAAACAAAAATCCGGTTGGGGCCGATAACCTCCAACGCAGGGAAGTTGTTGATGCGGATGGTCTCGCGTGCTGCGGGGCGTTAGCGAAAATGACGTATCGTCAATTACGGGAAGCTTACCTGTAGAGCCATCGCCATTATAAGTGAAGGCAATCTCACCACCAATCTTGACCGACTTCAAAACGCCCTCTTCGAAAGTGGCTGACACGGTCTCCACGATGCTGCTGTTCAAGCCTGGGCCGCTCATATCCGGATGCTTGGCGTGTATCATACTACCCAAGCTTGTGGCACTCCGGACGGATTGTGTGTCGCTCGTACCAGCAATGCTCGCCTCGCTGGCGAGAGCCTGTACGGCTGAAGGCCTGGAGCTTCCACTACTAATGCCCGCAGGCAATGCCGGAGATGGAGGAAGCGCTTGCGTCTGCTCCCCAACAGATAGAGTGGAGCTCTCGGGGAACGAAAGAGGAGTATTGGCCGGTACATATATCGTGTTCCTGACATCTCGTCGCCCACGAATCGTACCTGTCTTACGAGACGGCATCGCCATGGTGTTCAGAGTGTTGGCGACACTTGACAATGCAGCTTGCTTAGCATCAGGGTCTTCCTCACCTATCGGACTATTTTGAATGTTGAGCTTGAACAGCTGGTCATGCTCCTCGCCAGCCTCGGCAGCTGCGTCTTTCTGAGCCTGTGAGATTGGATCGTTGGAGGGAGGCGGAACAGTGAAGCCTTCGGCGTCCTTGGTCGGCTCCGTGTCCTTGGGTTGCTGGGACGGAGGCGGACCCGGAGGTGGCGGGGCATCGAATATCTCTTCCGCTGTCGCGCCATTCAACACATTAGACGATGATCGAACTGGAGCGATGTCGTTCATGGTCTCGCTAGCCGCAACACCGTTCGTGGTCGCATCATGAGGTGTCTGCTCCCTGCCTGTAGACGTGCGAGGCGCTTGCGGTGAGTCCGGAGTCTCGGCTAGAGATGACAGTCTGCCCGACTCGGCAAGGTTTTGCGAGGAAGCGCGCGGTGATATAGACCGCCCGTGACTGCTCGATAGACCCCGAGCGAAGGGGCCGTGTCCCTTCTGGGGTGAAAGTTGCCCAAAACCACCATGTATACTCTGCCTTCGTCGACCGAGCATCGTGCCAATGCGGCTTCGTAATTTAGATTCTATCATGCTCATTAGGTGGCGGATTCGCAACGAAGAGGTGCAACACTCATATGATTACATACCTGGTTTCTCTGCGACAGGACCAGAGTGGTCACTCTGATCGTCCTCGTGCAGTGAAGGGGCGGATGGCGGCGGGGCTAGCGACGCAGCCGGTGGTGGAGGCACAGTGCTTGATTGCCTGCTTACGGAGGCCCGTTCCGTTGTTGCTGTTCTCCGCGGCTCCAGCTTGGGCCGGCCAGCCGTAGTCCGCTGTGCAAAGTTCTCAATCTCTCGTGGCGTGCTGACTTCAAGCACCGTCGTGAGGACTTCGTTGGCGGTTGCTCTAAGCCGATCGGTATGGTCAACCTCGTGCGTCTGGAGCTGCGTAAGGACATCGCGCAGATGGTTGCAGCGCTGCTCGTCAAGGGCCTGAAGTGTCTCAAAGATGAAGGGCGCTTGCGACTCCCATTGCTGGGAGGCCGATTCGAGCTTGGCGGTAGCGGTGTCCATCTTCATTGTGTTGGCCTTGCCGCCCTTCTTGGTGAGCTTATCAGCCCTGTCCTGCGCTTCCTCGAGCTCCCTCGCCATGGTGGCCAGGTTCGCCGAGATGGTGTGCATGTTCTGCATCTCCTTGCGGTTCTGGAAGTTGCGCAGGGCGTGCTCGACATCCTTCTCGACACGCTGAGCGAACAGATGGTGAGAGGCGGCGATGGAATCGGTGGATTGCAGGACCTTGTCCCATGGTGTTTGAAAGACGCTGCAGCAAGACTCCAATTAGCATTTGGCCAGCGTGGCAGACGAAGATTTGGCGGTAGGCATACCCAAGCTCGGATTGCGCATTGGGCACCTTGTACAGCAGCAGCTTCCTCAGCCCAGCTACGTATTGCTCCTCGACTCTTCGGCGTTCCTAGATAGCCACTGTTTAGCATCACTGTCTGTCGAGGTCGCAGGTCCGCTGCCCCGGCGCATTGGCATACCTGAAGCCATTCTGCGATTTCCGAGTTGATCCTGCCGATGCGTTTGACTCGTTCGTTGAGGGCCAGGACTGCTTGGGTCGGCTGCAGGCTCGCCTAAACACATGACAAAGAAGAATATGGTTAGCCGTCTGATCGTGACGATGCTGATGCGATGACCGGGCAGACCGCAGCGGCCGGTTGCAGTGGTTGGGTGGTGCGGATTGCAAGGCGGAGACAGCAGCTTACCAGCATCGCCGGGTACTCGGCGCGGGAGAGATCGTCCATCGTATGTATGTAGCGGATTGGTAGCAGGAAAGGAAGGAAAAGCTCTAGTCTCGATCTAAGCGCATAGCAATTCCGGTCACCGAACAGGCGCCGAAGAAGCGACAACGATGGCGACAGAAGGGAAATCTACGTATACAACAGCGGAGAGATAGTGAGGGTTGGCGGAGGTGGGAGGTGGTCGGGTGGTGATGTTTTTGGCGTGGGTTGAGGAGAGTGGAGGGAGTTCCAGGTCCAATTCCAATTCCAGGCCAGCTCAAATGCGGATGCGATCCTCGGCTCCGTTAGCGGGATTTGTGCAATAAATGGGGTGGCTGTCTTACCACAGAAACGGAGCTGTGGGGTTCTCCCATACCGTACTTCGGCGCTGAAGAGCTAATTGCAACGCAACGGGTAGGGGACTGTCAGTTGCTGCTTGGCGCACGCCACAGAGAGAGCTCCCTAGAGCTCCCTAGGAGCCTAGCAGTTATTTAACGTTAAAACTTAACAGCTCCATCCTTGTTCTATGCAGCTATGAGATAGGATGCTTCCCAGGTCAACAGGTGACACAATTCGTTTGCATGACTTGCCTTGCTCATGATTGTTCGAGTTTGGCCTCTTCAAGCCAAACACCGAATTTTCCGTGAGACTTCCACCTGCTCAAAAGCCCAAAAGCCCTTCGCGCCCCAGCATAACATATTATGTGTACGGGCTTAGTCAGCTATCAGATTTATGCATGTAACAAAGCCTTCAGGAATGCGTGGCCGGCTCTAGCATCTATCACAGTCCCCAGGAGGCTCTTCTTCTGCAACAGCACAGCTACGGCACCTCGTTGTCGTTGTTGCTCAAACTTCATGTCTCAGCTTCTTGCAGTACCTTGGTGATAGCAAGTCTGGCACGAACGCTGCTTAGGCGGGCAGATGGCAGACCAGCAGGATTGGAGGAGCTTACTCACAGCTTCCGAGAGATATGACCATATCCAGAACATGTGAGTGATGCCCGCCAAATCGACTCTGTCAGCCGGTCCGGAGCTGATTGGGACGTGGCTAGTCAGAAAACTATCGATGAGCTTCTCTCAGGAGGAAGGCCAACTCCAACGCAGAGCGCTTTTGCCATAGAAAATGAGGCATATCAAAACTCTGCCTCCCGCGTGAGTACCAAGACGCTGTAACACAGTACATCGACTCAATGGATGCAAGGAGCCGTGCTGACTTCATGTAGGATGAATACAATGCAACATGCACTCTCAGCTTCTCGCAAGAGCCCGCCGGCTCTCATGAACTAGCAGGTGACGATGCTTCTCCGCCGCACATCAATGACTTCGCTGGTGACGAAGATGGCATCAGGTTAGGCTCCTACCAGGATTGCCATTATCTAGCTAGTGGTGTCACCGCAGAGGTGTACCGCTCCGGAGACCGGGCCTTGAAAGTCATCGTTGAGATGAGGAATATCGAACCACATAATCCCTTCCGGGAAGCCAAGATTCTATCCGAGCTGAAGAAGCCGTGCATACCTCTTCTTGAGACATTTCGTGATCAGGAGCAGCGCTTCACTTTGGTCTTTCCTTACATGCCCCTGACGTTAGCCACTCTCTTAGAGAGAGGATCGCTCACTGGCGCCCAACTCTGCAATATATTCACTGATGTCTTCAACGCCCTCTCTCATATCCACAGCCAAGGTATTATACACAGAGACATCAAGCCGTCCGCATTCTTGCTTGCCTCGCCTCATGGCCCGGTCTATCTCTCTGACTTCGGTACGGCATGGCACCCCCGGTTGTCAGTTAGCACGGAACCAGCCAACGCAAAGATTCTTGACATCGGAACTGGCCCCTACCGCGCACCGGAAGTCCTATTTGGCAACAAAGCATACGACAGCGCGGTGGACATGTGGGGTGCTGGAGTCATGCTAGCTGAGTGCGTCCAACGCCCTCCAAAACCCCTCTTTGAATCGCGGCCAGTGCACGAAGACGGGAACCAGCTCGGACTCATTCTCAGCATCTTCAAGACCATGGGTTCGCCAACGCGCGAGACATGGCCGGAGGCGGTGAACTTCAAGACGCCGCCTTTCGAAATCTACCAAGTCTTTGAGCGCAAGGAGTGGGCTGAGATCTTGCCCGACGTGGACCCGGAGTGGCGCGAGCTTGTTTCTGCGCTGGTGAGATATGACAGCGCCAGAGCGACGGCTGAAAAGGTGCGTGGCTTTTGCTTTGTACTGGCTTCATCTATCATATCGGAGCTAACCAGGCGCAGGCGTTGGAGTTCCCTTGCCTCAAGTGAGCGATTGAAGGCGACAGTGATTGACTGCTATTGACGGACCATGATCTTTCTGATTCTCCGAGCATCGTTTGCGTTACTCTCCTTATTGCACTTCTTAACGCACTGCCAAGCCTGCAGTCAGTATGCATGGCGTTCAGGAAGAAGTGGCTTGTGCCTTTGTGAGCGCATCTAGTGCAGCCGTAACAGGTCACTTTCATCGTCTGTCTAGACCAATTCAGCGATAATACCACGGTACATCTCTAACAGACCATCATCAACCTCAAGTATAAGATGGCAGAAGGATGTCCCTCTCCGGATGGTGCTCTTGTGGATGTTCCTCAGAGCTGGCCTCACTTCACAAGCCTCAGACACCAACACCACAGACAAAAACAAAAAGTAGCCCAACATCGAGCAATCTGACCAACTTCGGCATCGCATCCCAGGCGGACTAGCATGTCATCTACCCTCACTACAGAGACTCTCAAAAAGAAAGACATCGACGACCAACCATCCAAACAGCCCGAACCAACCAGCCCCACAGCAAGCACCAGCAGCTATGCGTCCACAACATCATCGGACCCGGAGTTATGGGATCCCATTTCTCCCACGCGGCTGGGTCCCGGGCCGCTGACTCCACCTCCTACACCGGTATTGACCAACTCGCAATGCTTGTGGGATGCATGGGACCCATGGGACGGCGCTGAGCCCGGCGAAGATCCCCTCTCTCCGCCGTTCGACCGCCACGTCCTACCTCAGAGGCCACATCCCGTTTATCAACTACCGCGTTCTGCGGCTCCGGGAGCGGTAACTCCCCCTCCGTCCATGGATCTTGGGATTGAGCTGCGCTCGCGGCCCTTCAGACAGGAGGGTCAGCCTTTGGAGGCTCCTGGTGCATCCAGCCCTGTGTACTCTCTGCTCGAGACATTTCTTTGGCCCTTCAAGCTGGTGTTCGGCGCCTGCTTCCGCGCCCGTCGAAAAGAGAACACCTCGGCTGTCTGATCATCGGCAACATACGGACAAATCACAAACAAATGAAAACATGATCGGGGCTGGTTCCCCCCGGCAAATTGTTGAACAGGACAGGATGGGGTTTGGCGTGGGAAATGGCGTTTGGGGACATCAACCATAGCATTCCCTCAAATATCGCTAGATAGACCAATATCATTCTCGATGCTGTTTTCTCCGCCTGTCTAGCGATGCCCAGGGCCTTGATCGCTTATCGAGGCGAAAAGTTCCACTAACAGGAGTCGATTGCACTACGCCAGGACCCATACTTGTATTTTGCAAAGACAGTCTCACAGCTCATTGTCTTTCTGTCAAAGAAAAAAAATAATCCAAAAAAAAAAGGTTCATTTTCATTCTTTTTATTCTTTATTTTATTTTATTTTACCTTTATGCCACCTCAGGCTCCTAAGTAAGGATCTCCGGGTTGTGGCAGACAACCTCAATGTTGTTCCCAGCTGGATCATACACAAACGCAGCGTAGTAATTGGCATGATAATGCGGCCGCAGCCCAGGCGCACCATTGTCCCTGCCGCCAGCCGCCAGGGCGGCCTTGTAGAAGGCGTCCACCGTAGCACGATCTACTCGTGTTTGTTTGTCAGTCAGTCAGTCAGTCCACAACACAGACCATAGCACGTCTAGAGGGTTCACTCACCTTTGGCGCTCATTGCGTGGTGGGTGTTGAGCGGCGCGGGGGTCGACTCGGCGGGCAGGCCCATCAGGCCGGTCGAGTTGACCCACCAGTCGGCGCGCGATGCGGCGTCGCCGAACCCGACGGCCTGGTTGTTTGCGTGGGAGATGCGCTTCTCGTAGCCGAGCGGGGCGAGGGCCTTGATGTAGAAGTCGACCGTGTCGGCGTGCTTGGCCGCGGGGACCCAGATTCCGGTGTGGTCGATCATATTGATGGACTTTGTAGTCGCAGAAAGTATTCTGTGTGGAATTGATTGGAATACCCGAGGTGGCCAAATTGGATGAAGTTCAATTGAAGATGGATGAGATGAATTGGATGATTGATTGATAGATGAGGGGGTTCTGAAGAGCATGGAGAACTGCCGGATTTAAATACACAGGAGCATCTCTCCAACTCAAGCCTCGAACCTCCAAAGTCTAATCGCCAAGCCTCATTCCTTCTCAGCTATCTAGCTGGTAGTCAGGATCGGAGGACGCGATCCCCGACCTCAGCTCCGTGGAGCAGGATCAGCTCAGGAATTAAGAATAAATCCGTTGAGGGAACTCGTATGCATAATGCAGCTAAGGAGCAATGCCCGGCCCAGGACACGCTTCCGCGTCCGTGGCGTGGCTTCGTCAGGCAGAAATCCACGAAAATCACCAGCCCGTCAGACGCCAATGGAACGCGAAGTCACGAGCTGGCAGCAATGGATTCCCTTGGCGGTGAGGATTATCACATCCTAGTACTCGTCTAAGCAATTATGGGCGACGCCTCGGGTCCTGAGTCATTCGCCGGTTGGTTCTTCAGATTGCGGACTGGGAAAACTGGCGTTGCTGCCTGGCCGGCAAGCTGAAAGAGACGGAGCCCCCAACCGCCGACAAAAGAGCGAAGGAAGCGGCGCGGAGCCCCGAATCGGAAAATCGTACAGCAAACAGCGGAAAGGCAACGGTTTCCCTTCAGCAACAAGCGAGATGGCTTGAAATTTCGAACAGTGTCCCGAAATGCGATTCCGTAGATGAGCTCTCCTTGAATATAACAGTATGGCATGTCGAAATGGAATGGGGGGCCTCGCCGGCAGATTTGTGGGACCATCTGTACGGTTGAGTTGATCCCCGGCGCCGTAAATCGGGAGGCCGGCGACGATGGTCAGTTGTCACCCGACTAGTCCTGGGATTTCGGGTCGGCTACGCGGTATCTTCACCGTCAATTTTCGTTCACGACGTCGACAACAGTCATCCATCCCTCGTTCGTATCTAACGGGCTTCTGAGCACGGTCTGCATACACTACCAAGACGTTCACCTTCAAGGAATGACCGTATGCACGCAGATAGATGCATGTCACGACGTCAAATAGCTCGATTACAAGCAACCACAAATGCTTCAACACGACGGTGCTGACATCACTGTGCGAGCAGACTCCAGATAAGGTAGGTGCACACAACTCCTTTGGCGTTAACGCTAGCATGCGAGTTTGCTAAATTCAGCAGCACAAAAGAACCCTGCAGCAGGGGACCTGATAAGGGCGGGGGGCCTCGGGGATTATTCTCGCGTAGCTGTTGGTATCCTTTACTCTAATCCCAGTTACCAATTGCGTTATTCCCCGAATGACATCTCAAACAACCTTGATCCTCGTTGAAGTCAACACGCTCGTGTCCTCTTCTGTCTTTATTAACTGCACTTCAATTTCATCCTCGTTGATATTCTGCTGAATTCAAAAATGGCCGGCCCGTCTTCCCGTTGCCCCACGCATTTTCTCTCTATCTGGGCAGATAAGCTCATCCAGCGCAACCTTCAGAATGAATTCTCTGAAGCGTTGAAGTGGATGATCTCTGAGGAAGCTATGACAAGGTTCTCGATGCTATCCCTACCAACCCAAAATAACAACTACCTGGATGAGTTACCCAGTATACTTGGACCGGCCTTTCACGTAAGATGTTTCTCGCTTGTGAGGACTTTGATTTAGATGCGATGTCTCTCCCGTAGGCTTAAAGCTTATCCATATCTACACGTGTAGTCCACATTGTACCAGGTTGCGGATGCCTCTATATGAGAGACGTCAACAATACGATGCGACCGTAGCGGGGATGCCGTCATGTCTCTGGAATGGAAGGTGACCTTGCATCTGTCAGACCATTTGCTTGGCATTTCGTACATAGCCAAGGGGCCCTGGCTCTTAACCTTATCGCTACGAAAAGTTGCGAGAACGCTTCTTGACGTCTGCATAACATCTCGAGTCCCACCACTTCAAACTACGAGCCCTCGCTCTCGGTGTATCTCTGATGTCTTATCGCGAATCTTAAGAGACTGCTAGTGCAGCACGTTCAGGGACGAATACGACTCCAACAGGGTCTAGAAGCCATCTCCGCATTACCGCACCGCCGTAAGGCTTCTCAAGACTTCTTCGGGAAGGTCTGGCTTGGCATTTCCGGGTTCAAGCACTTAGCTCGTGCCGAGAGACCGCCTGGATGCCTTCATCGTTAGACATTGCCCCGCAGGTGAGCTATGAAGTCGATAGGAATTATCCTGGAGTCGGCAGGTGGTGGAAACCCTCAAAACTGAGGGCAAAATGGCTGGACTCTAGATCATTGTCATTTCGTGTCATGGCAATCTCTCCATTATGCTTATGCCAGTAGCTTACAGAGCGACCAGGGGAGGTATATGCTTTATATAAGAGATCTCCCGCCCAACATGTCATGATCGATGGAGCCTGCCTCCCATCCCTGATCTACAGTTATACTCGTTCCCGTCTTCTCTGGCGCCATGAGGCTCTCATCCATAATAGCAGTGGTTGCTTTGGCTGGAAGCAGCTCTGTGGCACAGGCCGCCCTACAACCTCGTGGAGCCAATACCACGGAGAGCCCAAGCTACGGGTTCATTGTCGAATTAGTCCGTGGCGCCTCCTTCGTGAAAAGGCAAGTACTCTCGCTTCTCACACTCGTAACCTGTAGGCCTTTCCATCACATAGTCATATATACGTTGCAGGGTTACTATGTCTAAGCTTGCTCTGCTATCTGACATCTTCAAGCTGGATCAGCCCGGATTCTGACAGCACGGTAGCACATGCTGACTTCGACTTAGACGTGTTGATGCACACGCGGAATTTCACAAAAGGGCTCAAGACATCGTGGCCGATTACCAAGTCAGACATGAATTCAAGAATCCGGATGTCTTTTGGGGCGTGTCCATCGATGCAAAAAATGACACCAACATCCAAGCTCTCCTCGATCTTCCAGAGGTCAAGAATGTTTGGCGAAACCGTTTTCACAGGCGGCCGGAAGCTGTTGGTGCACCCGTAGCTTTCCCCTCTTCAGTAACAAGCCGCCTGCGTTCTCGCGAAGCCGTTGAAGTTGTCCATGTTAATGGAACTAGCGATATCAATGCACCGCTGAAGATGACCGGCGTTGATGCCATGCACGATCTTGGCTACAAGGGTCAAGGCGTCAAGATCGCCATCCTGGACACCGGTGTAGACTATCGTCATCCAGCACTGGGTGGTGGTTTTGGTGAAGGCTTCAAGGTTGCAGGTGGCTATGACTTTGTAGGTGATGATTACACCGGAGCCAATATGCCAGTGCCGGATGCAGACCCTGTTGTCGAGTGCCTTGACGGAGGGCATGGCACTCACGTTGCGGGTATAATTGGCGCTCAAGACCCTGAAGGAGTCGGCTTCGGCATTGTGGGAGTAGCTCCAGAGGCGTCACTTTACATGTACCGCATTCTCGGCTGTGAAGGCGGCGTGACTGACGATGTCATCATCCAAGGATTTCAGGCTGCCGCCGAGGAGGGTGTCGACTTGATCAGCATGTCCGTAGGCGGAGTCAGAGCTTGGGAAACTGCATCGCTCTTCGAATCTGTCTTCGCTTCCATCAAAAAGAGAGGCATCGGGATGTTGGTTGCCGCCGGTAATGACGGAGAGAGTGGCCCCTACTATACCAGCTGGCCAGCCCTGGATCCTTCAATCATATCTGTCGGCTCTACAAGCAACCTCGCGTTCCCTACCGCTTACAATGTCGAGGATGTGGACGGCAACGTTGCTGAATATGCACGCATCGCACCACTGGAGGGAACATACAATGTGTTCATTGCTGACAGCGATGATGGCTTTTGCGATCAGTCAGCATGGGATACTGCAGCGGAAATATTTTCCGACCCAGACAAAGTCATTGCCATCATGAACTGGGACGGGTACTGCAGTCAATCGTTGATTTATTATATGGGTAAAACTGGATTTAAGAACTTTTGGGCGTATATTGATGACGATGCCGACTTGAACTTATATCCTCCGGGATACGTGCCGTATGACTTTGTACGCTTTCGGAAGTCTGAATTCGAGAAGCTACTTCCAAGCATTCAGGCCAATGGATGGGCTGCAACTCTAACTTTCAAGGATCAGAATGTCCACGATACCAAGCAGCCAACTGCTCGGACCGTCAGCTATTATTCGTCATTTGGACCTACAGTTGAGATGTCCATGAAGCCTCAGCTTTCTGCTCCGGGAGGAACTATCCTGAGCAGCTGGCCTACCACTGATGGTCTGGGCTACGCTGTGATTTCTGGAACATCAATGGCGACGCCTCATCTGGCTGGTTGCTATGCGCTTCTGAAGCAGGCTTACCCCGAGCTCACTCCCGATGATATATTGCATCGTCTGCAGACGACGGCTACCCCTCTCGAGCAATTTGGCTATGATGGCCTTCTCACGGGTACTCTACAACAGGGAGCAGGCTTGGTCAATGTGTACAATGCGTTCAATTACGACAGTATCATCTCACCCGCCCAGTTGAACCTCAGGGACAGTACCTCACCCGAGCCTCAAAGTATTACAATCGAGAACAAATCTTCCAAGCCTAAGACTTACACAATTGGCCATAAAGGCTCTTCACTAGTCAATGCATCGCCCAACGTCTACGAAAGGGGCTATGCTGAGAGATTTTACTGGGCGGAAAACAACAGCCCAAATTTCGCCTCAGTTTCTTTTTCTCAGAACACCATAACCTTGTCAGCCGGTGCTGGTATTACGTTCAAAGCTACTGTCAGGGCACCTACTACGGACGTCGACCCCAGCAAGTTGCCCATCTACGGCGGGTACATCACCATCACGGATAATGACTCCAAGGAATACGTGGTACCATACATAGGCGTCCCGTATACGCGCAATTCCCAACCCACCCTGGACTTCAGCGACCTCCTCAATATCACAACGAAGCCTCTTCCACCCAAGTACATTCCCAACATTCCAATGGTTCGCGCCATGGACATCAACAAGCGCGTCAACGACATTGAGACCTTCACCTTCCCGGCGTGGGCTCCTCCGCCAGACTCTGACGAAGACCAAGATGACGACAATGACCCGCAGATCGAGTTCGTTATCCGGCAGCCATCCGAGTACGTGCGCTTCGATGCCGTCTCGCCGACCTACAAGATCCGCCCTACACGTTATGGTTTCAACCCCTGTAAAGCGCGCTCGCTCAACCTCACGGAGCCGCCGATGGAGCCGGTCGAGGAGTTTCTCGGGATACCGTCATATGGGTTATTGTTTAGCTACATTGGCGGTTTTGATAAGCCGTACAGTCCATTCCAGGAGCTGTACATTGGATATGGATTCAACTCAGTGATATGGGACTGGGCGGAAGTTGCGGCGCCGAATGGGACACTTCTGCAGTTGCCTAATGCGGACTATCGCGTGCTGGTGCGCGCGCTGCGTTGGGGATACGATTGGGAGGACCCGGAGGGTTACGAGAGTTGGCTGAGCCCAGTGATCAGGGTCAATATTGGTGATCCGGGTTACCCCAACCCTTATTGAGAGAGCAGAATTACAAACACACGGCGACAGGACGATAGACAGAATAACATTGCTAAAATCTATCGATTAAATCAAGCGCAACAACACAACCCCTCACCCTTTTCTTGTAGCCTAAGGTCTATTCCCTAGTACTCGGCCACTCCAATTGCCTGTCTTTGGTGACGCTGCGGTAGGCAGGAATGATTAGCGTGAGAATGACTGCATCTGGGAGGCAAAAGTTCCGTGGAAGCTGAATCCCATGACGACAGGCATTTTAGCACAGGCAACCTCCTTCATATTCCGGGCATCAATAAAGATAAGCGCGCTGCTCCCTGCCTCAGCGTCCATGGCTACCCTGAGTAGCACGCCATCATCCTCGTCCTCGGCGCCCGGCCTAGCGATAAATATAGGCTCTGTGGGAAGATGGTTCGTCTTGGGAATCCAGGTCTTCCATGTCTGTGTCTTCGTGTCTACCTCGATAACCGAGTCGACAAAGTAGCCAGGCTTATCGACGTGCAGTACATAGGCATAGCGGTAAGGTTTGCCCAAGTAGGCCTCGTTGATGCGTGGTTACACACCAAAGTGGATGCCGAGTCTCAATTCGAGCAGTCTATGAAGGACAGGCCAGGTCTTGTGGCCAAAATGTTCGGAGTGCCGTCAGCTAAGCATCATTTTTTTCGAGAATATTGGGGATCCGAATGAACTCATCAGCGTCTATCTCTCACACATGGCCATTTCAGATTTCCTGAACAGTCTATTTCTCGAGGATCGCTCACAGAGGGTCATCAATTTGAAGTATCCCAAGACAGACGGCCACAATGCTATGGACTCCCGGATCCACTCGGCTCTAGATATTGATGAGATGTGGTACCAGAACAAAGATGCAGCCTTTAACCGAGAGATTTCGGACTCGGAGACCAATCTACGGCGGCTGAAGGCGCGCGAGGTTGCGGAGCATGTGAGTTTGGGCGAGCTTTGTAATCAAGTCGACGCTCTTGACACGTACGAACTCGTTCAGATGCGCAAGTGTCGTGGCTACGAGAGAGCTCACATGTTCTCTTGTAGCACCGTGACCTTTTCATTCTCAACGGATTATCCCATCCGAAAGATAGAGCGCAATCCGTCTAGTCCAGCCTATTCAACATGGCACTCCTACGACGATTCGGAGACGCTAGGTGAAAAGCGGTACTACAACTACCTCGAATCAGATAAGTGGAATTCATCTGTCGATTATGAGGTCACAGTATATGGGTATAAGAAAGAAGTCAAGGCGGACGAGATCAGCAGATTAACAAGAGAGAGAGACGAAGCGCTGGAAGATGTGAAAAACACAATGAAGGTGATACAAGAAACAAAAGACAAAATCGAGAAGGCAAAAGAGAATCTTGTTGCCAATCGTAAAGAGATCGACCGAATCGCTGTCCATCGAAAGAAACTCACACAACGATATATGCCCCTGGAATCCATCAAGGAGAAAGGGCAGTACCTCGCGACGACCAGTATTCTTAGTTATAGCTATGCCCTCGGCGGAATTTCCAATAGGATCCTGGCTTCCCAATTTCCCACCTCATACATTGAGTCTTCACGTTCTCAAGCCATTGAGAAGTACACCAACAAGACCCGGACATACGAGAGCATGCTCGAAATCTGCGACTCAATGCTAAGCAGTCTTTCTCAGACCATTTCAAACCTTGATTCGTGTAGAAGTAAGCTACAAACTGTACTTAAATCACTGGTCGAGACGGTTGCACACACGAAGAAAAGCTTAGACGAGCTTGAAACCTTCACGGCGACTGATGTCTCAGGCTGGCCTATTGCAGACCAGAAGGAGGCGCTCAAGGCGCTCGTCCTTTTTCGACCATACTTCGAGCCGCTATTGATCAGTAGCCGCGCGACGACAGAGGAGGTGATATGTCAGCATGGTGAACAGCTTGTCGCACGGGAAGCATTCGCGCATGCTTGCCTCCAAGCAATCAAGACGCAATTGGAAAAACACAAGGAGTCACATACAAAATGGAAAGGAATGAAGCGAGGAGTAGAGGCTTCACTGGAAGCCGCAAAGCATATGTGCAAGCTAGGTGGTATGTTTGGCATTGGTGAATTTTGTGTACTCAAGCAAGCCATCGACCAATTCTCCCCTGACAGCAACAAGGTGTGGGATGCACTGTTTGAGCAACTCCGGCAGTCATACCTCGATGATCCGGGTAATTGGCGTAATCTTCAAGGAACTTTGTAGCATAAGTTCAGGACAACCTCTATCATACGCTTTAATTATAAGTCTATTCTGTTGAGAATATAGCTATAGTACCGATTATTGGCTATCAGGTAATACGAGACGGACGGTGTCGTCGCGTATAGCCATCTTATGGCAGCTCTATATACTTATTGAAATTAGGACCACAGGCTTTTCGAAATCAAGTCATCTCATTGTCCATCCCTATTTCGGCGCCGACCATCGGAGGTGCCACGCTTTGCCATAACCAAAGCAATATGATACAAAATCTATACCATCACCTGTGCAAGCCAACTAAAAGTCTTTCTCGTATGCCTTAATTAATGATCTTCATCAACAAGGTGAACGATCTGCATTTTCCTTTTCGTGGTTGAAGGCCATCCTCGATGAAACATGACATAAAATCACGACTTGCAAAAGCATCGCATTCGGTGCTAAGGATGACGTTGAACGGTTTCTTAGGTTAGACCTTTAACATGGAGCATGCTCCGAGGCCAAGCCCGGAGTTCTCAATTATGGCTGGCCGTAAGCTGTCAAGTTAGTGCTTGCATAACAAATTCACAAGTCGGCTTCGTTTGGAGAACATTTCATTGGCCAAAGACGTTGCCGTTATCGTCGTATTGCCGGTGAACGGTGTAGAAGGATGTTATCCCAGTATTATTGCTCCGGAACATGCTTAATACCTCCGGGTACCGGAGGCATGTGCATCCTTGAAAGCATGAATTTTTGCGTCGACTAGAGTTTTCTAATTTTAACCGTCCTCCCCATTTCCTCCGATCCTGGCAAATTGTGGTATACCACATTGATCACAATCCTCTCAGTTTAAAATGAACCGTCTCAAGGAACATAGCGGTGGCATAGTTAACGAGAACACGGGGAATGCTGCAGATCCCATCGTCACCAAACTGGCTAACGAAGATCAAGTATCGTGGTATAAGAAGCGTAATTTACGCTACTTATATTTTATGCTCGTTCCAACGTGCATGGGTATCCAGATAACTTCCGGGTTTCATGCGCAAATGGTGAATGCTATGCAACTTTTGCCTTCGTGGATAGATTGTAAGAGACCAAAACTAGATAATGCACCATTCATTCGTGTTCTGACAATTACTATCTTGCAGATTTTGAGCATCCCCAAGGCACTTTGAAGGGAATCATTGCTGCCGCGTATCCCCTCGGTGCTATCCTCTCACTGCCATTTATTCCATTCATCAACGACCATTTTGGAAGACGCTGGTCTATCTTTGGAGGGTCTTGCATCATGGTTGCGGGCTCCTTCGTGCAAGGATTCTCCATCAATAGTAAGTTACTCGCTGTCGTTCACATAATGGAGCATACATTAAGAAACAACCAACAGCTGGGATGTACATCGTCGCTCGTTTAATTCTGGGTTTCGGAATTCCTCCATGCCTTGTCTCTGGTTCATCGTTGATTGGAGAGCTTGGCCATCCGAAAGAGCGACCTGTTTTGACCTCATTGTTTAGTGTTGCATACTTCTTCGGTCAAATAAGTGCGGCGGGCATTTGTTTCGGCACCAATAACATACTCACTAATTGGGGATGGAGAATTCCTTCTCTTCTTCAGATGGCTCCTCCACTAATACAAATCAGCTTCGTGTTTCTCTTACCGGAGAGCCCGCGATGGCTAATCACGAAAGATCGCAGTGAAGAGGCTTTGCAAATACTCGTGAAATACCATGCCGAAGGTGACTACAACTCAGAGTTCTCGAGAGCCGAGATTGCACAAATTCAAACTACTGTTCATATCGAAATGCAGCGTACCAAGACGTCATGGTTGGATGTGGTAGCCACAAAAGGCATGCGCAAAAGACTGTTGACGACATGCATGCTTGGACTATTCACTCAATGGTCTGGCGGGACTTTGATCTCGTATTACCTTGGTGATCTTCTCGAGATCATTGGCCAGAAGTCGTCTGCCTTCAAGCAAACGATCAACGTCTCACTTGCTTGTTGGAGCTTGATCTGTTCTTTCGCGGCATCGATGGTAGTCCGCCGATTCAAGCGTCGGCAGATGTACATTGCTTGTACAACCAGTTTGCTCGTGGTTTTCATCTGCTGGACTATTAGCATGGAACAAGCCATGACAGCAGAGAAGTCTAACTACACCAACAAAGCCGCGGGAAGCGCAAGCATTTTCTTCATATTCGCGTACGCTCCTTGCTACTGTCTTGCACTCAATACCCTGACTTACAGTATGTCCGCACTCTCAAGCTCCATAATAATAGAAAGCCACTTACCATAACTACAGCTTTCCTTGTAGAGCTCTGGCCTTACAATGAAAGGTCTCGTGGCATCGCGATATTCCAGCTTTTCGCACGTTGCGCCGAGTTCTTTACAACATTTGTTAATCCTATTGGCCTATCAAATATAAGTTGGAGGTTCTTCATAACATATTGTTGTTTCTTAGCGTTTGAAGTTGCATTTGTATACTTTATATTCCCTGAAACCTTTGGGAGAACGCTCGAAGAGACCACGTTCTGTATGTTTGCTCCTCGTCTCATTTTTAGTAATATGTCTGCTAATAATTCAATATTAGTATTTGAGGAAAAGTCACTTGCAGATCAAGCTGTTGTTGCGGTCAAGAGATCCATGTTGCCTCACAATGCGACAGAGGAGAGAAAAACAATCGAGAACATGGAGGCAAAACAAAGGAATCTGTAGCGTTGGCCATGAGTGTAAGTGGGCAATGAGTATTTGCCTAGCAATTCAGATTTGATGAAGAGGAGTGGAATCGCACTTCCTTCAAGAATAGGTGTAGAGAACAAAGTAAGTTGGTGAAGCTGGATACCTTTAATCAGTCGAATTCTCTTATTGGCAACAATGACATGGATAATTATAATTTCAAGAAGGATAATTAATCGCAGGTAGATTGAAAACGGTATTGATCAGATGAATAGAATCGTTGCAAGGCTTTCTAGCCTAACTATATAAGCTAGCCAGACTCATCTACAAGAGGCTGTTGGTGTGTGTCCATGAGTGAGCTTGACTGTGGGGTTATAGAGATCAGGCACAGGTCCCACCATCGACTTCACCAACAGACTGATGGCACTCTCGTCAAATTATTCGTTATTGCTCTGTGTCTGTCTATTTCGTAATAGCTTATATCTTTGGAGAACAGCCGCAGTTGTCTTCGCAGCATAACAACAGAGTGATGACATGAACCGAGCGTATTCCTTAATAGTCGTCACTAAAAGGTTACAACTTCATCTCTTTGCAGTTTGATATAAGCCACTCAGGTTAGCCTTTCGTATCCATATCTGGAATATTTAAAATATTTCTGTGTGAACAAGCCCGCTCAATCTTCTTGGAATATCGAGGATGGCATCTAGGTGGGTTAATTTGCTATGATACCTTTCCAGGTATATGCAAATAGCCTGGCATTCCAAAGTGAACCGTCTCCACATGTACCATGCACGATATTGGCTGAATAAAGCAAACCAGTAGGCGATTAACGTCAGAGCATAAGGATCCTTGTCCTGGACCAAAATCTTGAATTCCAACGGCATCAGACTGACGAATGAGTAGAAGCAAAGAACCGTTGACTGGTTACTTTCCATCGTCATGAGGTTGTTGAGAATATTTGCGGGGATATAGAAGGGGTTGGTCGGAGTATTGGTGTCACCGCATAGACCGAGGAGCTTACTGAGCTCGCGAGGCAACTTCTTCAGCATTGGATCAGGCGCTGCCATGTCGTGAATAAAGGCGGCTTCTTCGACCATCGATCGAAGACAACTGTCCGGTCGGTAGAGATCCGCGATGTTCCATAGCGCTCGCTTTCCGTCATACATTCTCAACCAGTCTAAATCGTTTTCGCACGGTTTCCGGAGCGGCCAAGCTTGTTCGGGAGTCTGCGCTTCGATGCTCGCAAGTGTGCCTGCCCCTAGAAATACGGCCGCAGCCCAGATCGCATCTCGCTTCGAAGACGTCAGTGGGCCAGACAATGTTTTGCCGAACAATGCGGTTCCTGAGTATAAATGAAATAGCTCTGCTCTAGATGGCGGTGGCGGTGGTGAGTGAAGGAGATGGCGATCGTGCATCATTGTTAAGCTCATTGTGATGTGCATGAGAAATGGATGCTGCAGGTAACGGTCTGATTAGCAGCGCTGAGTATAGAATTGCAGATCTTGAAAGACGTACAAGACAAGCGAGGCGGACTGCTTCTCGCTGATACATTTTCACACAGTTGACTGTAGACAAGGTGGGTACAGTCCTGCTATGAAAGCGGCTGAGTACATCAAGATCCTGACTCGTCAACTCGAGTGGTCGACTTTGACCATTTGATGCAGGTTCCTGCGCTAGTGATGCATTGACGATGCCGAGGACTGTCTGTTTCACCGAGAGCGCCGGTAGAATGTCCGTATGAAATGAACCGTCAACTGAAGGCTGGAGAACAGCCTCACCAACAGTAGCTCGGTGTCCATAGCTACAGGAAACTCCGAAAACACGACATTTTCTGCAACTGGGCTTGCCTTCATCACACTGAGCTTGTTAGTTAGTAGGCCAACAGAACGCTCCACAATGCCACCAGTTGCACACCTTTTCGTGACGTAGCTTGCAATTGTCGCAACCCTTCCGAGACTTGGTATGCACCTTGCGCTTCCGTTTGCGGATTGCCGCTTTTGCGGATGAGTCGGAAGGGAGCGTCATGCTAGGCCGACAGTCCTTATTATTTTTGATCTCTTCAGTTCTGGGAACTTAACGTTCAGAACCGACGAATCAGTTTAATTTTTGGATGTTAGAATCGTCGTTCAAGGCGAGAGCAGAGCGACAATCGCGTCAGATGAGGGCTAAAGGATTAGATAGAGAAGAGAAGTGATGTTAGGTCCACTTTGCGGTGGCAGTGTTCCTAGTTGGATATCGGCAAATACTGGTCTGTTGACTAGGTTCAGGGGTGTTTTGCCTTGCAACGCTAACCCAAACCCGTATTCCTCTCATGCCACTACACCTAATTTGGTCAAGGCAGATCTACAGAGGAAGAGAGCCTCAACATATTCGCCTTTTTTCTTCCTATCTTCTCTCGCTAACCTTCGTCCGTATTCATCTAGCACTTTAAGCCTGATTAGATTTATGGGCTAATAATAACGTGTTGATTTGATTGTTCAGCACCAAATTGAGTGATGCCTACCGTCCGATGGAATGGCGTAATCATACTCCGACCGAGGCGCCGAGGGTGATATAAATTGAAGCAAGTATTCCTCACGCCGTAGTTTTCATGACGACAGTTTCAAATCTTCACAAATCTCTCCAGCCCAAACTGTTGTAAAACATTCCCCAATATGGCTCATTCACTCCCTGAAACTATGAAGGCCCTCGTCTGCGAAGAGGTTGGTCAGCCCCTCAAACTACAAACGCTGCCCACCCCGCAGCCCACGATTGGAAGTGTTGTCGTACATGTGTTGTGCATTTCATCTCAGCGTAGTCTACCTGCTGCGTTGACTGGCAAAACCTTCTTCACTTTTCCCACGCCACTTACCCCTGGCAATGCGGCCATCGGTCGCGTGGCTGCCATAGGGCAGGACACGACAAGCCTGGCAGTCGGTCAACTCGTCATGCTCGAGGCTTTTATCCGTGCGCGCGATAATCCGGATATCCAAATTTTGTGGGGATTTTATGATGGCCAGACGCCTGAATCCAAGAAGTTCATGGCTGATAACTGGTCTCGAGGTACCTATGCCGAGTATGTCCGTGCCCCGCTTGAAAATACTTGGGCCTTGGACGAGAAGAGGCTCTGCGGATCGCCTTCCGACGGCGGCCTGGGCTATACTGTTGAGGATCTGGCGGCTCTGTCAGAGATCCTCATACCCTACGCCGGCTTGCGTAATATTGGTGTCCAAGCAGGCGAGAAAGTCATCATTGCCCCGGCCACAGGTGGGTTCAGCGGCGCAGCTGTGACAGTAGCGCACGCTATGGGCGCTAGAGTCATTGCAATGAGCCGCGACGTTGAGACTCTGAAGAAAATGAAGCGTCAATATCCAGCCATAGAGATCGTTCCCAACACCGGTGATGCTCAGGCTGATGCAGCGGCTCTAAAGGTGCTGGGGCCCATCGATGCATATCTTGACATTTCGCCACCCCAGGCAGCTGCCTCAACGCACATTCGAAGCTGCTTTATGGCGGTACGGCAGTATGGTCGAGTATCACTCATGGGAATGATCGCTGCGGATCTGACCATGCCGTATATCTTGAGTGTCGGGGGTAACTTGACCATCCGCGGACAGTTCATGTATGAGCGGGAAGATGTGAAGGGACTCGTCAAATTAGCTGAGTCTGGATTGCTTAAACTTGGCGAGGCAGGTGGGTATGAAGTCCGTGGAAGGTTTAAGCTGGAGGAAATCGAGGATTGTTTCCGAGTAACCTCTGCGAGCTCAAGAGCGGGCCAAATTGTGTTGATTAAGCCTTAGAGGAACACCTCTGCATATATCCCGACTCACTTCACTTTATCAAATGATATTTCAATAATTAGGAACGACTACAGCTGTTAAGCGAGTTGTTAATTTCTTACTGCAGTGAGCCTTGGCACAGATGGGCGTGGTTAGCTGACTTTCCAATTTGTAAAGCCATGTATTTCACCACCAATTAGATGGCCCTTTGCACTCAGTGAGGTTAGGCCACTATCAGCAGCTGATCAGATGAACAGGTAGTAACCAGATCCAGAAGATCTGTTGGCACCGATGTGCATATGCGGGGACACGTGTATTGATTCTTACCACTTGCCTAATCTGATCTCGTCAATAATTACCATCGTAATACTCGACCCAAAAGGTATTTACTAGTCTCTTTGCGATTTTCTGTTATGCACAATTGTGGCACAGCATTGTCGAATTATTGTTTTATCATCATATATCATAAATGTTGGTTGTTCTTCAGCAATTATTTTCCAATCATAGTCTTCTCTTTCGTAGAGGGGGGAGTAGGCGTTGCCCAAGACAATGGCAGCACCTCACACACGCCACACTACTGCAAGCCTCATCACGCCTATAGATTTGCTGGGTGTAGACGCAGGCCGTTTGACTGAGAACGGGCCGAGGGAGCCGCGATGGCAGCCGGTCGAACTCTATCCTCAAACAGTCAAACTCTATTTTCTGGCGGTTGCGCAATTAAATCTCGCCGTGAATCCGCATTGGTGGTCTTTTGTATCTAAATCTATTTGACTTCATAATACAAAATCTATACTGGCATCATGTCGCCGTCCAATTCCGGGTTTAGCGCCCATGTCACGGTCACTATGGCCCCCGAGAATGTTCCCAAGTTTCTAGAGGCATTCAGAGGCGTGTATGAGAAAGTGATTCAAGAACCGGAATGCACCTTCTTCGAAGCGTACGAATCACCAGAGGAACCTGGAAAACTGATATGGATTGAGAACTGGTTCAGACACCCCACAGCCTGAAGTTGTGGACTTATCTAATGCAGAAGCAGGACTAAGTCGAAGGAATGGGTCTTCCGAGTAAGCTCCCTTATGCACTCTTATTTTCCACCACTTACACCTAGCCAAGGAACAAGTCACCAAACAGCATTATAAAGATTATCTTGCTGTGGCTGAGCCCTTGTTCACAAGTCGAGAGTTTCGGTTCTTCAAGCCGTTACCTCAATTCCATATGGCCAAGCTATAACGACTGAATGATAGTAGCCAGGCGTAATGACAAGCGTCGTATCTCTGGTAGTCCCTATTACTGTTGAACAACATTCTCTCTATTTCTAGACCGCTTCTAATGTATCTGTAAAATGGAAACTGTATGTAGTACAAAGAAGACATGTATTCGGTCATGGGATGTAACGCTGCGTCGACTACAGCAAGGGTTTAAATTGTGAGATCTAGTCATCTATCAGAGACTTATACCAAGTCTCAACAAGTTTTATGACTGGCACATTTTACCGATAATTCTGTGAAGGTGTCGATGTGACTGCGTATTCTAGTCTTAGATGCACCCAACCCAGAGGAAGGATGCCACCAGACCAAGCATGTGAGCTCCACAATGCCGCAACAACCAACAACAATAACGTGACTCTTCTAAAGCGGTTCCCAGGGAGACTCATGACGCAAAGACATCCAACATAGCTCATTAATTTTCCCTCCGTAAGAGACTCTACACCCCTCATCCAAGCAGCAGCCCAAAATGCCCAAGTTCACTGCCGTCTCTCTTGCCCCACACGCCACGAAAGTCCCTGGTGGGGCAAAATTGTTGATCCCTCCTCAGCTCTTTTAACACGTTGACGAATAATAACGTTTGCTGCCCCTATAGCTCAGGGGTAGAGCGCAGCACTTGTAATGCTGAGGCCGGTGGTTCAAATCCGTCTGGGGGCAAACGCTTACTCTTTTTGTCTGTGATTCTTGATCGAAGATCTGTTGACTGCGATTTCGCGACATCTTGAAATATTTTTATTTTTCCCTCCGGCTCAGGGAGACTGCACCAAGACCGCACGTAGCCTAACAAAGGCATAGAGTGTTGGTACCGATGTTGAACTGAATGAAACAAAACAGAAAGGCTTGTGGTGGGTACAATTGCCAAATCTCTTGTAAAAGCAATCACTCACTCGGGAGCAAACGAGGAGTTGAAAGCAGTCGACTCGCTAGAGTGTTGGTTCCATGGTATTGTCACCCCTACAGATGTACTGTGCAGCCATGAGAATGCACAAGACAAACATTGGGGAAGCTCTTCACCTCAATGTTGTGACCACAACTAGCCTCCTTAGCATAGAGGAATTTCCCAGCCACGCCCTAACCACGAAATATAGTGTCTGATAGTCGCTTCAACCTTGCTACACTGCCCTTACCGGCGGAAGACATTGGTGTGATGAGCATAAGTAGTACTGATTGTTCGTTCCCTCTTCACATCCCCGTCGATGATGATGCTTCTGTCCGAAGAACATTGCTTACCCATTATACCATAGAGACCTTTGACTCGCTTACTTGTGATAGACATGTATCGGCAAGGGGCCTAGACTATCCGTTATAGACCGCGAGCACATTTCAAGGTCCGTTGTAACGAGGAAACGCATTCAAGGAGCGCAAGTACAACCTCTTTAATCTTACAGAGAGGAGAAATATTGACACGAGATAGTGGGTATACTCCTGGGCAATTCGGAGCCAGGCAGTAGCCCTTCCAAGGTTTGCAGCTATGGCATGGCAATAGCAAAGGAATCACTTCTGCCTTGTTAGCATCACAAAATTGACATGAACATCAATGCCGTGGCGTTAATTCTAACGAATATGTGTAGATGATGTTTAGTCAAACCGTTGAGTGTCATATGTTTTGCAGTCTCAAGCATAAGATTGATCAAATGTTACAAGAATACCGCAAGTAAGACAAGTCAACCCAATTCGCTTTAAAGAACTATTTGCTCTAACACGTTTCCCCCATCAATGAATGCCAGACACACCATTCAGCTCATCGTACATATCACAGACGCTCCTCTAACGCCAGCTTGCCCACAGCCTTCAACCCCCTCTCGCCATCAGCGAGGATGCACCACCCTTTGGCGCCTAGGGTCGGGCCCTCGGTGCCAGCAACGACGGCCTTGAAGTTGCCCTCCTCGCGCGCAAAGGCGAGGGCGGCGTCATCGTACGCGCCGGGCTGCAGCCAGACGGCGGGGACGCCGAGGCTCTTGGCCTCCTGCAGGGCCTTGATGGTCACGGCGGGCGGCGTGATGAAGGAGACGGACGTGCTCTTGGGGCTGGGCAGCGCGGTGAGCGTGGGTGCGGTCGGGAACTCCTTGGCCTCGACGGCGATGGAGGGCGCCCGGGGGTTGATGGGCGTTGCCGGCAGGTTGTGGTTGGCGTACCAGGAGAAGACTGAGCTGTGTCAGTATGACATTAACCGGAAAGAGCTATGACACATGATAAGGACAAAAGAAGACGTGAGAAGTATCTAATTGAAGACATCAGGTCCAGCCCGGAGGACTTCATGTCGCTTAGAGACGCGGAGCTGCCGTGGGCCGCGGCACAGCTCCGGGGCCAGCCCCCTCGGTCCTCGGAGTCTTTCTGCACTTGCAAAGGCACTTCACGACATCTACAAAGTCAACTGACCTTTGTGACCGAACTTGGATGGATCCGTGCTTGCGCCGACTACGGCGAATGCAGGGGATTCAAAGAATTGCTGCATGGTGGCGTCGGTCGTCATTTTGGCGGTTGTTGGCGGGGTTGAGGCTGGGCGACTGTGAGGATTGCGTCGCGAGTGATGAAAGTACCGGGAGTGTTGTAATCCGTTTGACGGTAGAGTAGATGTTGAATTGATTCCTGATCTTGATTTTAAAGCCAGACGACTTGCGGGTGCAGCGAGACGCTCATACGTCTTTATATTCATTGAATAAACAGTCTCTAAATATGGCGTGCTGTGATCTAAATAAGGTATACTACTTTATGTCGGTCCCTCAGGATCGACAGGATCACAGTCTCGCCCGTTAAGCTACCTGTAGGCTGCCCGGATGGAGCTGAAGCGACTTGTCACACACTGTACTCTTACATGCGGCACTCCTCATATTCAGCCTCGGAATCCAAGGCAAATCCGACCTTTCTGATTCGAAGATGGGGTATGAGCCGTCCAACCGACAGCTACCTGTCTTAATAAAGTGATCTGGACTAACAGCCGGGATCTGGACCCCACAGCTTCACAGGCGCATCGCATCATTTCAAGGATCTCCGAGATGGCTTCCCGCTCAACGTCTGGCCGATATCGCCGGTCGCTGGTCCGTCAGTCCGAGCGGAAATCGTCGGTCATATTGGTGACGAAATATCCAAGCATACTGCTGTCTATCACCTCAAACCAGTGCGCAGCCGCTTATTTCCAATGGCAATAAGAACTGGCCTCTGCCCGACAGGGCGCATCTTTTGACGATGCTACAGACTGTGCTATACCAAGTTGTGCTATAATAGACTACGTCCTGAGCTCACAGCCCACCATCTGCGCCACCAGCACGCAATGAACAATAGCCGCTCCCTTCGATAATCGATTTGTCTTGGGTTCTGCACTTCCCGCTCCGGCAGGATCAGCCCTGTGCCTGAAAGATTAGAGCGATTAGAAGAGATTATTAAACACCTGCATTGGAGTCGGGGAGACATAGCGCGCGCGCGCACTCGCGGCTGACACCGGCGCAATCATGACAAGCTTCGCGTAAATCCTCCCTGTCCTACCTACCTGCAGGCCTTCAGGACCAACCCATCGTACCTCCAAAGCTGACAACTGCCGCTGCCAGCAAATCGGGATTCTCGTACGCTGGCTACGCAGCTTTCCGCCCCAGCTATCCACCAGCGCTGTTCCGCACTGTCCTCGGCTTCCACAATGCCCACCGAACAGGCTCCCCGAACAAGACGTCATCGCCCTCGCCCAGCGGCACGCTGCTCGACATCGGCTGTGGCCATGGCCTCATCTCGCGGGAGCTGGCGCCGCACTTCGCAGCCGTGACCGCGATCGACCCCAGCGCAGGCATGGTGGCCAAGGCGCGCGAGCTGACGACCGACCCGAAGATCAGCGTGCGGCAGGCCGGCGCAGAGGACCTGTCGTTCCTGGCAGACCGGTCGGTGGACATGGCGGTGGCGGGCCAGGCGGCGCACTGGTTCGACTACAAGCGGGCGTGGCCGGAGCTGGCGCGCGTGGTCAAGAGCGGCGGGACGCTGGCGTTCTGGGGGTACAAGGACAACATTCTCGTGGGCTACCCGCAGATCATACCCATCTACTTCCGGTTCGTCTACGGTGGCGGGGAGGTCGCGCCGGGCATCGAGGGCCTCGAGAGGTTCTGGGAGAATCCCGGGCGGTCGATCCTCAGGGACTCTCTGCAGGCGGTGGTGCCGCCCGAGGCGGACTGGGCGGATGTGAAGCGCATAGTCTGGGACCCGGACCGCGAGACAGGCTCGATCGAGGATGCGCCGGTGGAGGCGCTCTGGCAAAGAAAGACGCTCAAGCTGGGCGAGTTCGAGGGCTACTTGCGGACGTTCAGTTCGTTCAATAACTGGAGGGCGGAGTACCCCGAGAAGAAGAGCCGGGCGGAAGGAGGAGATGGCGATCTCGTGGATGTCATGTTTGATCGCTTCCTCGATGCCGTGCCAGAGTGGAAGGCACTGGGAGACAAGTGGAGGGAATTCGAGGTAGACTCAGTCTGGGGGACTGTCATCCTGATGGCCAGGAGAAGATGAGATCCAAGTGGCCTCAGACTTTGTTGTACACTAAGTATAGACTTATGCCCCAATACTCAAATGTCGAAGATCATAGATCACGACTACAACGTGAATACTGCCCATGATCCATCTTCTCTATGAAATGCTCTACACGTGTATAATGCTATGTATAATAGACCCATTATGAGGTATTCAGGGTTCTGGGCAGAATGCAGGGTCTATAGTGTGATTGGCCGGTGTTGATCGTTGCCAATTACCAGGCAACTTACGGTGAGGTCTGGTTGCCCCGCCAAAGATGATCCATGGCCAGCAGCAATCTGAGCGCATGAAAGGCACAGACCAGGGTGACACTCTGGGAGGGCCAAGGGCCACCGCTTTAAACAAAAAGGGTCTTTCTGTTTCGCATGCGCATGTCTGCTTTCCTCTTCCTCTTTCCCTAGAAAACCACTATCGTGAGCCTCATTCCAGCTTCATTTGACCATACCAATTCCATCAGACACTTCGAGAAGCAGAAATGGTGAGTTACAGCCGTCTTCTCTACTGAAAAGTCCCCCTCCACACTGTTTGTACTGCAAGCTGCCCGCCTGTAAACAAACCTACCAGTCGCCCTACCCACCACTAAAAACCTGCTGCCCCCTTTAGCGCCTCTGGCGTGCTGCCCATCGGCCATCGGTCCTCAGTCCGTTGCGCAGCTGGCAACCGCTTTGAAAACAGGCGCATCCGCGATCTGCTGCTTTTCACGATCTCCAGTTCCCCTCGTATCCTGCATCTCCAAACTCCTACAACAACAATCAGCTTCTGCGCCTCTTGCACTCTGCCCCTATCGCGCCTCTTGCATCGCATTACCTAAACCCCTCTCAACCGAAACCTCCTCCCCAGCGGGACGCAGTAAACATGGCTTCTAACCAGTACGACGCTCAGGCATCAACAAATTACAAGGAGGCTTTCTCCCTGTTCGACAAGCGCGGCAATGGCCGTGTCACGATCGACAGCCTCGGCGACCTGCTACGCGCCTGCGGCCAGAACCCCACGATGACCGAGATCCGGGACCTCGAGAAGAACGTGGGCGGTGACTGTAGGTGTTACCCCGTTGGTCGCTCCCCGTTTGTTTACCGGGCGGTGTGGAGATGATGGATTCACCCTCCTACGAGGGCGCAACAGCAAAGCTGGCAGATCTTCTACCGCGACGAGTGCAAGAGATAACTGGTGCCAGATGGGAGAATGCTAATGCGTGCTGCCCCCTACAGTTGACTTTGAGACCTTCCAGCGCGTGCTGAACCGCCCCGGCGGCTTCCGCGACCCCGGCGAGCCAGAGGAGTACTGCCGCGGCTTCCAGGTGTTCGACAAGGACATGACGGGCTTCATCGGCGTTGGCCAGCTCAAGTACATTCTGACGAATCTCGGCGAGAAGATGACCGACGAAGAGGTGGACGAGCTGCTCAAGGCCGTCGACACCAGCTCCGGCCAGGTCAACTACACTGGTAAGACTCGCCCCTGAGCAGCATAGAGATATTCCGCGTTTGCTAATATTTTTTTCTCCTCCTCAGACCTCGTACGAACCATTCTCGCGAACTAGACGGGCTACGTGGTGCTCGAGAGGGAGGAACGGAACGTGAATGGAGTCATTGGTCACAAGGGGAAATATATTGCATGCATACTACAATGATGGATTCGGACAGGCGTTTTACATATTTGCTTTCAGAACCCGTGTACGAATTCGGTGCGTTCTCCTGGCTTGGGCTGAGTATGCGCCGGGCTTAGATAGGCACGATTGATGGATTAGAAAAGGCATTGATGCATGCTGGAACTGAAAGCATGACATTACCTCTTCAACCACTTGTGTTTGGTGCATGACTGAATCGAAGATGCTGGGGTATGGGCTCCTGACTTTGTGTGGCGCCTGGTTATCCCAACCTTCATTACCAGAGATTGGCTGTACCAAGCAGGGCTCCTTTATTATCAGTGATACGGTAGTTTCTCCGAAACGTTGAAATCGGGTATATCAAGCTCGTGTGAGCCTTCCAAGGCCACGAAGTGCTGGGATAAGCAAGACTCTTTCGACACGACGACTCTGACATTGATAGCCTCACTCTGGACATTATCCTCCAAAATGCATGCTCTTGGCGCCCTGTCTCTATTGTTGTCGGCTTTCCCGGGCTCTGCTGTGTCGTACACAGTCCCAGACCAGCCAATTGTTCAGAAAGCGCTTGAGTCGACTCATGCGACTCATCAAACAAAGTCAAGGACTGGTGAAGAGCCCTTGATGTGGGGTGGTGGATTGTGGGATTTGCCTGCCCAGAGCGAGGTGAAACATCTGGAGAACGGCAGATTCCAGCACCGTCGGAGGGCAATACCGCTGCTAGGTTAGTTGTCCCTTACCTGTTAGGTAGATGGTTGGTTTCGACAGCTGCAGATGCTTTGTGTCTTTCTGCCTCTTTGCCTTTTCTCCAACTGCACTTTCTCAAACCTAGCAAGACACTTCACTTCACCTTACCAGGGCACGCTTCAACTACCTGCTACCTGCAACCTGCAGCTTTCTGTTACATTGGATCATCCACTTTAACCTGCCGCTCTCGCCCGACATAGTTACGGTTCTGCAACAGCTTATGCGTGTGATCAAACCTACCTGGCATTACCTATTACTGTCATCACCGGTACTGCAGCCAACAGCTGCAATTGATTGACAGAACACACACTCTCTCATCTGGCAACTGGAGTGTCGTAGCCGACCCCGCATCAATCGGCCTACCGTACTAACATACAGTAACTAAGTGCCTGATTGCATCGACACCACTGCCTACTGCTGCCTCCTCCTCCCCTTGCATCTCCGCCTCACTGCTGCGGTCTCTTGCATGCTGCCGGATTAGGTAGCTTCTGAGTCTCTCAGTTTGGGTGTTCCTCTATCCTCTCGGGCATCCTGGCGTCTCTGGGCTCGAAGCGGCGCCGGTCCTTCCTCCTTCTCCTCTCCCTCCTCCTCTTCTCTATAACAGCCGTCATCCTGGCTGCCCCACGTGTCGCTCCTCGACTCTCCGCCATCTTCAACCACCTGCGTTACCGACCCAGCGCCTTCTCCGGCAGTACACCAGCTCCCTCGGGTAGGTGATTGCTCTTCCATGCTGTGCCCGCCTGTTGAGTAAACCATTGCTCTCTTGGATTTTCTCCTCAAGCAAGGAGAGCTTCAGATAGCTACATTGGCTTTATGCCCCTCTTCCACCTTGATCTTCTTCCTCATCACAGACTACTGGCATTGAGTAGGCAAGATGCTAATCTTCTTCCAGCAACAGCCACATACTCGACCTACAAGCCCTTCCTCTCCCATCCACCCGACGTAGTCATGTCGAAGTACAAGAGCCCACCGCAGGCCCCGCCGACCTTCATCGGCACCAAGGAGAGCATCGTCTCGGACGCAAAGGCCATGTGCGACAAGACCCGGAACCTGCTAGACACGCTAGTCGCCCAGATCCCCGCCAGCGACACCTCCAAGACGACCTTTGACACGGTGCTGCTGCCGCAGGTCGAGGACGAGAACGACGCCGCCCTCAGCGCCCGCATCCTCGGCTTCTACCAGTACGTCTCGGGCGACAGCGCCCTGCGGGACGCCTCCACCGAGGCCGAGAAGCTCATGGACGACTTCTCCATCGAGGCGGGCATGCGCGAGGATGTCTTCAAGATCGTCGACGCCGTGTGGCAGAGCAGGGACAAGATCCAGCTGGACCCCGAGAGCGCGCGCCTGCTCGAGAAGGAGAGGAAGAACTACATCAAGAATGGCTTGGGACTGCCGGCCGGTCCGCAGCGGGATCGCTTCAAGGAGATCAAGAAGAGGTTGAGTCAGATCCAGATTGAGTTCACCAAGAACCTGAACGAGGAGAATGGTGGGCTGTGGTTCACGAAGGAGGAGCTGGATGGCGTGCCGGAGGACCTTGTGGACGGCCTGGAGAAGGGGACGGGCGAGAACGACGGGAAGGTGAAGCTGAGCTTCAAATACCCGGACCTCTTCCCAACTTTGAAGTTTGCAAAGAACCCGGAGACACGGCGAAAGCTCTTTATTGCCAATGAGAACAAGGTAGGCCCGCATAGTTTCGAGTATGCCTCAAGGTGAAGACAACTGACACTGTGTTTAGTGCAACCAAAATGCGCCGTTGTTCAAGGAGACGATCCTTCTCCGCGATGAGGCTGCCCGGATGCTAGGCTACCCGGATCATGCCTCTTTCCGCATTGAGGACAAGATGGCCAAGACTCCGAAGACGGTGAATGATTTCCTTGGTGATTTGCGCACGCGACTTGCTCCTGGCGGAGAAAAAGAGAGAGATCACCTCCTAGAGCTCAAGAAGGCCGATGCCGAGGCTCAGGGTCTGTCCTTCGATGGCAACTACTACCTCTGGGACCATAGGTATTATGATCGCCTGATGATTGAGAAGGAGTACAGCATCGATGAGAACAAGATCTCTGAGTATTTCCCGCTCAAGAACACTGTTGCGGGCATGCTGAACATCTTTGAGACGCTGTTTGGCTTTGTGTTCAACGAGTTGTCGCCTGAGGACCGCGCCAAGATTAGTCCCACTGGCAAGGCTGAAGATATTGCGTGGCATGAGGATGTCATCATCTTCAGCGTTTGGGACAATGCGGATGAGGGCGATGGCTTTGTTGGCTACTTGTATCTCGACTTGCACCCGCGGCCCGGCAAATACGGCCACGCCGCGAACTTCAATCTGTAAGTGCTACGGCGATGTTTCTTGTTTGTGTGTTATGAGCTGACACGAAATGATAAAGCCAACCCGGCTTCCTGCTTCCCAATGGCACGCGGCGCTATCCCGCCACGGCCTTGGTGTGCAACTTCAGCAAGCCCACTCCCAAGAAGCCGTCTCTGCTGAAGCACGACGAGGTGGTGACACTGTTCCACGAGCTCGGCCACGGTATCCATGACTTGGCTGGTCGATGCAGGTACAGCCGCTTCCACGGTACCTCCACGGTTAGGGACTTCGTCGAGGCGCCCTCGCAGATGCTCGAGAACTGGTGCTGGACTCCCAGCCAGCTGAAGGCCCTGAGCAAACACTATGAGACTGGCGAGAGCATCCCAGATGACCTAATTGAGAAGCTTATCTCGACGAAGCATGTCAATGATGCACTTTTCAATCTCCGCCAACTGCACTTTGGTATCTTTGACATGACTGTGCACACGCCCAAGACTCACGAGGAGCTTGAGAAGTTGGACCCCAGCGCAGTATACAACGAGCTGCGGACCCAGATCGCCGGGATGAAGGGCCCCGAGGCCCAAGGCGAGCCTAGGTAAGTGGATTCTGTTTAACAACCTCGAAATCGAAATAGTTGACTGACTGGTCACAGCACCTGGGGCAACGGCCAAGCCACATTTGGCCATCTCATCGGTGGCTACGACGCCGGTTACTACGGCTACCTCTCCTCGCAGGTATACTCGACCGACATGTTCTACAGCGTGTTCAAGCAGAACCCTATGGATTCGAAGGAGGGCAGACGGTACAGGCACACTGTACTGGAGAAGGGCGGTAGCCAGGAGGAGATGCTTACGCTAGAGCAGTTCCTGGGCAGGAAGCCTAACAATGAGGCTTTCTACAAGGATTTGGGACTGTCGAGCTGACTAGCTAAAAAGGGGGATCTTGAGCGGAGTCGGCTGTGAGCATTGCATGGTATGCTTGGCAGAACCATCGCCTCTTGAGAAGAACTGAAGTAGTAGACGTCACTCAAATTCAACAATTAGTAAAAAACCCCGCCGTTGAGACCATTTGTCTATGAAAGTGTGTTAACAGCATCCTACTTTTACGGTTGCAATGACTCAATCATATATCTGCCTGCAGGTTCATTCATGGCACAAAGACGCAATGCTTCCCGATGCCCATATGCTCGGCTCCTTGGTCGAGTCCTTCTTTCCAGTCCTCCAAGCCAAACGCCTTTGTGTCCACAAAATCCTTGCCTCGCGGGAACAGGCCCCTTTCTAGCATCTTTACAAACTGCAGCATGTCGTCTCGCTCATACATCAGCTTGCCCTTTAACGCTATATTCTTGCCCACAAAGGTCCACGGAGGATAGGGCTGATCGATGAACCCCATGATACTGATGCGGCCTCCCCGTCGCAGGGCACGCACGGCACTTCTCACATGTGATGACTGGGACCCCTGAGGTGGCGTGAGGTCTAGCACGGCGTCAAGCTTGCCAAAGGCTTGCAGTGCCTCCGTATCTGCCGTCTCATCCCCCGTCAGCTTGAGAGTCTCGATCTCAGCGTTCGGCGAGCCCCTTTTCACGTGCTCCTTCAGCCTGGCCAGCTCCTTTTCGTTGCGGCCCATGGCAATCACGCGCGCGCCCATGGCGATGGCGACCTGCACGCCGGCGCCGCCATAGCCTCCGGTTGCTGGACAGATGAGAACGGTCTCGCCCGGCTCGAGGCCAATGTCTCGCAGCCCGCCGTACGGGACGAGCAGGTAGGACATGTACATGAGGTCCTCGATCGAGTACCCCAGGCTGCCACACAGCCTCGCCTCGTCGAGCACGACGCAGTTCTCCAGCGGCACCCGCGCGTACTCGGCAAACGTGCCGTCCCGCCAGACGTCGCGCATCAGCCGCTTGCTGCCGTCGGTCATGCCGTCGTTGATGGCCGCGAGGAACAGGTTGGCGGGCTCGTCGCGCCCGCGCACCACGCAGTCCACGTAGACGAGCTGGCCGGGGGTCAGGGCCGTGGCGTCTGGCCCGACGGCGACGACGCGGCCGATGGCGTTGAGCCCGGCGACCAGGGGCGTGGGGAAGGAGTAGTGCCGCGCGCCGTTGTACACCTCGCGCTGGTAGGAGAGGATGCCGGCGGCGGCGACGCGGACGATGGCGCTGCCGAGGCCGGGCTGGGGGGTTGGGACGGCTTTGACGTGGAAGCCGGCCTCGATGCTCTCGAGAACGAGGGCGCGGTGCTGTGGGGGGAGAGATGCTGCCATGATGAATGTAGAAAACCAGAATCCTGAGATGCCAATGAAATGTTTGTTTTAGATAGATGAGATCGCATGTTTGCGGTTGCAACCCCTTGGAGCTTTTATATCTTCATTCGACTGCTTGTACGGTGTAAGTCGGACATCCTTGGAGCTAGTGTGTATATCACCGACCATCTCCGGCTGCAAAGTCCTGGCGGTGAATTTTCACAGCCTCTGAGAAGACAAGAGAACAAAAGCCTCTAGTAGTATGCCCGATCATGTCCGACTGTAGACTTTGATCCTATGCTTCAAGTGTGTCATTCCTACCGAGTCGAGAAGTCCAGTCATCGAACCTATTCTCTCAGCGGGTTAAGCTATATGTATACCACCTAAGAATATCATCGCGCCAAATGTCTCAGCCAGGGGGCGGAGAACAATGAGAATACAGCTACATCAGATCAAATGTTTTTCAGCTTGAGCATGAATGAGAGCGTTTCGTTATTCTTCCACTAGGAAGTGAGCCAAGCGTGTCTACCACGTCGGCGGAGTTGAAAGAGTCATGACAACTAGGATTGAGATGGTGCCGGAGAAAGTCGGGGGTGCGGAGATAAATCGTTAGAAGATTTTCCCTCCACCGAGTTAGGGGAGAAACAAACGAGCGAATGGTTGATCAGTATGTGCAGTAATTATATGATTGAGAGCATCTTGTGAGTCTAACACTCCGATGATAGAAGGATCTTAGAAAGACCAAGCTATCAGCGAAGCAAGGGAAATGCTCAGGCGTGTCACTAAGCATGTGGTAAGAGACACGTCAAGAACAGAGGCATTTGATGTGATTGGATTGAGTCCACAAGAAACGAGGATATCTAAAAGCTTTTCACAGACTTGTTCTCTTCAAGAAGCGAGCAATTCTTGAACGATGCTGAGTGCATGACGTTGTTTAATGCTGGGGCGCAGGGCGATGGCCTTTGCGGCGTAAATTTAGCGGGTCAGCCACAGCACAGACTATTATTGCTTATACAATGCCACACGGCACCACCCCCAAAGTAAACAAACGCGACCCCACAGACCAATGACATGCGCGCGCGACGTTTGGCTTGGACTCCCACCCACCACCACCTTCCACACCTTTGATCTATTTGATCTACTCAGCAAAACACCCGGAAGTTGCACGCTGAATATCTACGCATACTACCGTGCTAAGCCCCTTCTTCACGACATATAGCTGCTCACAGCTTCCCCGATCACCAATTTAATTTACAGCTACGTTCAGCTTCGCTCCTACCGCCCTGTTGCCGCTGTCGCGGTAGCAGACTTCCGATAGCCTCCTTTACGAACGCCTGAGAGCTGCGCATTGAGCAGCATTATCTTTCAACATGGCGACAGAGGACATGGACGATCGATATTTCATCTACGAGAACCGCCTGGCTTCGTTCCAGGGACCACAGCCAGTTGCCAAGCGGAGAGGATCCAACGCGCACTCGCGAGCTCCCAAGGCACTGCAGTGGCCTCACAAGAACCTCGCTGCATCCGACGTAAGTGTGCAGTCGTGCAGACCAACAGACCATTGCTTACTGACTGATACGCCTCAAAAGTTGGCCAAAGCAGGCTTCTATTTCCATCCGCTTCCTAGCAACCCCGACAATGTCGTCTGTTTCCTGTGCCAGAAGGCGCTTGATGGCTGGGAGGAAGACGACAATCCATTGGCAGAGCATTTGACGCATTCTCCCGAGTGCGGCTGGGCCATCACCGCGGCAATTGAGGTCGAATATGGCGGCTATGCCAAGGAAGACCCCAGAGAACCACTCATGATTGAGGCGCGGAAGGCGACTTTTGCAGCAAGGTGGCCCTACGAGGGAAAGAGGGGATGGAAGTGCCAGACGAAGCAGGCGAGTTGCTCTCTCATACACCGCGCGCGATCGCAGTTGCTAACAATCGAATAGCTTGTTGAGGCCGGCTGGAAGTACACCCCCACCATGGACTCCGATGACAACACGACTTGCACGTACTGCCAATTAGCCCTCGACGGATGGGAGGCTGGCGATAAGCCTATGTAAGCATTGTCCCCTGAACAACGTGCGCTCCCATGTATTCCTATTGACCATTGATTCAGGGACGAGCATTACAAGCGCTCTCCCAATTGCCCCTTCTTCGGCCTCATCAACTCGAACCCAGCACCTAAGAAAGCCGGGCGCAGTAAGGCAGCTAGAAGCTCCAAGGCGTCCAGGTTGTCAATTCAGTCCGTTGCTACGGCGATGTCAGACATCACCTCCATTGCAGACTTACCAGCAGACGCCGACGATTCGATCCTGACTACTACATCAACCATGACTCAAGGTGGGAAGAAGGCCAAGGGCCGAAAGCCGGCTGCCGCAAAGGGCAGAAAAACGCGTGCCAAGAAAGACGAGACGGTAGAGATCCATGAAGACGAGCAGGTAGATGAAGTCGAGAAGCCTCAGCCACCGGCAAAGGCTAGTCGGGGCCGAAAGCGAACCAGCGATGAGGTTGAGCAGTCCATCTTGACCAACGTAGAAGCCCCTGCCCCGAAGCGACGCAACACGAAGGCTAGAGGCAGCAATGCTGGCGATACATCTGTCCTCACAGTTGACAATCACCATGACGTCGAAATGGTCGATGCCCCAGCACCTACGAAGAAGTCTGCAGGACGCAAGAAGGCAACAGCAACAAAGGGTCGACCAAGGAAAGCGTCCGCCGCTTCCATTGCATCTACTGCATCCACAGCTTCGCTACGAGGGAGATTGCCCAATGACGATGAGCTAGACCGTCAACTCGAAGCTGATCTCGATCGACCTCTTTCAGACGACGAGGACATTCTGGCTGATTCGGACTCCGAGCGACGAAATGCTCAGCTTGCCACAAAGATGAAAGGCAAGAAGGTGACAATCGGCAAGAGCGCGAAACAGGGCCAGACAGAAAGCACAGACTTCGCAATGTTCGACCCTGCTCCAGCAGATCCAGACGATGCCGCCGTAGATGCAGAGCTCAAGATGCTTGAGGCAGAAATGGCAGTCGAGGATGAGGTTGAGACGTTGAAGGTGCCCAAGAAGGGCCGTAAAGCCGGCACTAGAAAGGTATCGAAGCAGACCAAGAAAGCCAAGGTGCCTGCTCCTCCTTCCGAGCCCGACGAGCTGGAAGAGCCTGCTCCAGCTCCTAAACTGCCGAGAAAGTCGAATGATGTTGAGACACAAGATGTCGGTACCGCCAACACTGACACGACTGTCAAGAAGAAACGAGGACGCCCGTCAAAGAAGTCAACTTCATCCCAGGCAGAAGTAGACCAGGTGGCTCAGCAGGGTCCGTCAAATGCGGCCCAAACTGAACCAGTGGAGGCTCCTGTGGCTCTAGAAGTTGAATCGGCGACAATTCGTGAGTCCTTTTCGGCTATGAAGGGCACACCAGGGAAGATCGAGCGGAAGCCAGTGCCAAGCCACCCGCCGAATCAAGCAGAGAAGGCTCTTCCAGCACCCCCATCATCACAATCTCATCTTATGCCTCATCCACCGGCAACTCCTCGAGCGAATCACATCTCGCCTGCGCACTCAGCGAAACAAGCAACTGTGTCACCTTCCCCATCACCCCAAGCATCTGATGCGGAGAATCAACCACCATCATCTAAGCCAACGACCAGTGCCAACAGCAAGCGCATCGCGCTGGCGCCTATGCCTGTTGCTGCAACACCGATGCGTAATGGTTCTCCGTCTAAGCGACAGAACGTGATCGGCGGTCTGCAGACCACGGCACCGTGGACAGCTGTTGACCTAGATTTGGTTTTTGAAAACAAGGAGAATGCTCATGGGGCCTCCGCAGAACGATTCTTCAGTCAGGGCGGAGACCTTAGCAGTCCGGAGAAGAGGATGACGGTCGAGGAGTGGATCTACTACAATGCTGGCCAAGCCGAGCAGAAGCTCAAGCATGAGTGCGAGACAATGGTCACTGCATTCGAGAAGGAGGGAACGAGAGCCATGCAGGCGCTTGAAGGCTTGGTTGTCGAGTAAGCTTGTCTCGATGGACTGGATGAAAATAGCTTGACGTGTATTTATTGCATATGAGATGTTGGCCTGGCGTATACGGTGGCTATTGGTTTTAGACTTGGTCAAGTCGGCGCCTATTGGGCGGAACAATACTTGATGTTAGCATACAGAATCGAGTTATGTCTTCACCCCGAAAATGCTGAGCATTCTGTTTCTTGCCACGATGCATTTTCAAAATCTTGTTCTAGCATCAGCGAATTCAATGCGGCTCCTGAGCTTCACTTTATCTCAGCGGATAGTCGGCAGTGGCCCAACATAGCTCTTCCTCAGGTCCCCGCATTCAGTAGTTCACGGATCGGCAGGGTGGATGCGGCACAGCTCCCCTCGGACTTCAGAACGCGAGCCCGGGGGCCAGATCGGCAGCGCGGAGGACCAACAGGTGCTACAAGCCATCCTAATGACCTCATTCGGCCTTCCAGTGCCACCACTCAGCCGCACCGTACTGCCAAGCTTATTGGCGACAGGCCGACATTAAGAATAACGTTAAATGGATCATGACGATCGAGCGAATCCTGAAATGCTTGGCACGGTTACCCATGATCAAGTTCAGGCAGATACATATTGACCTCGGATACCGAGTTCTCATATAAAACATGTCGACGGGGATTGCGTTAAGTCCCTGGGAAGGATAACTGGAGTCTGAAATGCGGTTGTCAATTTATTGTAGCAACACTAGTTGACGTAGACAGCTTCAATATGCACTCTTCAATATTCATCGCTGCATTGAGCCTTCCCTTGGTTTTGTGTTCGGGCCTCAGCAAACGCGACTGTAACGACATCGCCCTCGGAGGCCATTATGCCGCGGAAGGATATACCACAACCTACCCGACAACCTTCATGGTATCGCAGCCGTTGAATTGCACCCAAGAGCTAGCCTCGAGTGACGGTGACAATGATTCGAGACGCTGCGCGTTTAAACGATATGCCGAGGGACTCGAGGTCCATTCGACCCTCAATATCACCGTGTCAGATCCCCAGCAGGTCTTCGACCGGATCAAGCAGGCCTCGGACCAGCAGCACGTCGATTTCAACGAGACGATTGTGATGAACTTCACGAACCCTATCAGCAGTGGCTATTCAGTGAATTTTACTGGTTATGTAAGTCAAGTGATCCCTCTCAATAAGCTTAGAACCAGAAGGTCAAGAAGTACTATAGATAGTAACGGCTTACTGACTTGCTTAAAGTGGGGATTCACGCCTTTTCAACGATGTTTCGAAGGCATTCTCCTCGACTGCGACGGCGACGACGCAGCTGCGAACGCAACTACCTTCAAGGCGTGCGGGCTGCAGATCCTGACGCTGAGCGATGACCCCGGCCGGATACAATACGATGGCGTAATCGCGGGCGTGCAGTGGGTGGGCGATTACAGCAAATACGCTAACATGACGGAGCCGCAGCCGAGATACGACGATGTCAAGGGCAATGCGACGTACTTCGAGAACGGAGGCAGGGTGGGTGCTACGAGCTTTGCTGGGGCATGGGGCGGAGCTACGGCAGCTGTAATGTGGTTGATGTGGTGGTCTATTGTATAAGCATAGTATTGATAGGTATGATTAACCACAATCTGACCTTTAGCGATTACCAAGACTATATACACGACTACGTATCCCCTGGTCTTCTATTCACAAGACATGGACAACTTTTCGGACCAAAAAGGTCACATTCTATGCTATAAATGGTCTGTTCTACTCGGGAGGTCAGTTCAATGGGTTTCTTTTCATCTCCCCGGAGTATTTCGAAAACCGACTCAGATCCCAAGCCGTTCCATATAGTGATTCTTCATAGAGACGTGGGTTGGTGTGCGTTTGGGAACTTCATCGCATTAGTCCTAGCAATCAGGAAAGACTGTCCTGTGACATTCGGATCCTTGGGAATGAAGTTGTGTGGGAAGCCCGGGTTAAAAGGCTTGACACTTTCAATGTATTCGATTTCTTCAGCAGTGAGCTTGATGCTCAAAGCCTTGATGTTGTCTTGTAGGTGCTCGATCTTGCGTCCACCAACAACAGGGAAGACATTAGCAGCCTTTGACATAACGTACGCCAACGCGATACTTGTGACAGATTCAATCCCGTGGTCTGATGCCACCTTGGCCAGAGCCTCGCTCATTTTGATCTCCTCCTCTGTTTGGTGTGGAGGTCGCCCACCGAACATGCGCAAGTTCGCACCGGCACTTTTACGTTTCTCCATGTCTGCCTTAGTTTGGAGGTGACCCCCTCCAAGAGTGGCCCATCTGTTCACATTAATCGTTAGCATTAAAACACACCAGAAGGGAAATTGAAGACGTACGGCGCAAGTGCCATGCCGAATTGACGGGCCATTGGGATGATGTCACGCTCGAAGTCTCGCTCCAACACATTCCAGCGCCCTTGATAAATGCTAAAAGGGGTCTTTCCGTAGGCCATGGCATAAGTGTTGGCTGCTGATACTATCCATGCAGGCATGTCAGATGCTCCAAGATACAGCACCTTACCCTGCTCGACAAGTATATGTAAGGCATCCATGACCTCCTTAATCGATGTGGTATAATCCCAGTAGTGAACATAGTAAATATCTATCGTAGGTGTATATGAGTAAAAGTAACCTCTGACGGGAACAACATCCAGCATGGCTCAAACTCACCAACATAATCCGTGTGTAGCTTCTTTAGTGAATCCCGGATGCTAACATGTATGCTGTGGCGGGAATTTCCAGCGAAATTAGCTGCTTGCGACCCTTGCCCAATGGCATGACTGCGGTAGTCCATTGTAAACTTAGTAGCCAGGACAAGAGAGTCTCGGTTTTTACGGGCCTCTATCCATTGGCCAATCCACGTCTCAGACTGTTCGTTCTGGTAATTATTGGCTGTATCGATAAAGTTGCCACCGGCGACACAGAAAGCGTCCAGGAGCTTGAATGCTTGGTCTTGGTCCATTGAGCCCATAGCTCCGGCCCAAGCATCGCCAATGGACATACCCCCTAGCTGCAAAGGAGAGACTCGCACGCCAGCGGTAGGCGATAGAATGCGAAGGCGTCCCAGCTCAGTGGGTGTGTTTGGTTCGGCCATGGTCAGTCTTCTAATAAATGTTGATTATCTATGCGGCAGATATGAAACTTGAGAGAGTCTGTTTTTGTGAAAGATGCTTTTAAGCATCTAATATGAATTACATTCAAAGAGCTATTTTAATCTTTGATTTTATATCTTTTGCTGTTGCGAGAAGGGTGCTATAAGTTGGTTAATTCGAGCCTCGCGATCCAGGTGGAAATAAGGCTTAGGCCTCGCGCCAAGGAGATAGACTTAAACTCCGCGCCTCCAACTCTGAATTGCAACACCCGAATCATGCCACTTTAAAACTAGCAGACGGGATTGAGGCACGGTCGCGAGTCAAGGATTTACATCAGCATATATGACGTTTGTAGTAAGTTTGTTATTTCACTGACACCGCCTATGGTCCATAATGCATAATCCGGCGTGTCAGCATAGCCAAGTAAGAACTCCAAATGTAAACTTGAATCACAAAACAACAGTAGTCCTTATTTTCCGGTCCGTTAAAGAAGTAAAGCGTTGTATGTTAGGCTGCTCCACGTTGAGACCTCACGATTCTGTTCTGAGCTGTGTAGTTATCGGCATTTTCGCTTTGCGCTCATTAATTGTCCAACATTTGTAGAGCAAGCCATCTACTGCTATTTCTCCCGCACTCAAAAGTTGCTGAGCGCGTCTTTTTTAATCCCAAAGGGGAATGATAAAGTAATATTCATTTCTTTTTTATCGTTTACCAAAACACCTTGGAAGCACAATTCTACTTTCATAACCCCGAATCTTTTATGTATGATAACCGAATACAATGTCTCAATTCTTGACCAAGTTGTTGAATGGTCGCCGCTTTGATTTGAGAAGTGTTGAGCATGGCGTGTATTTGTGATACAGCTCGGGAGTCTTGTTTGTGGTGCTTAGCTGAAGTCGATAATTGCCAAATGCGGCTGCAGCTATGCAGGAAACCCAGAGCCAAAGCGTGCCACTTCATCATGCATGGTCGCGTGTTCCGATATCCGGAATTTAGCTCTTCACATTTTCTCAAATTTTCAGCCAAGAAAGAAGTGAAAAGACTGTGTGCACAGCCGGGGAATAAATTTCTCCCTGAACACAGCTCTTTGCAGAACGTCTATCGTTTTCAAAATCTACCTTCTTACAGTCCGCCCCCCTCTTCGTACCTCTGCGCGTGAAAATAAAAGTTTCATTTTTATTTTCAAACGAATACTCAGTACTGTTCGCCACGACCTAATGGTATGCTAGTAGCCTCTTTGGACCTTCATCTCTATGTAGATTCATTATACTCATTTCACTGGACAAGATGGTATTATATGATGACGAAGGTATAACCTAGTGGCTGACTGAGTCTGATACAAACGCTGACTTTCCGGAGCTCATGACGCGTTTTGGTTTAGTGATTCAGGTATGAGAGCCAAAACGAAGGACTATCGAAAGAAATTAGATCAGGCTCTAGAAAGCCACATTTTTAAAAAGCCCAAGGATGAAAATGGCAACAACCTCCCTGGGGCAACAAAGCATCCATGGATCGAAGGGGCCGTTGATGCCGAGTGGAGACTTAAAATATTCGAACTTGGAGAAAATCAACACCATGTCGCAAGGGAGTCACCGCAATTCGTCACTGTGCCAGAATTCAAGTCATACTGGGAAAATATGTTAAACAAAAATCCAACTGAAAATTGGCACCGACGTTTGGTTATTCTCGAAAGCCTAGACGCAAGATTAGCTGAGGTACTTGGAGTTGAACTTGACATTCCTCCGGAGTTTTTCTTGGCACACTGTGATACTTTCACTGACTTGAGTGTGGTTGATCGTTCCTACGCAAAACAAAGCAGCTCAACATATTGGAGGGTGCCTGTACCGCAGCAAAAATCTTTCAAAGCAGAGCCTGTTAGCTCATATCTTGGAATGAGTATTACAGCGGGGGCTTTCGATCGCATACCGGTGATTCAGAAAGATGGATCAGCTGATTACTACAGCTTTGTGTCTTACTGGGGCAAGACTGATGGAGAGGATTCTTGGACGAGTGAGTGGTTGTTCGTGATTAAACCTAAGAATACCTGCTGATGTTTCCAACCATGAGTACAGCTCTTCTATTGGTCGATCCCCCAGGAAGCGAAATATACATTGGACCTGAGCAAAAGCTCTTCCAACTCGGCAACTGGATGCCCGTAAATCGAGATCTTTGCCATGAGGTTATACTCGGGTCTAATGTCAAGAAGAGCCAATCATACGGGCGGTCCATATACGATGCTCTCATAGAGATGCACCAACTTTCGCTGCCTGCGCACACGAAAGATCCATTTTCGTCGACTTGCTTCGCTCGAAACTTTATTCGTGCGGTGTGGGAGGAGCGTATTATCAGGGATGAGTGGGACGTTTTTGACGACTTAGCCAATGACCAGTGGGAGCATGGCGACTGGCTTCTCAATACGTCCCAAGAAGCAGAAATCCCAGATGATCAAGGCAACGAGAAGATTCGAGGATTTCAAAGATTAATGACTCGCCGGCAGAACATACCGCTACAGATACGACAACTTCGATCCATCATGTGGAAATTCCATTGTGAAGACACCTTCCAAGCTTTACTGGCGCAAGACATTCAGGAGTCTCAGAGCATCATCGAAGAGCGGAGAGGATGGAAAATCTTAGAAGAAAAGTTGCAAGCAATGGGAGCAACACTCGGGTATCACCTAGAGATGTACTCCCAGCGCGCGGCAATGGAAGAAGCTTACTCGGCCGCAAGGCAAACACGGGCGGCTAATCGGATGGCACGCAGCTCTGGCCAACTTACCAAGATTGCCACCACCATAGTCCCATGCACCTTTGTGGCCTCAATCTTTTCCATGGGTGGTGATTTTGCAGTTGGCGAAAGACACTTTTACCTCTACTGGGTGATTTCCGTGCCGATAACGATTGCGCTCCTGGCTTGGGTCCTCTACGAGGATGTAATCGAAGTCATACAGAAATCCCTCAAAGGTGTGACTGCTATTAGACAGAAAGTAGTTCGATGGGCGAAGAGCGAGAAGAGAACACTAGTGACTGAGAGCCAATTTTCTCCGGCTCCTGCACCAGAGTCGACATCGCCAGAGTTGTTTATTGTACGACGGCGTTCGCCGCAGAAGGGACGAAGCACGACCTCTATTGTTTAGGAGAACCCGTACATGTCCCTTGTTCACATCATCATGTCGACAAATTTGTCGAAGACATGCTGGATTGTCGCGTATGGCTCATATAGGGGTACATTTCAGGGGCACCCATAGTCTGATCGATTTTTTAATCACGGCTGCTATCGTGACTTTAAGTGTTCTTATGTATTTAACTGGCCTTTTTCAACTCGGAAATTTGAAGGCGTGCTATAAGTCTTGTTGTGGTATGCTTAGAGACAAGGAGATGATGATTGCGAAGGCCTGTGTGTAGGACTGCTAGTTTCTACAGTGGATTGCAACGTTATGATTAAGGGGCCCTTGAAGGGAAAAGTCTTGTTTCTGAAAAGCAGGGTACAGCCTTGGCCATCACACAACACTAATGAATTTTACGAACTAGGATACTTAGCAGACGTTTCTGATGAAACATCCGATTCTACCTTCCATGTTGGATATTGTCGGCCGGGCACTTCTCTCTTCTCCTTCTCGTCCCTACTTGTCATCTGAACACTGAAACCTCTAGTCATCTTGATGCCGCTGTTGTCGACAATCAAGTCTTCTACGCTATCGCCTTCTGCATCAGGCCCTTCAGTGCGCCTGCGTGAGTTGATCTGCCCAATTGTTCCCAGACCATATGTACGCCCCGATTCGCTCTGAATGGTTGTCGCCTTGTGACTGAGCCCGAGCATACGGCGGAATGATTGAGTAAGGGGCACTCTCAACACGGGAAGACCTGTGAACGCATTAGTCAACACGAGAAACATGAATGAGCTGGCAAATGGAGTAGTGGAAATGCTTCATGGGAGGGAGTACGTACAAGCACAAATAATCGCTACATTAGTCTCAACAAAGGTCCAACTGTTTGAAGTTGCTTGATAATCTGTAACCAGGTTAGAGCGGCCAGGACTGGGTTTCCCAAGTTGCAAATTACTTACAGATTTGATCAGTCGCAGTAGTTTGAGGCGACACTGTAACCATTCGTATTATAGTACACGCGATCACGAAAATACCGAGACTGAAGAGGCAGCCGAGTAGAGTCTTCTTCACTAAAGGCAGTTGGAGTTTTCTGATCTCGATGATTGGTAACACGATGATCATCACGTCGGTCAAAATTATCATTATGGAGGTTGCTGTAACAACAGTCAGTGTCGATGTCGCAGACCAAGTTCTCATTTGCACTTTGTGAAAGTGGCGATTGGTTTCACCTACAATACCAAATTTTTCTTGAATCTAAGCATTGGCCATCAAGGCCCTTGTTCCAAGCCTTCTCGATAGGGTTGCATGAGAAAATAGTGAGAAAGACTGCAACGAGTGTATAAACGATAGTGATTCCCATCACACTGAAGACAGCAATTCGAAATTTTGGAGAAGGGAATATTCGAAGGTACATTGTGCAAATCGATAGCTTGGTAAGACAAGTCGCAACCTTGTACAGGATCTGAGCAGCAAAGAACCACTACGTCTGTTAGTATCGCGTACGTAGAGACACTGTAATAGGGCAGGACCACTGACCTTGAAAGCTGTTGTTCTATGCCCTGCGTCAACCTGATCTTTGTGAAGTCCAAAGCCGTAACGAGCCTCTATCATCTTGTCAGTTCAGAACGGACAGTGTTGCAGGAAATTGACCCAACGAACCTTCATTATAGGTGACTGTCATGCAAACCGCAAGCACCTGCTCCCAGTTAGATCTGCCCAGCTTGGATATCAAGTTCGAGTGTCATACCAACGCGCCCACAATGAGTGCATCATCTACCCCAAGCAGCCTGCCACGGAGATATCTAGTCAAGAGTCTGGCGGTGACGAAGAAACCCGAAAGGCAGACAAACACGATGGAGAGTCTGGACAGACTCTCACCACGTGGGTTTGGTAGATGGTCGTCGATCGCATCACGTCGATCGATTCCCCAACTGAGAAGACCATCCATGGCTGAAACCGACAGGCCAGATTCTCTGATCAACGTTGAAGAAAGCTTGGATCATGCCCAGGGGTAGAACGTCTCCAGAAGAGGAGACCAGCGCGAGTGCGTTCGACGAGGGCTCCCTTATAATGCATCCATCCATCGAGCGCCCCTGATCTGATTAGGGCAGGCCGGGTCTGTCTGCATCGCCGGGTCGCTTTGCTCGCCGTAGGCTGGGGGCACAGCAGAACATACCACTTCCAGGGTCTCCTTCGGTTCCCACTCTGAAGGCTAAGGTGGCTAACTAGCACCTATCTAGTGTAGCACGACATGATAAGCTTTCATCATTCGTGGAGTGTTGGGCCGTGCATGAGTTGGAACTAGTCAAACGCCATCACTGGCCAGATAACGGTCCGCACCTCCCCGACCATCTGTAAGGGCTGGGGATCGCTACCAGGTCGGTTCCTAGTACCTGGCATAGTGCGATGCTATCGGCCCCGCAGGCCTGATCTGGATTGATAAAAAACTCTACGCAGCAAGCAAGGGGGCTGATCAGGGTTTTGCACATAGTAGTCTGCATACCAGTACCAAGGCATTACAAGGAAGAGGAGCAGTACACGCAACCATTACCGACCACCCCGACCCGGCTACAGTGAGCCGATAGCTAAGCATTAATCCTGGGCATTTGCTAAACTCTAGAGGACTCTAGAGTCGATCTCGTACTCGTCTGCCCGCACTAAAATGCCGATAGCGCTCCTACTCTAGTTGAGAAGCTAACTTCCAGGCCGTTGGCAGAGATGATCCTGGAATTGTGCGTGGTTTTTCATTTCGCTTCGGGCAGCCGGCGTGTCAGCATCAGCTGCGAGTGCGCGTATAATATGCGGCCTGGAAAGGAGAAATCCGTCGTCTAACGTACGGAGTCTCTCCTTCCAACCATCCTACCGGTACCGTACTGTACCCTCTTCTTTGTTGCTTGTTTTTAGCCGTTTTCTGGTTGTGGTTCGCCAAAAATGAACTCCCGCTCTTTTGTACTCTCTTGCCTGGTGGTGGCCGGTCGGGCCCTCGATACTGTCCAGTATGGCGCGTTGTAAGTCTTCGCATCACCTCACACCCCCCAACAATGACGTAAAATTGTTTGAGACATTTGCTGAACATTGCGTAGTCTACCCACTGCTACCTACTCGGTTGCCAATCAATTGGGATTCTTCACGGAATTAGACCTCAATGTTGTCTATTCTCAGGTCCCCAACAGCACGGCTGCCTTCTCTTCAATCTTGAGCGGCCAATATGACATTCTGACGGCAACTGTTGATAACGCGCTCAACTACCGCTTCAATCAGAAACAGAATGTTACTGTCCTAGGTCAATTGGATCAGGGCCCTGATCTGGTCGTTGCTTCGATTCCCTCGATTACAAGCTTCGACCAGCTCAGAGGCAAGCCCATCATTGTTGATTCGCCTGTGAGCGGGTACGCCTACCTCTTGCGGAAGGTCCTGTCCGCGCATGGCCTAGAGCTTGCAAACGGTGACTACTACTTCATGGTGAGTTCAATGCAACGCTACTAGTCAAAGATAACATACTCATTCGAGACAGACTGTGGGTGGTACATCGGCAAGATACTCTGCGCTGCTTAACGGAGCTCTTCCCAACGGCACTGCGGTATACGCCACCATTCTGAACTATCCCTTCACAGTCGAAGGCGAGTCTTTGCCCGAAGGACAGGCCCCAACCATTCTCGACCGTGTCTCAAATGTCGTTGCACCCATCACCTCAAGTGCCTTCACTATTCGGGAGTTGTCACTGAGCAGCGAAACTGAGTCCGCATTGTTAACCCGTTTCCTTGCTGCCATGTATGGAGCGAACAAGTTGCTGCTCAACTCCAAGTACAAGGACTGCGCCATTCAGGCTATCGCAACGCAAGTGGGCATCACAACAGATGTCGCCACCTTGGAGTATGCTTCTGTCATTGACACCCTGACCGGCGAAGTGTCACCAGGAAATAACTTCACCGTCAACCAGGAGGGCATTATGAACGACGTCGAGGTCAGGCAGAGCTATGGTGGTTTCGCCAGCGTCCCGACGGGGTTCGACTTTGCTGCTGCGCTGGTCCCTGGCCCGGGCAAGTTGATTGACTACACGATCCGGGATGCCGCTGTTGCCCTGTACCAGAGCCAGCACAGTTGTTTCAATCCTTGCAAATCCTACACTCGTCGGAGATCGTAAATGCTAGCGGTTCGCGGAGCGCTTCGAATTGGATATCAGTCAGACAAGTAATACGTAATAATATATGGCCTAGCATTGGTGCTTTTAAGACTGTGCCGTCAATCAGTGTGTCGTCGCCCATATTTCCTTTTGACACGTTCTCAGTCGTTGTCGTGAGCGATCGAATGAGTAGGCAAAGAGAGCGCCAGGAGAGTCTGACGAGCTAGGCCTCAGTGTAGTAATGTCTCCAAATACAGCACTGACGTTTCATTGAAAGGGACACAGTGGTTGTTTCTGTGGTTGCAAAGTCTTTGACACTGCTTCAGGTGGCTTCCTGAGCCGACTTAAGAACGGTGCCATGTGAGTTTATCCATATTGAAACACACAGCAGCTTAGCAGCTTAATTGTTCGACCTAAAGCAAAGTATTTCTAGAAAGAGATTCGGCCATGACCGAAACTATGGCACATCAATAGAATCGTTGGGAAGTCTGTGCTATTATGAGGCTCAAAAAAAGACCAAATTTGGATATTTCTCGCGCATCAAATGTTCCCAATTCACAGATATGCCTTCATTAGAGCACCGCCAGATATCATCTAGAAGCCGGTGAGCCAGCACGATATTTCTGAAGCCAAGAATAGTCTCCATAACATTGATCCTGTACTCCACAGTGAGGCGATTCACCTTGGTATTGCTTCCTATACCGGCCATAAATAGAGGAAACAGAATATGAGCTTCCACCTCAGATCCTGGCCGAATTAGTGACAAGGCCGACAAGATGTTGTCAGTAGCCTTCTTCACTTGTTTGTTATCATTTATTGTTGGCTGTGTCACCTGCTGCAACCTCATGATGATTGCCCACTGGGTTGCAAAAGCTGCCGCTCTTGCCTCGGTGATTTGTCGTGACAGACTGGGGTCCTCTAGAGGACTCCAGCTCTGCAACGCTAATTCGATATTTTTGGCTTCCTCATCGGTCTCGTCCCTAGAAGTCATGGATTCTCTGCAATGGAGACGATTCGAGAGATGATTGCAGTGGCCTAGACACTTGTACAATGTTGCCGAAAGGCCGTAAAGAGGGTGTATTTTCAAGCCTTCATCCTCGCGGTCTCCTCGAGATTGTAACAGGAATGTCGCGGGCACTTTATCGCATGTCAATGATGCCATGCAGCAGATGTAATCGTACGTGTCTATCAGCATGGCTAAATGATTGTCGGTTTCATGATGGTCCAGGCTCTTCTCCAGTAGAGCGTATGCACCATGAAGATGTAACAACCAGAACTTCGATTGCCCTTCGCATATCTACGGCTCCAATTAGCAAAAGCAAAGGACTTCTATAATACACATACAGATGCATTAAACGGGTTGTAGTACATACCTCTAACAAGCACATTAGCAATGTAGCAGCAAGTGACCACAAAACATGTTCAAGATCCTCAATCTCGTCTTTGAGACACTCTAGAGCACGACTTCGATGATCTAATACATCTTTACCCCATTCCGGATAGACTTGTGAGAGATGACATGCCGATAACGCCAAAAGGGCATGCTTGACCGTTGTGTTTTCGAGGGCAAGGGGGACGATTACGCTAAGAAACGGGTTATCAGTGTCATCAACTACGACCAACGCTCGTGAGACTGATTGTAAGAAATGATTCAACAAATGCCGCTCTGCGACCTTCCAAGATCTCAAGGTGGCTGGAGTGATTCCCGTCAAGTTGTTGAGTGCTGTTGGTGGAAGATAAGCATCCAGACCTGCGTCATCATCTGGCGTACACGGCATGGGCAATTTGGCAAGAGCTGTGCTGTTTGCCAGGTTGCCAGATCTAACCCATTCGACATGCTCATCGTGTCCGAGCAAAGCAATCCAGTCAAGGAAGTGGGATGAAGACTGAAAGGCGGCGGCGTCATCGTCGCTTCTAGTCGTTTCGGGTCTACTGGATGTTGAAGAGGTATGCTCCAGTGTTTGTGATGTTACAGATTCTGCAAACATTTGATGAGACTCGGACGGTGATGTGTTCGACGCTTCTGGCCACGATGGTCCGACAGACACACAGGGGACTTTCAAACGCTCACAGGTCCCACACACAGGCCTCGTCTCGTCACATTTCCTACGCTTTACTCGGCATGTCGTGCAGCCACTTGTCGATCGCGTGTGCCAGACCTTTCCTGTCTTCCGCACGCCATTGATCTCTGTCCGCGACGCTGTTCCATCATAGGTGCATTGCAATGATAATCGCTCGCACCGCTTGCACGGGGTCTCTTTGCTGCACTTGGCCTTGATGGAGGCGCAGATTCCGCAAGCGGTCCTCCTTCGGCCCATTGCTACACGGGATACATTGCGTCGACTCAGATTGAGCTACGTGCGAACCACCTTCTTCTTTTCCTACCAGCTTGAATACCAGAGACAACTGCACTTTCTCTAAGGTTGGCGTTTTGCCAATAGATAGATCAATTGGATCACTGGGACAATCTGGATGAGGATATTTGTGAGGAATCTCTTGGTTAGTATTTAACGGCTGTTCTCCTCCCCCCCACGATAGGTGGCGTAGGCGTCATTCTGGGCTTACCTAATTTCATACTCTAGCACCAAGTCTAGGCTCAATCTCAGTCTCGGCCCGCACACCATCGGAAGGAGACAATATGAACCGCGGCAAGTACACCAGCCTGAAAATAAAGCAGTATCGATACGGATGAATTGTAGGTATGTCAAGTGTCTTGAGAACTATGCGTTTTTCACCTAGGTTACAGACAAACTAAGGCCAAAAATAGGATATATTGGCAAACTGACCCAAGTACGCATCGGCTCATTTATTCAGACATTTGCAAAGGCATGACTGGACTAAAGAAATAACAATCAAACTCGCAACGACAGAACTCAACGACTTGGTGACTTCAGTTGTAGCACTTGAGCATTCGATCAAAATCTCAGATTTTAGACAGTCAACTTCGTGCTACTTCACACTGAGCACATACACCTGCCTGTGTATCTCAAACGCGAGGTATTCTAAACTACTCGTCCTCTTTAACCTTGGTTATGGTTTCAGACGCAGTCTCTTTAATGTCATAGCCTTCTATGACATCAGTCCCTTCCTCAGAGCCGCGCCCTCCGAGCAGCTTCTTCCCGTCCATGAGACGATCAATGTCTTCAAGAGTGAGGCCCTTGGTTTCGATCCAACAAAATGCCACATATACAGCTTGGAGTGCGTCCCAAGCTCCGTTGATCATGTACAACTTCCAACCAATAGCGCTGAGGGCAATCGGCATGGCAAAGGTCGAAAAGAGTCTGTGTTGTTTGTGAGCACGAGACATTCAGGACAACCTAGATGTTCTAGTTACTTACCCGCAGAGGTTGACGACCAGTGACCAAGCGGCCATACCGTTGGCTCGAATGGAATAATTCAGAACCTCAGGAGGGTACAGTTGTGTGATAGGTGTAATACCAACACTGTATGATCCCTGAAATAGGAAGATCATGGCAACCGTCGCATACACGCCTGAGAGTTCTCCGCCGTTGCCGTAAACTGGAAGTACACCCATGTCAGCAATTTGCTCTGGAGGGCTTGGCTGATTAGATCACATACATTTGGTCAATACTCCCACCAAGAACAGCGTAATAGTCATCAAGACACAAGCGAGCAATGCTAAGAACTTGCGGCCGGCCTTATCCATGAAGTATGTTCCTGTCATTGCGCAAACAAGGCACCAAGCGTTCAAAACGATACTCTGATGCACCATTCTTAGCAAGTGACCATGCTGATAATCTGGACATAAGTTTTGTAACTTACAATCTGAAGCTTCACTTTGGTGTTATAAATACCTGCTTCCGTCAACATATCACCGAGGTAATATGACACAATGTTGTTGCCGGACAACATTGCAATGACAGCCACGCTCAAAGCAAGCATAAGACGCTTGCGAGAGTTGGGCGTACGGACCATCTCGGCATATGACAGGGAATGGGTTTCACGCTCCAGTCGGATGCCGGCAATTATATCATGGTGTTGCTGTGAGACGATTGGATGAGACCTATCGCCATCGGCGTAAATGGAAGCTAACACCTGAAGAGCCTCTTCCTCTCGGTCGCGGTAAAGCTATACGCGTGCACCATTAGCTTACGTTTACTCTTATATCGTATTCAGGGATTAGGACAGGGGAACATATCCAGTCGGCCTTCCTCAACTTACTAGCCACCTTGGAGACTCTGGTGTTGCCCAGAGGACACATGCGCAAATGATCGAAAATATGGCCATGAAGGCACATGGAACACGCCAAGAGGCGGTTCCTGGTATGTTCTCTGTACCATAGCAAATTCCGGCTCCGAGCAGAGCTCCAACATAGAAAACCGAGTAGGTCATGCTGAGGCCGGTGCCTCGAACATTTGCAGGAAGGGTCTCAGCAAGCCAGCTTTATTCATCAACTAAGGTCAGCCCTCCCTCTACGTAAACTAAGACTCAAATCGTCACTTACGTTGAGCCCGCAATTGCCGCGGTACCTTTTGCCCAGCCCAGGATGATGCGACCAACGACGAACATTGGAACGCTTTGGGCCGCAGTCATGAGAGCAATACCAACAAATTTGAGCAGGACGGAGATCAAAATGCCACCCTTGCGTCCTGTGCCATCGACAACAGGTCCCATGAGAAAAGCGGCAATGAACCAGCCTATGTAGCTAGCGCACGTGTTCAAAGATTTCGTTTCTGTCGTCAATTTAAACCAGTCGGTGTACTGTGGCATGATATTGATGCCGTTCCTGTCAAATGTCAGCTTGAGCTGGAAGGTCTGCGGTCCTGACAACTCTTGGCTTACATTAAACCGGAATCATACCCAATAGTCTAATAATGCATAATGTTAGCTTGACTAAACTCTGACAAGGGGTTCAGATATAACGCACCGTAGCGAACACGCAGCATGCGATGACAAGCATGACGATCGTCACCTTGCTCGATTTGGGTTGTAAGGGCCCAACAGCACCAAGGCCGAAGAACTTTGGGACTCTGTCCATACCGGCCGTGTAAGTAGAACGAAGTATAAGATCCAGGCGCATTCCAGTGTGTATTGCTGTTTCATTGGGATCAACATCTCCGCGTGGATGGGTTGTCGTCTATATACTATTTCCTCCCTCGGCTCTGCATCTCTTCACTCTCTATCCCCAGTATGGCGATAACGATCTAAGCCCAAGCCATCTCGGCTAAGGGCGCTCTTGTGATTAATGAATAGGTCACGATTGGTCCATTCGACACCCACAAAGCTCGTCGAGTATAACAAGATCTGGGGTCGAGTATCCGTGCCAAAGATGGTTCGCTAGTGTGAGGGGGTTCCGAGATATCTAAACGCTGTCTTGGGGCAATTCCGGCGTTAGCGGTCCACTTCACCAGAAAAGCCGGCGTCAAGACCCACAAGTCTGCCAAAAGCCTGCGTTTAGATGGGGCTGTTAGCACTAAGACTGTTTGTTCTGACCTATCTCAATAGAAAAATCCAGATTACGGCAAATAAGTCGATTATCCAGCTCGAAAGGCGTTCCGTTCTTAGTTTGCCGCTCTAGAGATAAATCGGATAAGATGCGCAGCCGAAGTTGAACACCAACGATGCTTTGTTGACAAGTGACTACTTTGCCATGTCATGGAAAAGAAATGCTAATCATTCTAGTACCTAATCTGTGTCTAGCTGGAAGATATTAAAACTCTTTTCAATTGTATAGTATCTTAACGACGGCTTTCCCGGGAGACATTTCTTGAGACTTGTCAGAGCTGTTTCAATCTTTGACCTCACATATCCCGGCGTTAGAGATCTAGCCGTGGCGATAGTCGCGGATAATTGTACAACAAGTCTATCCGCCACCTCGTTAACTATATCAGTCAGCCGCAAGAGGAGGGCCTATCCTGTTTGACACTATTTCCAACTTTGACGACCAACCTAACATCATGGACGCTATCGCTAACCCATCTGCTGCGCCTAAATATCCCAGTGTTCCGACGACTTTGAAAGTATTCGAAATGGCACCCAGTGCAGTCCTCCTTGAGCCAGTACTGGCGTCTACTGGAACGAAATCATCCAAAATTGCTCATTCAGTAATTCAAGTGGAAGAAGAGGAAGACGCAGAACCTCAGCTGATACCCTCACCATTCCCTCAGGTTCTCAGGTAAAGAATTGCCTAGCGATCCTAGTGCGACGTTCAAGCATCTAATCAGTTCACAGCTCAGCAGGACATGGCGATTTCCGAGACGATCTACATAGAAACGGCTTCACTGTCATAAAGGGTGCAATTCCACCAGAACGGGCAACCTTCTACCGAGAGAAGGCCAAAGAATGGCTTTTATCTTTCGGAACTGGTCTCGACTTTGAGGACCGTCAGACCTGGGCCGATGACAACCTTCCAGCACAAAATAAGATACGCACCTTTGCATCATACTGTGTTGCGCATGAGAAATTCATGTGGGATGCTAAATTAGAGCCAGGTGTTTTGGATGCCTTCTCTCGGCTATGGGGGACAGATAAGCTTCTTGTTAGCTTTGACAGTCTCAATATCACATTCCCAAACCGGCCAGATGTCTCTAAACGCCAGCCATGGGAACATATTGACCAGTCTCCGTTGAGACGTGGCGTTCACTGTGTTCAGGGGATCATCAATCTCTCACCATCCGGCCCTGATGACGGTGGTCTCGTTGTGTACCCTGGATCTCATCGGTATAATGACGAGCTGTTCGACTCTGTAGAAAACAAGCGATCATGGCTTCCCATGAGAGACATTTACTTTTTCACGAAGGAAGAGTTGGAGTGGTTTCACGAACGAGGCGTCAAGCCTCACAAGGTCTGTGCCGAGCCTGGCGACTTAATCTTATGGGATAGCCGCACAATACATTACGGATCCGACCCAATGGAGACAAGCAACCAGATCCGGACAGCTATCTATGCTGCCTATACCCCAGCATCAATGGCGACTCCAGATCAGCTCGCGCTTAAAAAGCAGGTGTTTGAACGTTATGGAGGAACAACGCACTGGCCGCATGATCACATAATTGCCCGAGATCCTCGTGTTATACTCCCAGACGGCACGAGAGATCCGCGTGATCGGGACGAGCCTTTGGAACTCCCAGAAAAAGCCGACAAGCTATTGAGACTGGCGGGTGCGAAGTTGTATGACTAAATCTAACTATGGTTAAGATGATGCAGTACAGCGTTCATGAATTTCATGATGTGGTGGTGTTTTCCTGAATTCAGCACCACTCAACCATTGGAAAATACCTTCACAGACGGGACAGCACGATTCATCATGAATAGATTCAAGCAGTGCGGCGCTTTCCGCTTTGCACGAACTTGTAAACTCAGAAAGCAAATGTTTAGGAAAATAAAGACACTACTCCCAAATACGTTTCAACTCTTAAAAAGGTTATTTCTTGTGACCTGCGGGTTGCTATCATTTCATAAGCATGTCTGCATTGCCGAAATCCACTCGACCATAGTCTTGATATAGGCTGTGATTGTAAAATCGACCATTTCCCCCCAATACGAGCCAATTGCCTCTTCTTGCTCAACGAATTAACATGTCCCTTTCCAATAACGTTATGCCACCTTGACAAGTCTTCTTTGCGGGGAAGCCCCCCTCTGCATTCAGACCCCCTGACCAAGATCCAAGAGAACAGCAGTAGGGGTTCTTTTTAGCGTCAACTCCAAGCTTCGAACCAGCCAGTGAGACCCAGTTGCTTACCACCCCTGTTATTTGCCAAACCTGCCAGCTTACCTATTCTTGCCAAACACGCTTTTCAGCGTACGGCACAGTTGACTATTCGGCCAGCATATCATTCATGGCCCCCACTAATCCAATCCTTGCGCGATAGATCTTGAACGAATAAATAACGAGGCTCTGCCAGCTCCTAATCCACGAAATGATCATGCTTACTCTCTTCCATATAGAAGCCGTGCCTACTCCTCAGAAATCGCATCCTTATTTTAATTGCCCAGAAGAACTCTAGCTGCTAGGCATCGAGCCCAAGTTGGCAGGGACCGACCTGTCGGTGCGCGCAAGGCTCCCTGGCTTGAGGCGTCAACATCAAGTATCTACAGAATGACGAATCTACAGCTTCTCAAGACGCTCCATCTTGGTCCTGTAGGCATATCCAGAGTGTCCTAGACAACTCACAAGCCAAATACGAACTGAACTGACATGTTAAGGGCCAAACCATGAACATCAACCTAAATCCAGACGTACCAGAAGACTCAATTGACAAATATGTAATGGACACCATAGTCGAGGGAACAGAAGGCGCTGAGCCAATCTACGTTCCTCCGCATTGGCACAAAGTGGGTTTCTTACCAATCGAGCTACGCACTGGCCGAATCTTTTGGTTGACGTCTGGCCCAGAACCACGCAGAACACATGACCGTTATAGAAGGCAGGATCGAAATCACAGTCGATGGCAAGAAGACCGTTCAGAAAGCCGGCGAGCCACCGTCCTTTATTCCTGTCCGTGCCGTGCACAGCATGAAGGGCTTTAAAGGCGAGAGACTCGTCTTGAGGGAACAGGCAGATCCAGCCGGAATATATAAGGCAATGTATGCTTCTGAATCTTGCGCAATTGAAACATCACGAGAGAGGTGCTTCTAAGCTTACTTGGTGTAGGTTCTTCAACGACATCATGTCTCAAGGTTCGTTCAGTGGGTTCTGGCACATTATGAGGGCATTCTATGACGGAGATGCCTATCTGGCTTTACCATTTGGTGTCAAATTCATAGATGAAGTGGTACGTTTATATTTCTCCCCTTAATTTTGAATGATAGCTGAGTTCAACAGTTCTTGTTTGTTGTTGGAGGAATTGCTCACTTATTTGCGCCAGCGAAACCCGACAAGCTCTGAAAAAAAATAGGTAGTCTGAATATAGCTGCGTAGACATGCATTCGAACCAGCTTGTAAATAAAGAAACGAAAATAAGGAGGAACCGACCTGTTAATTGAGATATTCGCATTGTGCAAAATGCTAGACAGAATGTTTGTGGAAATGTCTGAACATAGAGATTGGTTGGTGCCCGACGCTGTTAGTGTTACCTTACCAGTAAATGCCTGGTAGTGGGCTCTTGACTGCCAGATTCTACCGTCCATACCGCTGCAACGCTCACTGTATCCAAGGCTTATAATCTAATTCTCCTCACCAAAAAGTTAAGATATTATAGAGAAATGGTCATGAAAATGGCAAAAAGATGCGCCAGCCGCGAATCGAACGCGGGGCCCATCGATGGCAACGATGGATTTTACCACTAAACCACTGGCGCGATTTGATTTGTTGGTGAGAAATGTCTCACTGTTTCTACTCATATTCCCTGACTATGATGTAGCTATAGCCTAGCGCTGCTCCTTCACGGGTCCGATACCTGGATACACACACTTACTGACGGCCAGTAAGTTTTAAGCCCCACTGAACATGCGTGAACGCAAATTCACCTTCGTCCCGGCCTTGATCGCGACAAACTGCCGGCCAGAACTCTCGCCAATACCGGTCCCAGTTGCGGGGGAGAGCCATTTGCTGCCGATCGGCCAGCTCCGTACCCATGGACAGGGCCTAAGATTCCATGCACCGGTCTGAACGACCAAGGGTTATCGGGGGGTGGCTGTTTTCGCTTGGCTGAAACTGGTCGCTGTGACTTCTAATCAATGCGCTTCATCATGGCCAACGCCAGGTCCGCCGAGAATTCGCCAACCTCGACTAAGAGATCTCTGAACTCCTGATGGTCTCCAATATCGTCCACAATGCACGACACGTATAGCGTGAGGGCCTTCCGGAGGGGGTCGCTGGAGGTCGTGTTCGCGTAGCAGTAGCGGACCAGCGCCACGATGTCGGGGATGCGCTCGTCGAACACCTTGAAGTGGTACAGGGTCCTCATCAGTCGCGCGCGCGTCTTCTTTCCCAGCGCCGGTATGCTATACTTGTCGGCGAGGACGTACAGCGTGGCGTGGGACATGAAGACGCGGTCGTAGCTCTCGTAGGGCTCCTTGTTCTCGCGGGGCTTGAATTTGGTGTCGTCGCCCGAGACCGCCTCGCATGCCTTCCGGAACTCGTGCATGAGCTTGTACTTCTTCGTCTGCATGGGGCAGTCGAGAGCGTGCTTGTCCTCCGAGGGGTCAAGGTATGCATCGAGCTTCCTCTTCTTGTAGACTGGTAGAGCAGGTTGTATGTCTTCCTTTGCCATCTCACACTCAAACTCTCCGGGACAGTTGGCGTCAGCCCACGTGATGAAGCCCTCGAAAGAGAAGGCTGCCGCGAGTTTGGGCGGTTCCTGGTACGGGGGATACAGCAGTGGCTTTCGACCGTCAGTGTCGGAAGACGAGTCGCTATCATCGCTATCGTCACTGTCGCTCTCGCTGTGGTCCTGGTTGAAGGAGGCATTCTCATCGTCGGAGATGTGGCCATCGCTTTCACTATGATCAGAATCGTCGTGGTTGTCTTCGTCGACGAACATGGCATCCGTTACGTTCTCATCGTCGGAGGAGATTGTGATTGGTTGTGCAGGCGCTTGCTGGTCCTGAGTAGCACCGCTGGTGGTTTCGTTGGACGCTACAGCGTCGCAGTTCAGCAGGATATCTGGCTCGGCTGCATCGTACTCTCCAGTGTAGGCGTATTGTCCAAAGCGAACGAATGTGTCCTCGTCGAGGTCATCCCACTCGACCACGCCCTCGGTCGCCTCTCTCATGCTGCCATTGAGAAGAGCATCAAGCGCGGGGGACAGGCGAGCAAGGATCTCTTTGTGGAGCATGAATTTGCGCTTCTCGGGCCCTACCAGGAACTGGAATGATTGAGATGTGAAAATCCTATTATAAATGGTCAGCTTATTCATGCACTGTGAGAGATCAAAATGAAAGGCTTCTGCTGTCAGAGAAATCTGAAGGTATTTACTTACTCTTTGAATGGGAGCGGGTCCCACTCTGCCGCTTTGCTCGCCATGCTTGCGATATCGATCTATGTGACCGCACTCTGTCCTTTTGTATGACCTAGAGTGTAAAGAAAAGGGAATATGTCACAATTATCGGGTGCAGAGGAATCGAGAAAATGAGGGTGGGCACGGATGAGATGAAGGTGAGTGAAGGTTGGCTCATTGCAAGCTCCAAGCCCTGGGGAATATGTGAAAGCTTGCACCCTCCGAATCTGTACCGCACAATAGCAGGTGACGGGGTGCAAAAGACAGAAGAAGAGAAAGAGAGCAAAGGAAAGTTAGAAAGATTCCCAGTCAAGCGACAGGTGGAAATCAAGGCAGTTGCTCATCTCGTCGAGCTCGGAAAGGGGAGATTTGGCGCCTAGGCGCCCTGAGCTCTGGCAGGGCTCGTGTTAGCGGTTGCTGGGTGCGCCGGGCAAGGGTCCGGGCGGGCGCTAACGTTGGTTTTAGGCGCTAACATTTCACATTAAGAACCACTGCCTCGGGAGGGCGAATCATCAAGCTGCGTGAAGGTACGTACCTCTCCTTCCCCGCCAACCTTTGCTGCCAGAGAAAAAAATCCCACCGCCAAAAAAAAAAAGTTATCGCCATTCTTATCGACAGCCTCCATGACTTCCTGAAGAAACACCGCTCGACCTGCCTCAACATCTCTCTTCAGGCTCAACTACGCCAAAGAGGATTACGATGCCGGCTCGCACCAAAGGCGGCGCACCGCCCAAACGGCAGCATCATGCAAAAGCCGAGGCGAAGTCTCTAAAAAGAAAACGGGAGCAGCAAGACATACAAAAGCTGCAAGCCGCTGCTGACGAGTTTGTAAGTTGAACATGGCAGTCTTGCCCGAGACTATAGCAATTAATATTGTCTAGGACCCCAAGAACTCTCCAGTCAAGAACTTCACCGATCTGCCTCTCTCCGAACCTACGTCCTCCGGCCTCCGTGCGTCGCACTTCGAAGAGCTCACCGATATCCAAGCGCGAGCAGTGCCACTGGCGCTCAAAGGCAAAGACATCCTCGGTGCCGCGAAGACCGGCAGCGGAAAGACTCTAGCGTTCATTATTCCAGTCCTCGAAAAGCTGTTCCGTGCACAATGGACCGAGTACGACGGCCTGGGCGCCCTCATCATCTCACCCACTCGCGAGCTGGCGGTGCAAATCTTCGAGGTGCTGCGCAAAGTCGGACGGAACCATACTTTCTCAGCAGGGCTGGTTATAGGTGGCAAGAGTTTGCAAGAGGAGGCCCAGCGACTTGGCAGGATGAACATTTTGGTCTGCACGCCGGGACGCATGTTGCAACATCTCGACCAGACGGCAGGCTTTGACGTCGACAACTTGCAGATCCTGGTGCTGGACGAGGCCGATCGTATCATGGACATGGGCTTCCAGTCAGCAGTCGATGCACTCGTTGATCATCTACCCAAGGAAAGACAAACACTGCTTTTCAGCGCGACCCAAAGCAAGAGGGTTTCAGACTTGGCGAGGTTGAGTCTGAAGGATCCGGAGTACGTCTCAGTCCACGAGGCCGCAGACTCGGCTACCCCAAGCACGCTCCAGCAGCACTATATTGTCACACCCCTTCACGAGAAGCTCGACACGCTCTACGGTTTCATCAGGTCAAATCTGAAGAGCAAGATCATTGTATTCTTCTCTTCGGGCAAACAAGTACGCTTCGTGTACGAGACGTTCAGACAACTGCAGCCCGGTATTCCACTATTGCATCTCCACGGCCGCCAAAAACAGCTCGCCCGGCTGGAGATCACCAAGAGGTACACGACCGCGCGACACGCGTGCTTGTTCGCGACAGACGTTGTTGCCCGAGGCGTTGACTTCCCCGCCGTCGACTGGGTCATCCAGGCCGACTGCCCCGAGGACGCAGACACGTACATCCACCGAGTCGGCAGGACGGCTCGATATCAGAGCAATGGCAGGGCGGTGCTCTTCCTGGACCCGAGCGAGGAAGAGGGCATGCTGAAGAGGCTGGAGCAGAAGAAGGTGACTGTCCAGAAGGTGAACGTGAAGGAGAACAGGAAGAAGAGCATCATGAACCAGCTCCAGAGCATGTGCTGGAAGCAACATGACATTAAATATCTGGGACAGAAGGCATTCATCAGTTACACGAGATCTGTGCATCTCCAGAGAGACAAGGAGGTCTTCAAGCTTGATAAGCTGGACTTGGACGCTTTTGCGGCGAGCCTGGGTCTCCCGGGAACTCCGCAAATCAAGTTCCAAAAGGGCGAGGACATCAAAAAGCTCAAGAACGCATCCAGGGCAGCCATGTCTAGCGGCTCAGAAAGCGACGCTGACGAAGAAGGCGGAAAGAAGAAGAAGAAGGACGAAGTCCGCACCAAGGCGCAGAAGATGTTTGAGCGCCAGAACCAGGACGTTTTGTCGAGCCATTACAAGAAGCTCATCGGTGACGAGGGCAACGCAGATGACGAGGAAGCGGACTTCTTCTCAGCCAAGCGGGTGCTGAATGACAAAGAGCTGGACGAGGCAGCGAAGACAAGAGCCGATACGGGGACAAAGGTGATCGACTTTGGCGGCGACCAGCAGCTAATCATTGACTCGAAACGGCGAGAAAAGCTGTTGAAGTCAAAGAAGCAACTTTTGAAATTCAAGGGCCACGGCCAGAAACTTGTGTTCGACGACGATGGCAATGCACATCCGATCTACGAGCTTATTGACGAGGAGCAATTCAAGCAACAGGGACCTGTTGAGGAGTTGCGACAGAGATTCGTGGACATGGAGTCCGGCAGAGTCAAGGAGGCTGATGTTGAAGACAAACAGCTTGCGAAGCAGAAGAGGAGAGAGAAGCGAGACAAGCGCAAGGCAAGAGAGGCCGAGGAACGGGGATTGGCGAGACCACAGACAACATCGCAGCTGGAGGGTGCTGATGAGGGTGAAGATCCATTGGCTCTTCTGCGGTCACTACCAGTGGGCGACGAGGAGGAGGACAGTGATCGCGAGGATGAGCGGCCGAGGAAGAAGGCGAAGAAGTGGTTCCAGAATGACTCGGACGTCGAGGATGCGGCACCGAAGAAGAAGGGCAAGAAGAAGGTCATTGAAGTCACCGAAGAGCCGGATACACTAGAGGACCTCGAGGCATTGGCCACGGGTCTTTTGGATGACTGAGAGCACCTTGTCCCGTTACCTTGATCAGCTAGCTACAGCAGAGAGAGCAGTGTAAACAAGATACCCCAGCATTGTCTATCGTCAAAAAGCCATCCATGCTCGGCGTGTACAATTTGGTGCCGGCCGTCACAACTGACACGAAGAGATCTTCTCGGATAAACCCAACTTTGTTGGACTATGCCACATTGGATAAGTCTCTCTGCGGCATGAGATGTGTATTAGATTGACTTGGTTGGTACATGAGACGGGGAGGCTAGATCCATGCAAGACATTGAGCTGATCAGCTTGTGTGACTCTTAAAGTGAGTAATACTAATATTCTATCGGATAAAGCTTCTACACAAACATGTCTTTTGTTGTTGATCTGCTTTGCATGTGCCAAACGACCAGGACCATTGATCGACCCCACCCGCTCGCTTAAGCAGCTCCGGAAAGAAAAAGGGGATCTCAGAAGCTGAGGCCGAAGAGGACCTTCGAGACTTTTCCACAGAAGACTGCCCCGCCCTTAGCCGAGCCGGCAACACTCCTCCTACCTGCTGGGCGTGCGCTAGCAACTGTCATGCCGCGGGGCTGCCGGGCGCAGCTGCTTACCCATTGAGACGACACAAGCTGACTCCCACCATCGTCGTATCTTCCCTGCGCCGCCTGCCTTTGATCCGATCCGACCTGACGAGACTGCAAGTGAAGATTCTGTTCAGTGTGTGCAATTCCCGGAGGAGACCAGAGTATGGCAACGGCCACTGCAGTCGACCCATGAGACGGAACCGAAACCCCCACATAAGCCGGCCATGACCCAGAATCACATCCACCCCCCGCACCTCAGCAGCAGCAGCAGCAATGACGGGGTCGCGCAGGGCCTAGCCAACGGCAACGGGCCGCTGAAGCCGTCCGGTAGTGGTGATGGTGATGTTCTCGGTGAGAGGAGTCTCGAGGAGGTCAGCTTCGAGATCCGCGACAAAGTCGAAGCCTTCCTGGCCACGGAGGCGCCCACGGCGCTGCTGAAGAAGGTCCAGGGCCAGGTGCGGGAGGCGATGGGTGTAATTGAAGACGCGCTCCGGCGGTATGGGTGAGTCGTCTCTCCAGCCTGGCCTCAAGCATGCGTTTGCTTTTTTCCGTAAATTATTACAATACTGACAGTGCAATGACTCTCATAGACCCGATCAACTCTCCCTCTCCTACAACGGCGGCAAGGACTGCCTCGTCCTGCTCGTCCTGATCCTCGCCTGTCTTCCTCGACGATACTCCTCCTCCTCCTCCTCCTCCTCCTCCTCTCCCGCCGATGAGACCAACGACACCGCCAACGGATTCCCAACCACTCTCCAAGCCGTCTACATCGTCTCGCAGCATCCCTTCGCCGAGGTCGACTCCTTCGTCGAGGCCTCGTGCGGCACCTACCACCTCGACCTGAAGCGCTACAGCCTGCCCATGCGCGCCGCCCTCGACGCCTACCTGCAGGACCGCCCGTCTCTGCGCGCCATCTTCGTCGGCACCCGCCGCACCGATCCCCACGGCGAGCGCCTCACCCACTTCGACCCCACCGACGCCGGGTGGCCGGCCTTTATGCGCGTCCACCCCGTCATTGACTGGCATTATGTCGAGATATGGGCGGTGAGTCTTGACACGTTTGACGATAGATGGAGGAGCGGAGAGGAGAGCCAGGAGGAGCCTCGATATGCTGACGTTTAGATGTGTAGTTCATCCGCCAGCTTGATATCCCCTATTGCCCGCTGTACGACCAGGGATACACCTCCCTCGGCGGGACACAAGACACCTTACCGAACCCGCACCTCAAAGCGGAGGGCGGCAAGACGGGCTTCCTCCCCGCGTATGAGCTGGTAGAGGATGGCGAGGAGCGGCTAGGACGAGACCGGTAGCCTGGTGGGAAGATTTGGTTTATGAAGAGAGGCTGGAAGGGGGGACGGAGCGGTTGGATCAGAGTAGACATCCATCTCCCTGAACTTTTTGTCATAGAGCATAGATCATCACGGCGTTATGTTGTTGCAATACATGTTGTTTCGCATCTTGTCAAAACCGAATACAGCAGTCCTCTTTATTTTCTCTTCTCTGATCAAGCGCCGGAACAGGCGTCGCAATATGATGAATCATATGTACCTCTCGACAAGCCGCCAAATGCAACTGGCCCGGACAAGATGTCAAGTTAATCTTCTCTCGACGCTCTCGAAACGAAACAGTACAGAAAACATGATTTTCCCCCAATGGGTATACCAACAAGACGCCAAGATTTGCTGCTATCACACCCCCCCCGGAACGACAATTGACCAATGACTCCTTTCCAGTTTGTAATGCGCGCAAAACAACGAAGCAAAGACAGCGCGTCCTTCCTTCCTCAACGTTACAATCCAACACGTCATCTACGCATCCACCATTACTGCCTAGCGAGCCGCAGCCTCAGTGATCTCTCCATACAGCCGCAGGCGGTAGAAGCACGTGTGGTCCGCGCCGTAGTTGTCCACGGCGCGCACGACGACGTGGTCCGTCTGCGCGTCCATCTTCAGCAGCTCGCGGCTCATCTGGAAGACCTGCACGCCGCCCTTGCCGAAGCCCCTGTCGTACGCGAACTCGCCGACCTTGACGAACCGGTCCTGCAGCAGGACGTGGTCCTTCTTGGTCGCCGGGTAGATGTCAAACATCCAGTCCTCGACCGTCTTGCGCCGCACCGGATCGTCGATGTGCGCCCACACCTCGAGCTTCCTGGGCGTGGCGTCAGGATCGATGGTCGCGCCGGCATCGATGTGCTCGACGACCAGGTTCTGCGGGACGAGTCGGCGGCCCGTCATGATGGCGATGTCCGCGGGCGCCGACTTGTCCTTGACAGCCGCCGCCGTGCACCAGCAGTCGCCGGGGCCGGACCAGGGCGTCAGAGCCGCATAAGCATCCAACGGGACGACCGGGCCCCTGTGGCGCCGCCACCACGACTCGTCCTTCATCTGCTTGGGCAGCTGGTACGTGCGCGACGTGCGGGTTCTATCCACCGTGGCGTGGTTGCCCATGTCGAAGACGTTGATCTGCGTGCTCAGCTCGTCCTGGTAGTGCGCGCTGATCTTGCCCTTGGCCATGGCTTCGAGCTGTGCGTCGCCCCAGACTTTGCGCACTGCGTCGTCCACCAGGCCCTTGACCTGCTCGCGCGTGAAGCCCCCTGGGTGGCGGGAGTCATGTGCTGCCGCTTGCATGTTGCCAATGGCTGCATTGAGCCGTGTTTCCATCTCACCCAGATCCGTCCGGATCTTCTTGTCGTGCTTGCTGAATTCGTCGTAGAGGATTTGCATGAACTGATCTCTCGGGACGGGCACTTCTTGAGTGGCTCGATCTCTCAGCTTGTCCTTGAGAACCTCGTCCATCCTGGCCAGGACGCGCTCTTCCACGCCGCTGCCCAGTCGGTTCTCGAGGTTGCCCTCGACCTGCTTGACCCATGTCTCCCAGGACTTAGACATTGTCCGCTCAGTAATGTGCTCCACATCCACGACAGACAAGGCCGTGATATTGCTCTTTTGGTTTCCACCAGACAGGTCGAGCTTCTCCGCCTGGATGCGATGCTTAATCGCGTACCAGGCGTAGTCAGAGATTTCCGAGTTGCCGTTCTTCAGCTTCTCAAGCGTGAGAATCATGCTGTCCTCCTGAATGAGACCGCGCAGCGCATGCCAGAAGTCCTGCGGGATCTTGGGCTTGCCATCCTTGCCGAGCTCCATCTGCACGACCTTTGGCAGAAACTTGCTGAGTTTCTCTAGTTGTTGGTGCTGGGCTTCAATGCGCCGATTGTGATCCTCCAGGAGATGGTAATCCTGAAGCATCCTCTCGCCCCAGGCTCTGTACTCATTGTCGCTTAGGCAGCCGAGAGGATGCAGAACACTCCACGGTATTGCTGCGACTATGCTGTGGAAGGGATTTCTTGACCATTGGGGCTTATAGGGATTGACTCGTACGCCAGCGTAGGCCTCTTCGGGTAGTGTATAGAAGAAAACCAGCCGAGTGGCGATGAATATGAGCGTCAGGCCGCCAAGCCAACGCAGAAGTGCCTTGAAGGCATCGAGTTTACCGGGCTTGTTGCGCCCGGCGGTACTGGTACGATGATGTCGTGGCCGGTTAGGTGAAGGACTATCACGATTGTTCTCTACAGACGACTCTCTCTCCGGGATGGGGGTCGGAGTGTGACGTCGCTGGACGGGTTGGTCATTCTGTCTTTGGAAGGCTAGTGGTGCCGGTTTCTGAACGGAATTTGGACGTCGATGGTCGGCTGCCTCATCAACAAGAGGAGACTGAGATGCACGCTGAGCCTTGTCGCGTTTGATCTTGTCCATGGTAGCATGTGCGGCCTGCATCATAGCCCTCGTTTCCTGAATCTCGCGCTCGTCTGCAAGTCTCTGTCGAGCTGCACGATCCGGATCAGCGGTAGGTTCTCGTGAGACGCGGTTGGCCGCTCCAGCGGCAATTGGAGTCACGGTAAAGATCGACGAAGGACGAGGGGGCCTCCAAGTAGCTCCGTTGTTTCGTATGGTAGTGATAGGATCTTTGCCGTTGATGTCATCAACATCTTCCTCCTCCTCCTCCTCCGCCGATGCCGAGTCCGATGGCTTCGGCTGATCAGGCAGACGGCCGAACAAACTTCCAAAACCGGGACGACGGCGAACAGGCGCGAGACCTGGTAGAGGCTTGAGAAGAGGGTTGCCCGTCGTGTGCGAGGAGTTTGTGGTAGGCTTGGTCGAAGCTTCTGCTTCGGCCTCCTTCTCGGGCTGCTCATCAATCTTCTCGGAAAGCTGCTTCGACCGCTCTTCTATGCGATCGAGCAACTTTCTTCGGTTGGCAGGGACTGGAGGGTTCTGTACGCCGCTTGTAGTAGTGTTGGCGGCGGTGCGAGAGGATCGTCTGGAAGGCGTAGGCTCAACCGAATCTTTCCTCTCTTGCTGTTGGGAAGCAGCGCTAGATGGAACTACTGGAGTGTTGACATTTGCTTTGTTGAAGACACCGCTCTCTTCTACATAGCTCTTCACAGTAGGCGCATCAGAATGAATAGGCTCGGACTGTAATCTGTTTGACCGACCAGGGCGTAAAGATGGTGTGTTAACTGGCTGGACTGAACCTGCACGAACACTCGCCCGAGCTAGATAGCAGAGTTAGCGATGGGCCTCGTGATACATATTGAGCATAATATCAAACATCGTTGATAAATTGGAGAGGGGCAGTAAACTTACTTTGTCGACGGCCAGGGAAAGGGGTCGATCCAGCACCATCGTTTGATGGTGCTGCAGGAGGATCTGATGGTGCCGCCGGCTCGGAGGTTGGAGCCCGGGAGACATCGCTGCTGCCCTGGTTGCTACCAGCACCACTTGGCAGATCAGGCTCACTGCTAGGGTTCTCCGGTAGGGAAGACTCCTCAACGATCGGCGATGAGTCCTGTTTGCGCCCTCCCTCTTCGGCCTCGCGCTGAATGCGAGCCTGCTCGTCGTCCGCATTATCCTGGCGAACCTTCTCTAAAACATTGCCAAAGGCGCCTGCTAGATTTGTGCCATAAGTACCAGGGCGGCGGACGGGCATGATGGTGGCCGGAGACCCGTAGTTTGTGCTGTATTTGGCGGGATTCGGCGTCGTGTTTTGCATGACCGTCGGACCTGCTAAACCTAGCTCAGACGAGGGCTCTCTGGCCTGCCGTCTCCTAGCCGGCGTAGATCCAGTACGAGCAGTCGCTCGTGTGGCGCGTTTGGGAGGCATGATGATGCTTTACTCAGCACACTGACGAGATCCCTGAGTCTGAGGGATGAGTTGTTATGCCAGTAGGGCAGATTTGCCTTTTAGATATGTCAGCTGGGTGCCGTTGATGAGAGGTGAGTGACATCAGATGAGAGCTAAGTGAATCATGGCACAAGCTGCTCCTGAGCATTTGCATCACATAACTGAATGAAGAAAAATCATCACGAGAATATACATACGACTTGATTAATTCTTTGTAGAAGAAGAGATTGTCGGGTAGGGGAGCTCGATGTCGATGAGCTCTGAGATTTCGCGATGAGTGTTGAGGTAGGCGCAAGAAGCCGTTCACACAAAAGTTGTCAACAAGATGATATATGAAATCTGCAAATGCGCAAGGTTGCCGTTTTGTTGCTTCCCCCGGAAGCTGTCGAAGAAGGCAGCGGACTCGATGATTCAGGAAGTGGAAGCTCGCATTGTGGTGAGCTCTTTGTCCATCCAAGGTTGCCGAAGCTCACTTCTGCAAACGGCACTCGTTCTTCGTTGACAACAAAGAAAGAAAGGATGGGATGAGAAGTAGCCACGTTAAGCTAGCCCACGCTTGGTTCTTTCATTGTCGTCGAGTCTTTCGGTCTTCTCGCTCTATTGTCACGCCTGCAAACAGTTCTGCTTCACTTGCCTCTCAGCGACGATGCAACAAACGCGTCTGTGCACTTAAAAGACGTGTCAAGGTGCCACACAAGCCACACCTAAATGGAAAAGGCTGGGGTGTGGGGCTGCCTGCTTCTCTTTGTTGTCTACCCCGCCAAACCGCAATCACATGCATTTATGAAGATTATGCACCAAAGCATCTCACCTCTGTCTTGAAGAGATGGGCGGCGATGCCTTCACAAGTGATGGAGAAACGGCGCGACTCTTGTGGTCGTTATTGCCGCATGATTTATTTGTTTTATTTACCAATTAGGTGCATGAAGCTCTATAAGTTACCTTTCTCAATGCTGGAATATGAACCGAAAATCATCAGCAGAATGCAAGTTTCCATTGCTTGTCCCTAGCCCTCCTCTTGAGGCCTGTCCTGACTCCTCTATTTCTTCTTCAGCGCCTCTAGCAGCTCCGCCGGCGGATCTTGGCGGTATCCCTTGGGGTTGTTGCTGACCCACCGCCAAAGGTCCGCGCAGGCGTCCTCCATCTTGAGCTCCGTCTTCCACTTGAGCTCCTCGTTGGCCAGCGCCGGGTTGGCCGTCAGGTCGAGGACGTCGCCCTGCCGGCGGGCGACGACGTCGTACTTGAGGTCGTGGCCGACGACCGCGCTGAAGGCCTTGATCATCTCGAAGACGGTGCTGCCGCGGCCGGAGCCCAGGTTCCAGGCCTTGACGCCGGGCTTCTTCTCGCGCAGGTAGTTGAGCGCCACCAGGTGGCCCTTGGCCAGGTCGCACACGTGGATGTAGTCGCGGATGGCGGTGCCGTCGCGCGAGGCGTAGTCGTCGCCGAAGACGAGCAGCTTTTCACGCTGGCCCGTAGCGACCTGGCCGAGCAGCGGCAGCAGATTGTAGGGCACGCCCTGGGGGTCCTCGCCCATGATGCCGGTGGGGTGGGCGCCGCAGGGGTTGAAGTAGCGCAGGTTGGCGCCGTTCCATTGCTCGTAGGGCTTGCCGGCCTTCTTCGCGTTGTTGCGCTGGGCGGTGATGTGGTCCTCGATGACGTTCTCGATCATAGACTTTGTGCGACCGTAGGTGTTGGTCGGGCCGATGGGGCAGTGCTCGGGGATGGGGATCATGTTGGGGAAGCGGGTTGCGTCGCCGTAGACGGTGGCAGACGACGAGAAGACAATGTTGGTGACATTGTGGCGGGTCATGGAGCGCAGCAGGCTGATGCTGCCGCCGACATTGACGCGGTAGTACTCGAGGGGGATCTCGCTTGACTCGCCGACGGCCTTGAGGGCAGCGAAGTGAATAACGCTGTCGATGTCTGGGTGCTTGGAGAAGACATCGTCGAGGGCGGCCTCATCGGTGACATCGACCTGGTAGAAGGCGGGGCGCTTGCCGCAGATGAGCTCGATGCGGTCGAGAGCGACCTTGGACGAGTTGTAGAGGTTATCGACAATCACGACCTCGTAGCCGTTCTCGAGGAGCGCCAGCGATGTGAACGAGCCAATGTAGCCCGTGCCGCTGCAAGCCACAATCTCTGTCAGTCACAAAAAAAAACCACAGTCATGTTTCTCGCGACCGCCAAATTGGCGGGGTGCCATGCGCCGCGCGGGGTGGATGGCTGCTTGGAGAAAAAGCAATAAAAGAAAACTCACCCAGTGATGAGGACAGTTCCAACGGGTGCCATTGCGACGGATTCCAATGTCCAGTAATGAGTCTCGCGATATGTTCAATTGCGATTAAAATGTGTGTATTGAGTGAGTCTGGAGGAAATTTCGGCAGCAATGACACAATCTTCAAGAGCCGGCGCAAGGCGCCAGAGACAAGGAGGGACCTGGCGATCATTTAAATGGCGTCCCGCCGCCGACTGCCCCGAATCGCCATTTAGCAGAGGCAAAAAGCACCAAAAACGGAACAGCCGTCGCACGGCAATCTCGCTATCCCCACTAAAGGGAAACGTGCGTCACCCCACCAAAGCGACCGAGGAGACCAAAGACGCCAGCGACTGTTCGCCCGGGCCCAGGTAACGTTATCCCTACGTTATGTCTTACCTACTATTAGTCTGACGGCGCCGACGCCGACGCCGGTGCGGGTGGCACATCAACGGCGGTACCTTTAGACAAGACAATATGGATCATGGTCTACGGTCAGCGTCATGTTGAGAGGCGTTGCGCTAGGCTGACGAGTGCTGTGATGCGCGCCAATCTCCTTTACGTGACCTGTCACGCCCCTCTGCTCCTATGCATTGTCTGATTGTCTGCAGGGTCTTTTCTTGGTGCCTTAAGCTTGTGTACTGCAGTCTGCATAGTAATGTGAATCAAAATCTCGTTTTTGATTTGAGGCGCCATTGGATCGACAATCGCTCCACTGATGGCCCGGGGCTCCGACAATTATGCCGCGTCTTCTGATAAGGAGACAAACAACCGATTTGTTGATAATGACGACACAAGCTTCAGACATTTGAGGCGGTACGAGGATTCGAGAATCCAGGCTACTTCAATAACGAATTACTACCTTTGTAGAAGTTGATAGACTTATAGTAATAAACAGAACCTTTGAGAGATCTTGATACGTATTACGACTGTTAAAATTGAGCATCTTCACCCTCTAGAACAACGTTTATTACCTTGGCGGAGGAGTAGGTATGAGTGCAGTGCCTCCATTCAGCCTCAAAGTGGGACTGAGATGTTGTTTCAGTCGTCTTGAATTCATCAATCTGTCCTAAGTCAGAGGTATGGTATCGTAAAACGCATCCTAACATACGCCAACCATGTCCCAATAGTAAACCCTACAAACTCCATCCAGATGCGCACTCCTAGAAAACCCATATCCTTTACAGCATTCGATCAGGTCAGCTCGCCGGCGACATATCCAATCTGTCTCTGGCCATTGATCCCTCCATTTGCCAGCCTCCCAGCCAGCTGATTCTGGCTATCAACCAGCCTGCGCTGCTCCGTCAAGCGGCCCTTGATGCGCTGCTCGTTCGCTTTATCAAGCTTATCAATGTCCTCCCTCTCGCGCAGCCGCACCGCACTAATCTTCTGCGCGTTGTCCACCCGCTCGCTGCCCACCTGCCGCTCGTACTCGAGCATCTGCAGCTGCTTGCGGCCCTCGACTTCAAACTCCGTCTCGGCAATCAGCCGCGTGCGCGACAGCTCCGCCTCCGTGAGTGTCTGCGCGTGCTCCAGCGCCGCCGTCCGCTCCGCCTTCTGCCGTCTCACCGCCGCGGCGAACATCTCCTCCTCCACGCGCGCCTTCTCGCGGATCCCGTCCATCTCGTCGTCGCGCTGCCTGCGCGCCCGCGCGTCCTCGAGCTGCGCGCGGTTCGCAAAGATCTGGTTCTGGATGTCTGCGATCTCCTTGGTCCGCGCCAGCGCGCGGGCGTGCTCCTCCCTCTCGGTGGCGATGCGGTCGAGGCGCGCCTGGCGCTCGCGCTCGGCACGCACAATGTCGTCTGGGAGCCCGACGGCGTCCTCGGGCTGAGGGCCGTGGCTTGCGTAAAAGACGTCCTGCGCGCGATTCGCTCTGAGCAGCGTGAGGAGCTTGGCGTTGATGTCCGCTTGCGGAAGCACGCGCTTGACGTACATCGTTGGCGAGTAGATGTAGGTGCCGTCTGAGAAATTGTTGAACGGCTTGTTGATCAACTTCCACATGCCGACCTTCAGAAGAGTTTTGGTTGTGCTGAGGGGGTCAAATGCATCTAATGCAAGCATCAGGATTGGCTTGCCGTCCGAAAGCACGCTGAGGTCGCTGCCCTTCTCGATGAGGAAGCTCATCGCTTTCTCCATTGTCTTCTCTCGAGCAGCAGTGAGCTCGCCAGAGTCGGAGGCGTGAAGACACAGCTCACCCAGCGCACTGCGTCCATCGTGCAGTGGGCTTGGAAAGTCGACATCGTGACCGAATTCAACTAAAACTTGCATAGCAGAAATATTCAGGTCTCTCGCTGCATTATGCAGAGATCCATCGTTCTTCGATGGTTCAGCAGCGAGGAGGTTGCTCATCATTGTAGTTCCCAACTCGCCTCCAATGCCTGTAGCCAAGGTAAGAGGAGTGTTGCCAGTAACATCCACGACATCTACCTCAGCACCGGCCAGAATGAGTGTTCTGACTATGTCTTGCCGTCGCTCCTTGATGGCGAGCATGATCGGAGTTGTCTTAGAGCTTTTCGTTTCAAAGTTGACCTTGGCCCCTTTCTCGATGATCATGGTGATTAGAGAGCTGCTGACCTTCTTCTGGGGTTGCAGAAGCATCCAGGTGAGGAGATTCATAGGCTCCTCTTCCAGTTCCTGAAAGATACGGCCGGTACCCATCTGGTCGTAGTAATATCCAGCATCAAGCAGAGCTTGGAGAATCCCGGATGATCTTGGATATTGTGAAATAGCCCTAAAGATCACGGGCTCTGATTCCGGATGGGCGAACATGACATCCAAGCGTTGGCCCTCGTGGTGATAGTCTGTGAAAAGAGTGATCATCTCTAGCGCCTGTTCCTCTGAAAGCTCATGGTCAAAGAGGTAAGGGAACGCCATAGAAACAGCCTCCGAGCTGGGATTCTGACGTATTATGAGCCTGATCAGCTCCGGATCTGCGCTCTTGGCTGCTTTGCAGACTGCGAGGCCCTGAAGCTCATTGACGCTGGCGTGATGGTGTGTCAAAAGCTCCACGAAGCGACGAGCGATATCGTTTTGCTCGGTGCCGCAGCGATCAAGTGCAGCGATGAGCGCTCCACCTAAGCTATCACCATTTGCGCCCTTTTCGAGGAGGCGTTCCGCGACTTTGAATCCGTCATCATTGAGCCAAATATCTGCATCCTTCGGGGCGAAAGCTTGTGAGAAAGCCCATTGAATATCGCTCTGGGGGATCTCTGTTTGCATGAATAAATCCAAAGCTGGAAGAACGCGCTTCTGAATGGCATCTACTAGTGTTTGACAGCCGTTTGCTAGGGGCGAAGCTCCATTCTTCACTAGAAGTTCAACGAGAGCCATGTTTGGCTCCTCATCATTCACTGCCTTGTTCAAGCCGACGTGAATATCCTCACCGACAGGAAGACCAGCCTTGAATAGCCACTCGATGACTTGATATCTCGGCTCTGGACTCAGCTTCCAGCTTGCCTTGAGCGCCCGGGACATAGTCTTGTGAGATGGCTTCTGCTGGCGTGGGCCAACCGTCTTGATGCCCAGCAGCATTTCGAGAATGCCCATCGACGCGCATCTCGTCGCGTTCCAGACGGCTTCGCCATTGTTGAAATCAGTGCTGGCACCGTGTTCGAGGAAGAGTTGTACTAGATCCTCAGCGTCGTCGCCGAACCTAGCGGCGGAGACTAGCTGTGCATCTACTTCTTCACCATCAACGCCATGGTCAAGCAGCAGGCGGAAGATGGCAGCTCGCTCCCTTAGATCGCCGACCTCGGTGGCCGCCTGAAATCCTCGAGAAAGCGTCGGCTTCTGCACCGCTGTCTTGCCGGATAGAAGCATCTTGAGCACCTCACTCACGCCAGCCCGGCAAGCTTCGACAATCGCTTGTCCCTCTTGATAGTCCAGGCTTGCACCATGTTGGATGAGTATCCTCCCAAGGTCCACGTCGCCACTAGCAGCGATAGCAAGAAGTCCTTCAGAGACAGCTGGGCCAGATGCTCCAAACCTCAGCAATATGTCGCAGAGTGCTTTTCTAGCATTGCTGTCCGATACTCTCGTAGCTTCCGCAAAAGCGCCATTGATCAGAGGTGCCGTAAACTTCTTTTTGGACTTCGAAATAATAAGCTCGACGACATCCGGCTTTCCCGTTCGGACAGATGTTATCAACGCTTCTCCATCGCTGCAATCTGCCTTTGAAACCAGTGTGTTTATAAGCGGCAGGTCATCAGGGTGCGCTTTCACGGCATACACCAGGGCTTGATTCGCTTCTGTTGCAGGCGCTCCAGCTTGCAGTAGTCTCTGCGTGAATGTCAAGCGGTCCATGGGATCTTGGATCTTTAGTGCAAATGGCATGGCCGCCTTAAGTGCTTGCGCTTTGGGCTTTGACGCAAACAGGAGGTCGGTGAGCTGAGTATCAGCCGCTCCAACAGCATAACAGAACCCGGCTGCCTTCTGCGCATTTACATCAACACCAGCAGCTAGCAGCGACTTTAATGTAGCGAGAATCCGTTGCTGAGGCGGTGTTTTGAGAAGTGATTGAACCTCGCTCGTAAGTAAGCCGTTTAGAGTCTCCTTGTGCTTGCTATGTCGTATGATGGTCTCAACTTTAGCAGCCTTCGCCGCGTTGGAGGGTAGACCACCCATAGCTTGAACTCCCAAGTCGAGCGTCTCCGGCGTGGGTTTCCCTATCCGCAGCACAGTCTCTAGTACTCTAGGGTCGTTGTTGCGCACGGCAAGAACAACAAGACTGCCGTTAGCAAAGTTGACATCCACCTTCCCCTGCTTCAAGAAGATTTCTAACAGTCTCGTGTCGGTTGTGGCAGTCTGCAGCACGGCTACTGTAGCTTCGCCGGCAGCTTTGACTTCCAATCCAGCGCCAGCTTCTAATAGCAAGCTGATCATCTGTGCTCTGGTGTTGAGGTTCTTGATCATCATGACTTTGGGTATCGCGCCCGCTGATACCTGGGGTGTAGCCTTGCTGTGATAGAGAACGGAGCCTAGAAGATCAACATCCTCGTGCTCAATGGCGGAGGACAGAGTAATTCCATCGCTAAAATTCCCAGCGACATCATTCTGGAGGAGGAGCTTGATGAGGCGATCATCTCTCTGTGGTGGCTGCTCCTCAATAGCGTTCTGCAGAGCATTGTGAACAGCCGGGCCGGTGAGTCCGGCCGCAAGGAAAGACTGCGTCATGTGAAAACGGTCAAGAGGCGCAAGGCCGCTAATACTGGGGTACACTTCGGCCAACGTCTCAGGCGATGGCTTACAGGCGAGAAGAAAATTGGCCATAGGGAGATTCCCCGTCAAAGCCGCGAGCTGTAGTGCTAAGCCACCTCTGTGATTGACGTCGGCTATCGCATGGCGGTCGAAAATCATACTCCGCGGTCCTTTCCTCAGATCGTGGCTCTTAACCATTTGTCTACCAGGAAAGTGCGGTGTCAGTAGAAGCTTTACCGATTCAAAGTCCGCGTTCTCGACTGATTCGATCAGTGCATCGTTCAGTGGTTCTCCGCTCGCCCCTTTTCGCAATAGCAAGTCTAAGAAAGCCTTCCTCTCTTCTGGAGTGGAGCGCTTGGGGATGCACCCTACAAGCTCAGATGCGTAGAGTGGACTTAACTGTGACTGCTCCGATAGAAGTACTTGGACCAGACTGACGTTGCCTTTTTGTATCGCCCCGCGTAACACCTGAGCATCTTGGAATTCGACCGATGCACCGTAGGAAATCAAGAGGTTAATCATCTCATAGAAGCCCGTCGCACATGCCTGTACCAAAGCCGCAGACACAACGTCTCCGTCTGCGCCAGCGCACAGCAGTGCGTCTGTGAAAGCGATCTTCTCGTTGGGCATAATCGTCGGGTGCGTGAACACTTTTGAGAATGCCTCGTTGAGCCTCTGGACATTCGGAGGCTTGTTCCCTGTGAGAATCGCCAATGCGATATCGACACGACATTGTGACACGCTCTCCTTCAGTGCTTCTGCGTCGTTGTGGTTGCCATCCGCTGTTGAGCGACTTAGCTTGGACACCGTCTCAAGACAGCCTTTCTTCGTAGCATCAATCATGGCTTGCGATATCCATCCCGGCGAAGGACGGCCATCTGACTGGAGTATTAAGCCCACTAACTCGGCCTGGCCTCCTTCCTGACATAATTGCCGAAATACATCTTGGCCATCTGTCGTTTGCGAGGCATTGGCGCCATATCGCAGCAGAAGTTCGCAAATTTGTACATTTCCATTCCGCAACGCAGTCGGCAGCGCCATATCCAAAGCAAGGGGATCTGCATGAGGTGCAAGAACCGTGACCATATCCAATGAGCCGTGGTCGATGGCCTTCTGTAATATCCTACTCCTCTCAAAGGACTCTAAACTCTTCCGCCTTCCAAGCAGGTTCGTCTTGCTCTTCATGCCGGCAACATTCATGTCACCGCCAGCCGAGAGCAGTTTCTGGATGAGCGCCTCCGCCACGCCGGGTGAGCCTCCATTCTCGACATGAGCGTCGAGCGCTTCGAATATCTCCTTGAGTTCCCAGCCTTTCTTCTTGCCCATCGTGAAGGCCCGTTTCATGCCACCATGGCCATTCTGAGCTTGTGAATTATTGATCCGCCTGCGCTTTAGCAATTCCTCTGCAAGAAAGTCATCATTGGGAGTGCGGAAGGTGGGCGACAGCGGAGAGTGGACAGGCCGCGTAAGAGCTGTGGGCTGTGGCCCGCCGCCCTCGATCATCCATTCGGCAGCCAGCCGTTGAAGCCGCCATTGACGCTCATCCGGACTGACACCTGGTAGCGCCATGGTGAAGTCTCTTTGGGAATGGTGTCCGGCCGGCTGACCTTCCGAGACGCATGGGATTGAATTAAAGTTGTGAGAAACGGTTCTCCAAAGAGATGAAAGATTCTAGAATCTACTCATGGATCTTAACGGCGGCAGCGGCTCACAAATTGTATGGCTGCCGCGTTTTCAATTACAAAGAAACGAGTGCAGCTGAACGAGAGGCAGCAGCGAAGCCGGTTATCCTGAAAGCGCCAATGATCAATTGAATTGAAAGTTGCAATTCTCGAGGCAGATTGAACAGGCGGTTTCAGAAGTCTCTCCAGCGAGTCGATGTTCCCGAATTGACCTTGGCAGACTGGCTTGGGCTGTGTGAACGCGTAGCTTTACAGTGGGGAAGTGTGGCGAAGCTTGGTGATACCTTACCCACCAAAGTTTGTCAGGAACGAGAGTCGATGATCTTAGCGATGAATTGATCTCAATGGTGTAGAGACAATTTTGAAAAGATGGAGGTCAAATTAGAGTTGCTGAAGATCAAGGAGTGAGAGAATGAGAGATTTTTCCACAAACAAGGTAGCATGCGAAACCGAAACGAGCGGACTTCAGACGGAAACATGATGGCATCGTTCCTCTCTTTATTAGCTTGGGGCTCGAAACAGGATGCTGAGACAGGAGGGAGGCAGCTTGGGGTAGCTTGAGCCACAGCAAGGGGAGTCCCCAGGACGTGCCACGAGTGGGTTGGTGGTCCTTGGTGGTCCTTGGTGATCCCTGGTGGTGCAGCCAGCGAGTAGCAGTTTGCGCTGGCTCGAATCCCTGACGAGGAACCATCTGTGCACCGCCCCCCGAGCCGTTTGACCATTTGACGACCCTCCTACCCTGCTGATCTTCGCTTCCGTTTCTGATCGCCACTTGGTCTTAAGAGCGGCCAACACTTTGTTTGCTGAAGTGAAGTGTGGATGACTGGGAGATGGGAGATCCAATTGATATCTGCTTTGGCGGCGGACAAGAAGAATTATTTAGGGAGCCGTGGTAGCCACCCGAGACATCCTAATATATAGGTAATGCAGATGGTGTACCCAACAGGACCAAACTTCTGACTCCGTGGGAGTCGCAAGCCGACCATTGACAGGTGCCACCGTGAAAGCGATCGCTCATGCATGCCAAAGTGAATCACTCGGCTCGTGGAACAACGGACGGCTGCCTCCTCCCAAGGCTACCGAGACTGGCGAGACTGGATTATCAGGAACGCGAATTGCGTGTTGGAGCTGAGCTGATTCCCAATGAGGCAGTAATTGAGCGGTGCTCCACAGATGTTCAAAGTCACAGCCTTGCCAATACGCGGAAATGCTCCTCCGCCAGGAGAATAAATGTTAGTTCCAGAAGGATATTACTTGCTCAAACAAGGGGTTACTATCTTTGTAGACATTGGTAGGCTTGTTTTTATATTATTAAGCTACTCATCAAGATTCCGAAGATTCTCTTGATTACTGTAGCGTTTATTAACCTGACGGAGGAGTAGGTCGCTCGAGACACGAGCTTTGAGACGCTGCCATGACTAATTAATAAGCCCCATTCTCTGAGCAAGAGGAAAGGACTAGCGGCTCGTACTTTGCAGCACGCACTGCCAGGGGCTCCCTAGCTGACAAGCAGATGGGTCATGATATTATAAAGAGAAGCGCAGGTGTATTAGCGAGGGTAACGATAACATGTCGGCTCCTACAGCCGACTCGGATTCCACATGCTTCTGGACACATGCGTGTCTTCCTTCGGCTTTAACGTCGACACACATCACATCATATATACTGCACAGTATCCTGTCCCCTCCAATTGGTCTGACGCACCTGCCTTCCCCGAATTACATCATCATCGTGTATCAGTCGTCCCGAAAATGCAGGAACGACTGACAACGCCAGGTGCTGGGCCTTAGTAATCGTTCAACCAGTGCAACGGTTGACATATGAAAGTGAGCGGATGAGGGGTCCACCAGTGATATTTAATGTGCTCGACATCACCCTGCATTTGCCATTGCCATAGCTCTGCATTTCCAATTGAGTCAGACCACTCCAAGTCATTTGATTCCATTCTCTGAACCCCCCTCGCTGGCTTGCTAAGACCGACAATCGGTTTCCCGCCCCGCACCGCCCCGCTCAACAACTCCCGCACAAGATGGCGGCTCCGGAGTCAGTCCCGAAGACAATGTCCGGCATTCTCATTGAGAAGCCGGGTGGTGTTGAAGTACTAGGCTGGAAGGAAGATCTGACCGTTCCTGAGCTCAAAGAGGGACAGATCCTCGTCAAGAATGAGTTTGCCGGCGTGAATTATATTGACACGTGCGTAATGTCTTCAAGCTCGCTTAGTCCCTCCAATGCTAAAAACCTCGCAGATATTTCCGCAATGGCATGTACAAGTCAGACTACCCTCTTATCACTGGAAAGGAAGCAGCCGGTGTTGTTGTAGCCGTGCACGATTCCGTTAAGGCTTTCGCGCCTGGCGACCGGGTGGTCTATCTCGACGAGCACACCTATGCGCAGTACTCAGCTATCCCTGCCATTAAGGCAGTCACGATTCCAGACGGGATCACCACCAAGCAAGCTGCGGCGTCGATGCTGCAAGGTCTGACAGCTTTGACGTTCATCCGCGAAGCCGCTGGCTTACACCCCACCGCGACCTTGGGCGTTGGCCAAGGACCGTGGGTGCTCGTCCATGCGGCGGCAGGAGGTGCAGGAACTCAACTGTGCCAGATGTTGCACGCCACGGGCGCAAAGGTCATCGGAACAGCTGGTGGGGAGGCGAAGATGGAAATCGCAAGGAAGAACGGCGCACAATGGGTGATTGACAGTCGCGCTGATGACCTGGTGGAGAAGGTCAAGGAGATCACCAACGGCCACGGCCCAGACGTGATCTTCGATGGCGTGGGGATAGCAACGTTCAGTAAAGATTTGGAGATGATTGCGCGGAAAGGCACTTTGATCTCTTACGGTAATGCCGTAAGTCGGCTTTTCCCGCTCAGCATTGGGACGGCTTACTAACTCGTCTGATGCAGTCCGGCAAAGTGCCACCTTTCGACCTCCTTGATCTCGGTCCCAAAAACGTCAAACTTCTACGACCCGTAGTATTCAACTACATCGCAACCAGAGAAGAGTTGGAAACTTACACTAGGGAGCTATTCGACTTCATCTTATCAGGCAAGGTCGACGTCAAGATCCATGAGGTGTACCCTCTCAAGGATGTTGGCCGTGCACATTCGGATCTTGAGGGGCGGAAGACAACGGGCAAGCTATTACTTCAGGTATAAGTACCTCGCCATAGCTACGTTTCATGGTAGAATGAAGACAGTAATGTTTACATGGTAAAAGTTGCATCTGAGGTGATAATGACCGTAGAAATATTGCCCATCTCAAAGTGCCATGGTTATAAAGTAGGGATCCAAGTAATTAGGGGTCTATGGGTCTCATAAACGACTCCCATTAATGGATGAAGCTTACACAATTCCTGCACATTTCTCTTAAAAACATTTAGATCTTTCACAACAATCGGTTATCAGAACCAATGACTCCAATGATCCTGTTTACTCCCATTTATCCAGAGACTAAGCACTTCCTGAGCCTAATCTGGACCAAAAATCTGTGCCTGTGGTTCCTGCACTTTTCCCCTTATCTTCAAAGCTTCATTATGCCAACTCTGTCAGATCATCTATCTACTTTCCATTAACATAGGATTGGAAGTGTGCGTGGGAACGTCAGCATCAACAATTTCGAAGGATCATCTTAAGAATTACGGCCAATCTTCTCGTTGCTACTTTGAGGCTTTCGTTTTGCAGTTTAAAAACATCATTGGCACCTTGACAAACATCCCTACCTCGGAATATGATTAGGACGAGCTCCCGAGGTGTCATACCGTTAAAGTTCATCTTTAACCCTTTTACCCCTTACCTCAAGTTTGCAACCTTTTTCTTCAAAAACAACGCATTCTTATTTCTTTTATCGCACCTTAAGACGATCCCATTTCTTGCCCTTATCTTTTCTACGAAGTCCGAAACATATTGAGATACAATTCTCGATCATTTCATTCTAGCGCTGACTGGTTTTTATCCATACTCTCTAGGCCTTGCCGAAGCCTTCTGTGGAGTTATAAATCAATAGGGCCTTGAAACCAGGAGGACTTTAGCTCGATCTGACTTTCCAGTCGACTTGATCACCGACAACAACTTCGTACCTTCTACTGCCCAACACAAGTTGATCTGACGCCGTCATTGATTTCAGCGTACCGCAAATTTCAATTGCGGCTCCTTCCTGAGATAAATCTCCAAATTCCATTGGTCTCTTTCTCAGGCAAAATTGTTGATTCCGCAGATTGAGTGGTCCTTCCTAAATCAATCAATCAAATCATCCAACTCAGTCAATCCCTAAGCTACATAAACCAAATTTCATTCCCACAAACAACCACACAGTTCTCTTTTCTTTTCCACTTCTTTCACCTTCCGCTTCGCTCGTTCATCAACCTCTTTCTTATTTCGTACTCAATCAGGCGCACGGGAAACTCTCTTTCTTCCTCGTCCGATTTCATTCATTCAGACAATCTTTCCTGTCCCCATTTCCAACCACATCCCGCATCCCCATTCTCAGTTGGATCGAATTAAGACACACGCATCTTATGTTTTCCTAAATAGGACTCTCAAACGATTTCAGCCTGGACAATCCGGAGAATATGGCATCTACGCCGCCGCCTACAGCCGGTGTGGGTATGCCAGAGGTCTATGAGCCACCAAGGGCGGCTCAGCACGACACTCCGATGCCTTCGGTCGAGGTCCACTCAGACGAGACCATCAAATCAATCGACACCAACAAGAAAGACATTGAGAGGAACGATTCTGCTATGTCCTCCACAGAGACTCAGTCTATTGAGACTCGATCCAAGCCCCTTGATACTATCATATCTTTCACAGGGACGGAACCGACAACAACTCAGGCAGATGCACTGAACACTGACATAATCTCCAGTGGCACTCGGTCCATCACAGCTGAGCCCCATCCAGACATTGACGCCATCTCCGAAGCGCACCAACCCGAAAATCATGAGACTTTGCCAGATGCTCCAGCCATCAATACAATTGTGGAGCCGGACAATGGCGACCAAGAACCTCTCACGGGAGAGCAGACGCGCCCGGTGAACAATGATGGCTCAAATCAGAGTATGTCTCAGACAGTCGATGTTGTGGATGCCAATGAGGATGTCGACATGAGGGATACCACCTCTGTGGCAGCTGAAGATCAGCGCATTGAGTCAAGCGTTGAGCACATTCCTTTCCCAAACACTTGTTCAATCTCTGAGGAAACAGAGGAGCACGACGTGCCCGACACTCTACCGCCAAATGATGACGGTAATGACTTGAGCGCACCTGTCAAGCCTAGCAATATAGGCGAAGCTCTGCATCACCGGGAGTATAAGTACAAGTCTTACGACAGCCCAGGCAAATTGGCTTGGGATGAGCGGCGCGAAGATGGAAACCTGAAAAATACAAATATCGTGGGAAGAACATCAGCTAGGCATGAATCAAATTCTACCGACTACCACGGTTATGATCAGACTGAGAGCCATCTACGAAGCCACCAGATCAAGCGACAAAGGATCAAGAGGGAAGATGACGACAGTGATCATGATACCATGGTCGATCATAGCCATTGGAGCGGCCCGGAGCGGAAGCATGATCCTTTTGCTCAGAAGGCTTCTGAGGCTCAATCGGCTGCGCCAGAAACGCCTTCTGATCGTGTGCGGAAGCTTGAAGAAGAAATTGCTGAGCTCAAGGAGATTGTGCGAAAGAAGAATCTCGGTGCAAGGGACGACACAGAGAAGAGTGCAGAATTGTCTCGTCCCAAGAAGATGAAGATTACGCTTCGAGATAGGCGAGCAAATAAGAACGAAGAAGATGATGGTGATTCTGAGTATCTCCCAGAAGACAATCCTCCAGCTACTCAAACAACAAGGTATGAAAGAGCTGAGAAGCGCGCGAAAGCACAAGAGGACTTAGACGGGCAATCAAGCAAGAAATCTAAGAAGCGGACCAGTAATAAACGCAAAGGCTCCAAGAGAAAGGGATCCAAGGCCAAGTCAAAGTCTAAACCACGCCGCATCCCCCGCAAGAAAGTGGAATCCTTGACCGAAATAGTGTCAAACTTTCTGCAGACCGTGCGAGTGGGAGACGATGAGCCTAATGCAGACAAGCCTGAGCTGCCGCATTTTGAGGCAGCTACGAAAGAAGAGCATGAAGAAAAGATCAAGGCCTACATAAATGACGATTCTAGATTTGATTCATCCCGAATCTACGAAGACGTCAACGAGCTCTGGAATGCTGCTGGCATTGTCCGCGGAGCGCTTCAGAAGAAAGTGGCTGGCGAATGCCATCGGGATTCTGCAGGTTGGACCTTGCCTAGGATGAAAGCGCGGCTATACGATTATCAACTCTGGGGTGTTGGATGGATGCTCACACAAGAGAGAAAGACCAAGCTTCGTGGTGCGATCCTGGCAGATGACATGGGTTTAGGAAAAACCTTGACCATACTGGCATTGATTGCCGCAAATAGGCCATCCTTAAAAGAGAAGAAGGAAGGCACTGACAAGACGTTGGTTGTCGTGCCCTCAAATGTCCTTGACACCTGGCTTGATGAGATCGAGTCACATTGCGAAAAATGGAGGGTCATAGTCTTCAGGAAGTCTAAGTGGAGGCCTACGGATGAGTTGAGCGAAATTGTGTTCAAAGCAGACATCGTGTTCGTGAGACATCACTCGACAAGCCTTGCGCTTGCTAACTAGATACACAGGCTCATTACTTACCGCGAGCTCGTTAGCATGTACCCTTCAGACGAAGACCTCAAGTCAATCGAGAATTTACCCGAAGACCTGCGAACAAAGAAATTCAATGCGCAGGCGGGAAAGATTTTTGGAGGTGCTTGGAAACGAGTCGTATTTGACGAAGGCCATGCAATGAAAAACATCAAGAGCCGGAGTAGGTCTTGTCCGATTGACATGCATAACCCACGACTAATATTTTATATCAGCATCCAAAGCCTGTCTCGCCATCGGGGAGCAAGCTAGACATCGATGGGCCGTATCTGGCACACCGACACCAAACGGACTGATAGGTAGAACAGTGTCTATTTTCGCCGTAAATATCGATCTAACATCGATTAGAACTTGTCCCCTACCTAAAGTTAATAGGAGCAGAATGCCCCAAGTCTATCAAGTGCTTCAACAAGCAGCGCGAAAAAGAAAACCAACAGGAGAGAGTGAGTACTCTCTCAATCCGACGCATATGAAATTAATAAAGAGAACAGGAACTTGCACTTGCTGAACTGGCGCCTCTGATTGAGAAGAAAGTTCTACAACGGTAAGTACTTGTTTATTCCGTGATTATCGCATGCCTGACATATGTAGAACGGGTCACACATGGTTTATCGGCCGCCCACTTGTCAAAATACCCAAACCTCACCAGCTGAGGCCAGAAATCCTCTCATTAAGCGAGGAAGAGAGACGTGTCTATAGGTGAGTGAATTCTTCTGTTTGTGAATCATATCATGGCTCTGATAGGGGTAGGCATGTTGAAGACCAGATACGCGGGTTCATCAATGCCCGCACATTATCCGCCACTGATGTTTCGAGAGAGGAGCAATCCGAAGATGATGATTCAGACGAGGACGACGCTGGCAAGGGAAAGAAATCTAAGACTGTCAACTGGGCTCTTCGATTGCGACAAGCTACAGCCCATCTCTATCTCCTCGGGCCAATTTTGAAAGACTTTGTCACAGAAGGATTCATCAACAGTCTGAGACGAGATCTTCGAAGAGCCGGAAAAGGAACACAACTCATTGATAATATGAGCCGTTTATTTGAACTTGCTCCGGATAAATCCACGGACTTCGGCGCACAAGAGATGCATATACATGAAAAGCCCGGCTCAGATGGTAGCAGCGCAGGTGACAATTGCTGCATTCTGTGCAACAAGCCTCTCACAAATCCTATCACTACAGAGGTAAGCCTTCCGAAGATATAGGGCCTCGAATACTCAAACTCTAACGCATACAGTGCGACCACACGTTCTGTAGTAATTGTTTCCAGAATCATTGCAACAATGAGATGGAACGAGGGTATCAAACGCCTTCTTGCCCCGTCTGCGGAAAGTTTGTTGAAAGCTACAAACCAGATCAATGGCCTGCCGGTAACACTACTCGTCTACGCGAAATTTCAGCATCTCAGAGTGTAGGATCGCGGTGCTCTTCTGAGCTCTCAGAGTTCTCTCAAGCTGCACCCTACAAACGAAGACGGAAGCGAGGCATAAATGGCGAATTGCTGAACCACACGGGCCCACGTCCCCAAGGAGCAGATGTTAATGGAGTGCAGGCCACAACTAAGGACGAGTGCGAATACCTCAAGTTGTGCGACATAGATCCAACGATTCCTTTCTTACCAAGCACAAAGTTGATTGCAGTGAAAGCAATCATTCTCAATTCACTCAAAGAATATCCAGATGATAAACTGATCGGTGAGCTAAGCAAGCATGTGTCATGATTGCCTTGTTACTAAATAATTAGTGTTTTCTCTGTGCAGACCATTTGCACGGATGCTAGGGCGGATGCTCCACGATGAGAAGATCGACTTCTATTACTACTACTGATGCCTCGATACTGACGACAAGACGAGGAACATCAAAGATTACAGAAGGATTTCGAAAGCTAAAGTCCTAGTAAGTAGTGGAAACACAATGTCTGGTTTTTATTAACCATATGTTAGCTTGCCGGACTCAAATGTGGTGGGCAAGGCCTGAACCTTACTTGCGCAAATCGAGTCATCATCACTGACCCCTGGTGGAATAATGCTGCTGAACGTCAAGCTTTTTGCCGTGTCTATCGTAACAAACAAGAGAAAGAGACGTACCTCTACCGCGTTTGGGTAGACAACACCATCGATGACCGCATAATGCAGCTACAGCAGCAAAAGAGTGAGGAAATCGCCAATGCTTTTGGAGAGCATGATCCCCAAAAACAGAAATTGAAGGGACTAGATAGATTGGGGCTATTTGGTGCATTAAAAAAAGACGAGAACGGTAGGGTGGTCTTGGAGGTAGACTACGATGACAATTCGGAGGACTTTGAGAAGGAGAGCAGTGATGAAGACATGGACAATGACGGAGAAGAAGACGAGGATGATGACCAGGATGACGACGACTCGGAATATGAGCAAGATTAGACGAAACCAGCGGCGAGAGTAGAGGTAAGTCGGGAATACTGTAAAGCATACGAGCAAGGAAAACTACCAGCACATTCACACGCTTTCCATTAGCTCAGGAGAATTTGCTCAATCCACTTCTCATAAGAAGCTAAAAACCCAGCTATACTTCACCGGACAAACAAATAACATGTTTTGCGTTAGCTAAAACTCTTGAGTCAAACGATTAATCTTATGCATGAACGTGTTCGATTGTCCGTGATGACTTTAACTACGTCTGGAAACGAAGTTCCACGTATTTTTCGGATTCGGTAAGATGTAATTGCTATGGAAGTCATTATGAATTTTGAAAAGAGAATTCACCAAACACGACCCAGACTCGCTATGACTGCATCTATGTTGGACAAGCTTGAAAGAGAAGGAGGGAACTGCATCTGTACAAATGAGTGACAACAGTGCTGGTTATTCTCTTGCTATTAACGTGTCAATACGCGGAACCTAAAGCAATAGAGAGACTGGTAGTTGTACCGCTGTAGGAACAATTGCCAAAGGTAATAAGTCTTTAACCTTTAGCTAACAAGCTGAAGGGCTCCCTTTTTGCATGGCTTAACAGGACGATCCTCGACACCGAACAAACTTTAAAAGCCTAACACCGTTAATACTAAACAAAGTTCTTCATAAGATGTTAGTTCCACTTCCAATCAATACGTTGAATTTAGCAACGTTGAACCGAATGGTAAGGAACGAGACATAACTGCATTTGGCGATATATGCTGCTGATAAAAGGGCGCTATTTCACCACTTGCTAAAGTAGATATTGGAATTAAAGCCAAGCTGGAGTGCTAATGCGCCTCTAAATGATAATGTGGTATGAGGCACGCGACAGACTACCGAAAGTGGCCTAGGAAGCCGGTGCAGCCGCTGCCGGGGTACCGCCTAACCAATCTCCGCGATTTGATCTGAAGAGACCCCCTGTCACGGCTTATCAGGGCCCCTCGGCATCGACATCATAAGTCTTCAGCCCCTAACCGCCTCTGGAAGGAGAGCGTTGCAGTTGGAACTTGGCGTGAACATTCGTTCCTGAGAGTCCTGCACGATGGGCGCGACCGCCCGGACTACCATCGGATTAGAGACGGCTGGGTGTTGGATTGATAAAGCTATATAGCTCAGAAAGGTGCCGCTCCGGCGGATGCAGGTCTCGCATCCTTTGCGAGATTCTGCCCTCCTCCTCGCCTCTTCTCTTTACGAACGAGCAGTCAATTGCAGCAGAGTTGGTCACACAAGGCATTGTTCACCATGAGAGCTTCGTCTTTTGTTGCAGGAGCGGCGCTGCTTCTTGCCGGCTGCTCCAATGGTATCAACATTCTCTTGAACAATGACGACGGCTTTGGATCTGGCAACTTGCGCGAGCTGTACAAGCTACTGAAAGCTGCAGGCCACAATGGTATGTTAGATCTCTAAGTGGATTGAGTTCGACGCAGAAGCTAAGAAGCAAGAAAAGTCTGGATTGTAGCTCCTGCGCTCCCCCAAAGTGGCCAAGGAGGTCGGTCGGACTTCACCACGGAGGCGAATCTGACCGGTCCATCGCAATACAATCTGATTCCAGCAGGAGCTCCTTCAGTGGGGCCGGATCCAATGGACAGCCATATTTGGTATTACAACGGTACACCAGCTGCCTGTACCTTTGTGGCTCTTGACTACGTCCTGCCCAACTTCGGTGACTTCAAGATACCTGACCTGGTCGTGACCGGTCCGAACTATGGTACAAACGTCGGCCCCTTTGTTTGGACCCTTTCGGGAACCGCCGGCGCAGCGTAAGTGGTTTCATTCATGCATGTCGAAGGTGTCGATATTCACTAACAACCATAGTTATGCTGCCACTGCGCGCAGCATTCCTGCGATTGCGACATCCGGGAGCAACAAAGCCGTTGCGTACACCGAGGTTAATAGCACCACTCATCCGGCAGCTCTCGTTGCTGCTGTGGCCGCGAAGGTCGTCCTAGGCATCATTGAAAGCGTCCCCACAGGTGGCCCAATACTGCCTCTTGGTTACGGCATGAACGTGAACATTCCTCCTCTGACCACCAACAATACGTCTCCTGCCATCGTTCAGACTCGTATGACGGGCAATGCCGAGGTTGACGAGGCCGTCCCTGGAGAAACACCGGGAACTTTCACCTGGGCAAACATCCGGCCGTATGCTGCCGGCGTGAATGCTTGCTATAATGGTGATTGTAGCCTGCCTGGAGAAACGTATGTCGTGCAGAATGGCAAAGTTTCTGTCTCATTATACACTGTTGACTATACCGCTCCAACGAATGGTTACACCAAGTCAATCATGAGCAGGTTGAAGTCATTGACAAGCTGCTCTTGAGGTGGCATTGGAGCGTGGCACATAGTCTCCATAACATAATATGTAATAATGAAGTGGAAATTACATTATCGCCAAGGCTATATTGTTACCGTCGACTATTTAAATTGAGCGTAAGTTGAGTTCTGAAAGAATTATGTCTTGTGAATGTATTTATTTATGCGAGTTTACACCCTGATTCTACCGTGTAACCAACCGTAAGCGATTGCGACCCTATCTCGAAGAGTCAATGCCCTCATGACTGGTTATAGTATTTCTAGCTGTTCTGCACTCATTCTGGATGTAAAACAACCCTAGAGACAAGCCTAAGCCTGGAAATTTGGAAGTTCCTTCCCTGAGTTGTATTCTCAGGGCGTCTAATAGATCTGATAATGAGTATTCGCCTCATTTCGCCAGCATCACATCATGCCAAACAACATACAGGAAAATAACCAAGAAATTGGAAGTCTGTGAAATAATTGGTCATATACCAAGAGCGTCATCTAAGAAGAATTCCGGTATTGGGGAGAGAGACGGAAATAAGAATGAGGCTTCATCATCAGACTGGTCAATAGCAGCAAGCAATTTGTATCGCTGTCTTCGGTTCTGCGTGAATACGCCGACTGGGGTCGAAAATGCGCAAGCACTGGTTTGGATCAACGCCGGTTCGCAAAAGCTCGCGTACCATGTTGTTATCCCCTGCCCACACCGCTTGCCGGAACAGCTTTTCAGTAATTGAAGACGTTAATGGATCCTTATTGTCAGCCAAGGTCCTGAAGACTTGTGCATCGTAAGTCGCTTGGAACCATACAAACATCTGATAGCCAAGGTCGAAATTCTCTTCGTTCAACGAGTTGCGAAAGAGGAAGAGTGCCGTGGACATGATGTTGAGGTTGGCACGAGGAGAAAGTCGATCCTGGCTTGAAACATCTAACTCCATCAACCTTGAGTAGTCTGACGGCGCCATTGCTGCTTTCAGATTGTTGCTCAAAGGAGATGAAGCTGTGAGGAGCTGCTTTACGCATGTACGTACTTCTAGCTTTTGCATAGACTGCGGGATACGAAGAAAATCCGACTTTTCAGCCAGCCGGGGCGCAAGGATTATGTCGATGTCATTTGTAACTCGTGGAAGATGCACTACACCGGAGGTGGGCAAGTGGACACTTTGCTGACCATCGGTTATGACTGAAAGAGCAGACCGTAACTTCGGCTGATAATTCGGAAGCGTAAGTTTTGGAGACTTGACAATTATTTCAGAACACGACGCTGCTTTGATGGTTATGAAAGACCGGTGGCGAGTTTTATCGGCCTTAGGGTTTAGATTCTTTATGCTTTGGTTGAAGACTGGCTATGTTAATTGTCGAGAATAGCGTTGAACCTCCTTCTTATGCTTCTTAGAAGGAATTATCTGACGATCAATAATAATCTTAGAGCCTTTACTATCGTTTAGTCTCGATCACTTGCTCTGCTATCTCTATCCATTCACGCTTCTTACGGTTCTTTTTGAAAGCCCACGTTGAATCAGACTATGGCGAGTCCTACGTTATGTCAAAGCCGTAAAGTGTTCTTATCTCCTGAATCAATTGCTATAGAGTATAATTTCTCTCGATGTAGAGGTTACGAATAGTCTCTTTATATTGCTCCCAATTGTAAGCTACTGCGCTGTTGGCCTTATAAAAAGCCATATAAGGACGCTCCTCCCAAGTCTGGCCAGAAGACCTCATCTTTCTCTAAGGGAATTATTTATGAGGGACGAAATCTGCAGAAGCCTTGCATTAAGATTAAAGTGACAGAAAGAAGACATATGCTATAAAGGTTTTCAAACAATCAGACATTATAATGGCCAGTATCCATAGCCTTATTTCAGGATGGCATAGATTTTGGCTCGCAGATTTTGGTCGGTAACACTATGTCATCCCTCATCTTCATTGCCTACCATTACCAACGTTGGGTGCCCTTGTGTATCTGTCTGTCCGTCCGTTGGCCAAAATCTGCCCTAATCTCTATTCATGGCCCACAATGGCCAGAAGAGTTGGCCAGAATCTTCCTCTAGAATGGTATAAATTTGTTCAAAGAATAGTGAAAAGTTCTTTGCAATCGTTGCCCTCTTAATCGACTTATCTCAGCTCCCCCAGAAATTTCGTGCAGAATTTCCGATTGAAATATGCCGCCAGAGACTCAAAAAGCCAAAGGCCAATTGTCTACGACCAGATGGTACCATACCTCCTTTCCCTTTCTACATCTTTCTTAACACAATGCCCCTAGCAAACATGTTACAGCGCCTCCAGTCCATCGAGTGTTCCAATCCCAGAATGTCCCCATTGGTCAGGGTTTCGGCTTCCCTGAAAGCGCCACCTTTGCTCGCCAGAAAGATGAGGATGTTGCCAGGGATATCGAAGCCACGTTTTCAACCATTGATAACTGGAAGTGTAACATGAACAATAACCTGAAACACGCATGCCCATACCATGGGCCGATTCTCGACTTTTGCGGAATTTTCACCAACAATCAAGACCTAAGCCCAATGGAGCGATATTTGGTGAAAGACAATGCGGATCAGCCATCGCTTATCATTCATGGTAATGGAGAAATATCGCTATGGAGAGGTTGCACATGTTGGAAAGACATCAGCAATATCATGCAGACCCCAACGAGGCCAAAGCCCTAGATATCTTTCATGTGGATGTACAACATGTTCAGGTCGTCTTTGAGTTGTCTATAGCGTATGAGTCCTGGAATTGAATGTTGACCGATTATACTGGCCTCCCGTCTTAGAACGCTGTATTACTCGACTGTGACTACTTAAGAGAGCTACGTTTTGAAGCATTCATCGTCCATGTATATAGCGGTGTCGCACAGACTTTCCTTGTATGACCAGTAAAACCACAAACAAATTCCTTTGAGTAGTCCAACCATCGATGATAGACTTGGAGTACAATTTTGTCATGATGAACGCCGGTCTTGTGTCATGTTCAGTAAAAAATGCCAAATCACAGGATTAAGTTACTAACCACTTGCTCTGATATAGGCACTAGGAGTCTGCTCAAATGTCGGTCCGAACATACTATATCTTCAGATGTTTGGGTAGTAATATAGATAAATTTATTGGAGGATGCTTGCCGGTTGGTTAGCACACTACCATGGATATCTCAACCCAAACTCTCAACGCCTACTCCATCTAATTCTATGGACTCCAATCTACCGACTTGTTCAGTCCACAAATTCGCACTTAGGGTACATCAATCTCCGAAAGAGCCCCTGAAATTTGCTTGAAAACTACTCTAACCACTCTTTTTCCTCGTCGTGCGCCATCGCTTTTGACACTAACAACCAAGAGACCTACATATTCTTGGAATCTCATCATACCGTGTTGGATAATAGCCTCGTTTTTTAACAAGGCCTCCATAATGGCAACATTACAGTATGTCGACCCACCCACAACCTCTTTCACGAGCATTGAGAGTCTGTCTGGCCAGCTGGACGAAATTTCTGGAGACATCCTTGTCGTTACAAGTACGTTCCTTTAAAGGAGTCCAATTATGATATATCCGCTTACTCTCACAGATGTCTCTCACCAAGACTACAAAGACATAGTCAAGGAGACGGAGCTCCGTGAACGTGGATTTCGATTTCGGCATTATGATTCCGCGTCTCAAATCTTGGTCATTGTCATCCCGACCAAAGGGCATGAAGCCCTCCATCGTCAGTTCATTAGAGAATTCCATCGTCAGGTGGAAGCCCTCGGCGAAGGAGAGCGATGGATCGATTGCGGCGGAACCGCTTTCACCAAGGAACACGGAGGTGGAAATCTCAGCAGTAGTGGAGGAGACACAGTTGGCCTCCCACTCGCTGATTCGATTCAGAGCGACCACTGGCCGACACTTGTGGTTCTATCTGATACCTCGCAGGCTTTTGGAAGCCTCGCTGCGACGATGAGATGGTGGTTTAGAGCCTCCGATCATCGTGTGAAAACGGTGGTTTTCCTGAGATGGAGTAGTATTCAACATCAAATCATCATCGAGAAATGGGAGGAGCCTGAGCTAGAAGATATGGCAAGACGATCGAACGGTGAACCGCAGCCAGAGAATCAGCAGACGATACGAATTACCCAAGAAGGTGGCTTAATCCATGAAGATTCATACATTGTGGATGGCAGCGCCCTGGTTCTGAGCTTTCGCCGTTTATTCGGCAGGGATCCGAGAGCTGATCTTGGTCAGGGCGATATTATATTTTCTGTTCGAGACCTACAGCGCCTCGCTAGGCTTTCCTGGGGTGTCCTCGAACGTGGAAAATGATGGCGTGGGGCTGGTAATTGGGAACCCCGAGATACAACGTTGGAGGATCATTCGCAAGGTGATTGTGCTTTAGTCGTGTTTAAATTGCTATCGTGAATAAATCACCACTTTAACCGGCCGTGGATACCATTGTGGTGATACTATATGAATGGTTCTCTAGTTCCAGGAACATTCCAAGCAGCTGATCTTGTCGTTGAAATCAGACCCCAACACAGAGTAGGACACTCTTCCTGCCAGGATCAGCCCACTGCCGTAACAATATCCGTCCCATTCAGTCCACTACAATAGGCATTAGCCAATTTCATCAAGCCAAGCAAGTCTAGACCCAGAAAGTGTCCTCTGGATGAGACCGAGGCAAATTAGTACTTACGTAGACGCATTTCTTGTCAGGGGAATAGTTCCAGATACTGGAGATCCTATCGTTCCACTGAGGGACGCAACTCTGTCAGTGATTCTACAAGCCAAGTGTGTTCGGTTCTAGGCTTACATCAGTGCCAATAAAGTGGCCCTGGTTATCAATTGGGGGCCGGATGCCCAAGCTGGGCCCTTGGAAGTTGAAGTCCTGCCAATATTGGCCAAACCAGTCCTGACGGGACTCGACCTGTGCCACAGGTGCGGCATGTGCATCACGCTTGACCATTCGAGCCTATTATGGAATGTAAGCAAACGATATGAACACATTGACGTAAAAGTTTTGGCAATTACTAATGCTTGAGCTTCTTCCTTGGAGCGGTAGGTGGTGGTAACATTCCCGTCTCCTTCCCATACACCACCGGCAACGACTGCCTCAGCTGGAGTAGGTGCTGCGAGAACAGCAGACGAGGTGAGAGCCAAGATGGCAGAAACCCAGGAAAGCTTGCCCATTTTGATAGTTATACGGCGAAGGTTTGGAGAAGTTGTCGAGTGAGTGCACTGCGAGGATGATGTTCTTATTCACAATGCTCTGAGGCGATGAATGAATCCGTTTCTTTCTTGGAGCAACGAGACAGGGCCTTATATACTTTGACTCCATGACTGCGTATAACATCGTTGATGGAATATCAACAACAGAGTATATTTAGCCCTGCTGACATAGAAGTCTTGGCTCTCTATTTCTCGCCGAGCGTGTCTTGGCCTCGCCGTACGGCTCACTCAGCGATAGCTTTGGGATAGAGGATATATTAGCCATGCATGAGTGTAAGACAGCGACAGATCAGCTTCTCCACTTGTCTCTCCCTATTCCGCACTTGTTAACAAATCGAAGACTGCGAAAGAGTAGTCCTTACTAGCATGCCGCGATGGTCTGGCGAATAGGCATCGCTCCCTTCTCTAGAGGCGTACCCGAAATAGAATGATGGGCCCTTTCTATCTTAATTCAACGTTTGGAATCCGTATGGTGATTCCATTGTAACAGTGTCATTGACATCTCCTACTCTCCGCCGATACCCGGCAATACGACTTGATGGCTCCACTGGCAGTGCTACATGACTCCAGCTGCGGCAGTGCGACTACAACCCTCACAGATGCACAGACCCACGATTCTATATCGTAATGGCATCAGCCCAAACGGGAGACAAGGCAAACCCAGCTGCCGTCAGCCGCAACTGTTGCGATGGCGGCCGCAGTGTAGTGGAATATATGGGGATCTATCACAGACCAGAACCACCGCTTACCAATGTGGACCTACATCTACATGACCGCATTTACCTAGTCATTAACCTTATCCAGAAAGTTTTCGGACGATCTCTCTGCAAATTGTGGCGAGGGGATACTCAAAGCGGCCGCATTAATTGGATCTGAGTCCCGGCCTCATACGTCTTGCGAGCGATGTGTGAATTGGGCACAACAGTTCAGTGGGAGGGAAGACAAGAAGTTGGACAGGTAAATATGAAAGTCGGCGGCGGTCATGGGCTGAAAATAACTCGAAAGCGGCCATCCCGCAAAACACGAAAAATAGTTTAAGAGCAATATTCTAACATTGTACTAAGACACAGCTATGAAGACAGGTATGGTATCACTTTCCCATAAACTCCAATGCCGCCACATGGCAGCATAATCATGATCATGTGTAAATCAGTCGTAGCCTTTAGCAAAACGCCGTAACAATGCTGCCCTCCAAGAAACACCGAGGCAGTACATCCGAAATGTTCTACCAGTCATCCGGGTCGAACGGGCTGTGCACCTCCCCACACTTGGGACACAAGAAAGCATCCTCGTCGTCACTATCGTCATCATAGAAGTCCAACACATCCTCGATGGGGTACCCTGAGTTGCGATCGAACTCAATCCACTTTCGTACATTTGAATCGCGAGACTCAGGAACACGCTTCCACACAGTCTTCTTTTTCTTCCAGACGGAAACAGGATGTCCCTCTTCCTCGGGAACACTGGGAAGGTCTGGAAGGTGCGCGTGGTGAGAATGGCCAGGATTCATACTAAGATTGGCGAAGGTCTGGGTGGGGTCGAAGTCGCTAGCCTGACCATTTTGAGCATTCTCCTTGTCCTTTTCCATCTTCTCCTTGGCGAGTTTTCGATAAGCTCTGACAACTTTGGCACAGAGTCCGTAACCTGAGAGAGGCTTGAGAGAGGTCTTCAGCTGAATGAACGCCGGATTGCCGTCCAAGAATAGACCATCGTCTTTGACCATTCCCTGAAGGTCAGCTCCTGCCTTCATTCCTACCTCGCAACATGGGAGACCGGTAACGAGAAGCTCATTCAAGGTACAACCGAGATCGTGGGAGGAGACCTCATGCAGGTCAGTCTCAGAGTACGGGAGGAAGTACTCTGGGAAATTGACAAAGTCAATCCTCATGGACTCAAGGTTCGGGAACAGTCGAGGGCGCGAAGTCTTCTTATCGTGCTTCGGGTCGAAAGGAGCTCTAAGAGCTTCGAGGAAGTCAATGGTCTGAGTCCAAGTGTAGCAGTGAAAACCCTTACGGGCCAGGGTCTGATTCTCTTTGATGCGTGGAGTGACCTTCAAGGCGACATCCTTCTTCAGAGTGGTATGATACTCACGACCCAGCTTGTGAGGACGCTTCTCGTCATCGAAGTATCGAGCGATGATGCGCAGATTGACGTGCTTGACGGTCTTGCGCAGGCCTGCGTCAACCTCGGCAAAGTTGCGAAGAGCCTCGGGAGTAGTGAAGACGAAGGAGTTATTCTCCCAGAAGATCCTGGTGCCCTCGATGTGAAACGCCTTGCAAGTAGCCAAGAAATGGATGGCGACCTGGTTGCCGCGAGACTTCTCGTAAGGCGTCAGATTCTCAGCCTTTGACTTTGACAGTGGGTCGATGATCGCATCCCTGCTGGTGAGCGAGTAGTGAAGAATGCGGAGTAGCACCTCAACAGGAAGATGTGGGAGCCTTCCTTGATCAGCAGTGATGGAAGCTCGGGTGCGACGGGTGCTACCCGAAGTGCCTTTGCCCGTGTTGGTGATGCCCGCCTGGAAATTGGGGTTAGCTGCGACGGATGGAGACCAAGCGATGCCATGCTCGCGCAGCAGACGCTTCAGACGCATGTTCTCATCCTCGAGGTTGCGATTCTTGACTCGCAATGGTTGGTTGTACCAGGCCTCGGCCTGCTCCTCCTGGTCACGGCCGTCCCACGGGAAAGCACCCTGCAGCAGAATGTTAGCAGCCATTGGTAGTTGTGCCAAGGGGGGAATTACCTGTCCAGCCATTATGGAAAATCGTTGTCAGTGACGCAGAGGGTATTAGATGTCCAGATTAGACAGAGTACTGGCAGAAGTCGATGATGGTACAAGTGGACTCCAAGCAGTGTACAAGTGCAATCCCAGATCCCGATGACGGATGCGGACTCGCACAAGATGAAAAGATGCCGATGACGCGACGGCGCGACGAAGTAAACACAAACAAGAAGACTTGGGTTTCCCCAATACCAGGCTATGGCCGACGAGAGGTGAAATGTTTAGTGGGAGGAAAGTCAGGGATGATGAGGTGCAGATGTAGGGGTCTGATGGGCTTGATAAGGCCCAAAGAACCTGGGTCGACAAACGAACCTCTCGGAGGCAGATAGATGTTCGAAAGCGCCACAAGGGAGAATGGCGGAGAATGGAGGCTTCTAGGGCAGAGGCCAGAAGGAAATCCAGACTAACGATCGATGCAGAAGACAGCTCTAGAATTGATGCGTCACTGCGATAGGAGGCATCACTTCTATGATGGCGGAGGGAATAAAAACGCCAGAGCTGGGAGAATGGCGAAGGTGCAGGTGAGTGGATAAGGAACGAACGAGACAGATGGAGTGGTCAAAGGAAATCGGAAATCGAATGCAAGTGCTCTTGCTCTTGCTCCTGCTCCTGCTTCCGCTGCTGCTGATGCTACTGCTGCTCTTGGGAAGGGTGCCCCGCTCTGGATGCGGAAATAATTCGCGCCTTCTGTTTGCACGCAATCAGGTGACGGTGCCTGGACTTGATGATTCAACCTGGGTAGGTATGGTAAGGTACCTAATAAGGTAGTAGCGGTTGTGTTGGCCGGAGCTCTTTCTCTCTTTGTCCTGTGCCTTCTGTTGTTGCTACCTATCGGGTTAATAAGGTAGAGAGAAGCTTGTCAGGAAGGTGCGGAGATGCAGTGGAGTTCTGAGTAAGAAAGAGGAAGAGCGACCGCGAAAGAGCGATGTAGGTATAAAAGAAGATCCCTGGGGAGGAAGGCACAGGCACCACAGACCACTTGCTCTGCATGCATCAATCAGCCTCAATATGCCTCTTTGAGACCTGGAAGCGGTCGATGCTAAATATTCCTTTGACAACCCCAGATATCACATCAGTGCGCCGAGCTTTGATGAAATTCAAAGGTAAAAGAAAGCCCCGAAGAGCACCAAGTATCATGTCACTTCACCTACAGTATGGTGAGGTAGCTTCTGCGGGCGGGCGTTAAGATAACGGCAGGGGGTCGGTCTCTGACGTGCATACCTAAGCAAGCTACACCTGGGGCATCGGAAAGCTTTGACAGGATGTAGAAATAGGTAGCGCATCCCAGAGCGTCGTTGCATTACCCTTGGTGCCGTCCGTAGGCCTTCACCATCGCCATTTACATTTGCAGAACAATTGATATATGGCGAGTATAAAAAACGCCAAGTTTCACTCTGAATGGCTAGGATGGATTGACTGCTTCAATTGGCCTGCAGAATTGCATTATAAACTAGCTCCTACATTTGGGAAGATGACACCCGCGGTCGATCATCGGAAGTGTGTAAGTCGCTGTCATCGCACAGAAACGCGATCTCGCTTGACGTCATGACAGTGACTGCCGCGAAGCAATCGAACAAATTGCCCCTTTCTATGATGAAATCACACAGCGATATTAGGTACCACGAAGCGGGGAGTAGCAGATAGTTAAATAAACAAAGGTCCCCTGAGTTACCCGTCCATTTGACGATTTCGATCATCATTCGTAAGAATTCGACCAATATAACGAACTGAACCTCAAACATGTCTTTCTCAAACACTTCCACCGGCGACAAGCCCGCAGACCCGTACAAGGCTGCTAACCAGGACACAGACGTGTCGTTGGAGCAGAAGGTCGAGGACCTCACCGCATTCATCACAGCATGCAAGTTCGGCATGATGACGACTCGGGACTCGAGCAGCGGCCTGCTTGTCTCTCGAGCGATGGCTCTCGCTGCATCGGTATGAGGCAATCCAGTGGACTTTCCCGAGACAAACGTGCTGACCAAGAGACAAGGAAACTGGCGGTATTGACCTTCTCTTCCACACAAACACCGAGTCAAATAAGACGAACGAGCTGGAGACGGATCCGCATATCAACATTGCCTTCCTCAACAGCTCCGGTGACTGGGCTTCCATTTCAGGGCAAGCCACCGTCGTCACAGATCGGTCTCTCGTGAAGCAACACTACAGCCCGGCGCTCAAGGCATGGCTGGGTGATCTGGGCGATGGAACCCATGATGGCAGCGAGAATGACCCCAGAATCGGCATCATTCGTGTAAAGACTGTCTCGGTGACATATGCTGTGGCATCGAGCACATTCGTCGGCAAGGTCGCACAGGTTGCGCAGGGCGTGGTGACTGGCAAACCAGCACAGGTGAACAAGCTGAGAGAAATTTCCCAGGGAGAGGTCAACCAGTGGCGAGCGTCGCACTAAAGGCACATGATGCTGTCTGCTAGATATGTTGTAACGATATATCGACTTCATGTACTATTATAAAGTTTGCCTGATAATTCCAGCCAGGACCGAATCATATTTTACTGCAACATCCAGTGATTAGTAGAGCTCTGGCAACACACTGACCTGTATAGAACTTAGGTGTTATGGCGCGAAGTGGTTGCTTCTTATTGCTTGCCCTCGTAGTCTGCTTTCCATATCCTATCCCATGTCTCCTTATTTACCGCAAACTCCCTGACGTATTCATGCTCCAGCTCATGTGTCCTGCGACCAAGGAGAACCAGACTATGCAACGGAGCCCCAAGCTCTTCGTCCTGGTCACAAAGCTCTTTCAGCGTTCCTGATACGAACTTTTCCGTCTTGCCTCCAACTCTCGCCGCTCCAATGGCTAGACTGTCTGGCCCATACACGCCTTCTTGCCTCTCTTCCTCAATTTCCAGCATCTGGCTGGCACACTGACCCACAGTCATGTACCTCGGCGGCTCGTATATCCTCCTACCACGCGCCATGTTCTCTAAGCTCTGCTCCTTGACCTTGATGTCAAGCAGCACCAGAGTGTGCAGGCCAATGGTTCGATTCTCCTTGATGCGGTCGTAGAACGAGCTCGGGCGCCAGTTGTCCAGGAAGAAGACCATGCTGACCGTCTGTCCAAAATTATACAGCTGCAGGCCCGCGGCGCCGATTCCGCTCATGATGGAGGCATTGGGTACGGTTCGTACAGGGATCTTGAGCTCGCGCGCCCGCAGGACAAGGTCGGTGTGGGTGGTGGCGCCGAAGGGGTCGCCGACGACGAGGAAGGCTACATCCTCGGTCTGGGCGTCGCGGAGGATCTCGTCGCTGTTCGACTCGACCATCTCGCGGTCGGCAACTACGATTGATCGCCCATAATAGTTCTCCTATGTCTGGTTAGCGTTAGCCATTCCGTCTTGTGCTGCCGTTGCGGACAAGCATACCAGGACGGACTGGTCTACTAGGAGGATGCTGGTGTAGGCTTCGAGGTAGACCCTTGAAGCTTTCTTGACAACCTCGAGACCCTTGACGGTGATGTCCGTCTCATCGGACAGACCGAGGCCTACGAGATAGAGCATCTCGGCAAATCGTCAGGTGTACTGCGGAATGGTGGGAAAAGTCAAGATCGAAATCCCTTCCTTGAAAATCGCCCATTGCGATAGCGATGTAACCCCACTATTAGCGTTGGTGCCCCGCCATTCCAATGCTTATCGCTAGCGCCAACCAGCCCTACCTTAAAATGTTTCTCGAAGCTCCAGATTCATCCTTGACATCAACATCTCAAAGTGGTGCACCCGCATACTCACCGCCACCATGTCGAAGAACGGCTCAGCCTACGGCACGCCCGCGGGCGACACTTCATTCCGCAAGAAATTCGACACCGAAGAGGCAGCCGTGCGCGCCCGAGAACGCGAGGCGAAAGAGAAGGAAGAGGGCAAGGCGCGGTACGAAGCCAAGCTCGCGGGCAAGAAATACTACAAACCACTCGATGGCTCAGAGACCCTCACGACGGCGCGAGCAGCCACGCTCGATCTCAGCGGCCATGTCGGCAAGACGATGCTGGTGCCGGCGGGCGCCGGAGTTGGCAAGAGGGGCCGCGGCGCGGGCTTCTACTGCGAGGCCTGCGACTTGACGTTCAAGGACAATATACAATGGGTGGAACACGTGAACAGCATGCAGCATTTGCGGGCGATCGGACAGACTGGAGAGGTCAAGAAGGCTTCGGCAGAAGATGTACGTGCGCGGATCGATGCCGCGTGGGAGCGTGTACAAGAGCGAGAGAGGGAGAAGATTGTGAATCTCTCCGAGAGGTTGGAGGTCAGAAGAGAGGAGGAGGAAAAGGAGAGAGAGGAGAGGAGACGGAAGAGGAAAGAAGCAGATGAGCGGAAGAAAGCAGAGAAGGAGGCGGCGATTAAGGTCAAGACTGAGTATGGCGATGATGTTCGAATCGAGGGAGAACACGACGAGGACGACATGATGGCTGCTATGGGCATTACTGGCTTTGGCTCTTCCAAGAAGTGATAGAGGCATACCTATCCTATTTCGAGATGCATGCTAAGGATATTTTCGACCCGATGAGAGCAGAATAATCATTGTACGATATGGAGAGCAATAGCCACGATAGATACCACTAGGCATGGGTTCGGCGTTTTGGTAGTTAAAAAAACAGAATATCGATTCGAGTTCATACTGCCCTGAAGTGAGCAAAAGGAGTGCTCGTGCATAAAGGTCAATTACTGATCAGTATATCTTGCTGATGGTAATAAACGTCCTGGATTCGAGACACTCGTTTCGTCCGGTACCTTCTCCAGTTTGTTGGACAGGAATTGCAGGGACATTTGTCCCCACCCATCACTGTCGGTAGCTCCCCCGGCAAGCCCCCTGACAGCCGCCAATCGTGCTATCCCCGGAAGCCGGATGTCACTACACCACCACCCGACCTCGGGAGGTGACAAAGCACTTCATGCATTAAGCCTTCGAGTTTGTTTTCAAATTTTCCATTTGTACAACCTTAACAAACGAGCCTTTCTCTCGTGATACAAGCGGAGGATTATATGGTTTCCCTCACGAGGCATTTTGCGTGGACTTCAAAAGTAGAGGTATCAGCTCGTTTCCTAGATCCTGACATCATTCCTGGGTGTGCTCGCCGCCATTCTGCACCCCCACCATCTTTTGGGGATCGTCACTCAGAGCACGCAAGAAATACTCCGACTCCTCTCCCTCGAGAACCGATCACAGACGATCCTTAGCGTAGAGACAGTACCGCTATATCGAACTCGTCAAGATGTCTGGCTCCTCAAGTTCTGGCTCCGCAGCAGCTGCCGCTCTCCTCCGGCGCCAGCTCAAGCACATGCAGTCCGACAAGGACATACCGGGCATCTCCTGCGGACTGGTGAATGACAACAACATCTTTGAGTGGGAAGTGATGCTCATGATCAGCGACGATTGCAAATACTACGGCGGTGCGTCTTTCTATCCTGTCTTTGTCCCTGTCCCTCTCCCTCTCTCGAAGCTTGTCAGGTCTTGTCACGCGATGCTAACGTCCCCTTCTTCCCAGGAGGCAACTTCTGCGCCAAGATGCTCTTCCCGCCCAACTACCCCCTGATGCCGCCGACGCTCACCTTCCAGAGCCCCGTCCCCTTCCACCCGAACATCTACGCCGACGGCAAGCTGTGCATCTCCATCCTGCATCCGCCCGAGGAGGACAAGTACGGCTACGAGTCGGCCAGCGAGCGCTGGAGCCCCGTGCAGACGCCCGAGACGATCCTGCTGAGCGTCATCAGCCTGCTGCACAGCCCGAACGACGAGAGCCCTGCGAACGTGGAGGCGGCGCGCATGCTGCGGGAGGACAGGCAGGGCACCAGCAAGGACTTTAGGAGACGGTGCCGCAAGTGCGTGCGCGAGAGCTTGGGCGAGGACTGAGGTCGGGTTCTGACAAGCTCTGGTATGATCATGCGTTAGGGGACGGCCATCATGCTTCACATCATGGGAGTAGAGATGAGTGCGAGGCCAGCGTGTTGCGCGGGCAGGAGTTCTAGGCTCAGGTGTCACTTTGCATTTCCGGGCGCACGGAAGCGGTTGATTTGCCGCGCATATAGCATTGGCTCGTCTTTATGAAATTGGCGTCATATCATTAAGCGTTCCTCTGAATTTGGGTATCATGCCGTAGCTTGTGAAGTCTCGTTATATGGACTATTATTGAGCCTTCAAGGTTCCGTCATGGACAACAGCGGGCCGACCACAGCATCCCATTCTTCATCCCACCTTCGACTACCTTCCTCGATGGCTCCCTGCTTCAGCGTCTTCAGCTCTGTCTGACCCTCCGGACTCAGCAAGCGCCCCAGAGCAGCCTCAAGCTCTTCCGCAGTCTCGAACCCACACCCATTATCTCCTTCCCTCACGAGCTCGGAGAAGCTCTCGTAGTCGGAGTATGCAACCACCGGCAGGCCTGCTCCGAACATGTCCACGACTTTCATCGGCAAGTCAACGCCGGAGCTCGACTTGTGCAGACATATCCCCAAATCTGCACAGCCAAGCAAGCTTGCATAGTCCTCGAACGACAAGAAGGCCGTCTTAATAATGACGCCTGTGAGCCGTCCCTCCTCTCGTAGTGCCTTGATCTCCGCCTCGTACATCGCTCTCTGCGGGCCACGACCTGTGATGATGGCGAGCACTGGCGTCTGAGCTGAGTCGGCGTTCGCGTATTGGACTAAGGCGTCTAGCATCAGGGAGAAGTCCTCGTCCGGAGTCCATGATGTACTGCTGACAATAAGCCTTAACCGGCCCTCCGAGATATCCTTGGCAGCTTCCTTGGTCACGTCCAGTTTCTGAAGAAGATCTTCACGCATATGCTCTGTTCGCACGGGCTGAAAGATAGCAGCTGGCCGGTCATGCATAGTCAGGATCGGCGTCAGGATTTTGTAGGGTGGCTTGCGGAGTTCCTTGGCCATGGCATTAGTGACGGTTAGGTTAGCCGTAGGCGCAATACGGCCGAATATGCATTCATAAAGTTTAGAGATGCGGACAAAGGGGTGTGAAGAGCCGCGCGTGCCGGCTAGGATGGTCCAGCCATAGTTATGCCAGTCTATAAGAAGATGTGTGTTCCTCAACCTGCACATGACGGCGGCAACCGCCAGTGTTGGGATGGATGGGGGATTCTACATTTTCATGTCAGATCGTATTTCACGCAGCAGATGAGTTATTCTAACCTGAACCAGCAGCCATTGGGCTGGGGGCGTGTCATATCCCAAGATACGGATCAAGGTCACGACCTGCCAGATGACCTTGAGAGGGCCAGAGACCAAGAACGGCAGCGACTTGGATCGAAGCACGCTCGGTGGCGGATCCAAGGGGCAGATCTTCACGTTGGGATACTGCGATAAGCTTGGATGAGGTGCGGTTTCTAGAGGCTCTCAGCATCATATAAACAACGGTATAGGATCATGTCTTACCGTGATAGCCAATGAGGTCTACCCGCCCTCCATGCTTGGCGATGCTGAGAGCATGATATTGCATGCGTGGACTTCGGCCGATGTCTCCGAGAACGAGAACCTGGACTGAGACATTGGGCTTTGCGACTGCGTCCTGATCTTGATAGTATCGAGAAGGAAGCAGCAAAAACAAGAGTAAGAGAAGCGAGAGAAGCCCTACGACCAGAGTAGCAAGGGAAGCCACCAGTACGGCCATATTGGGCAAAGGGCGCTGTCGTGTGAGTTGTGTGAATGCTTAGCTGTAGGTGATATACCGCAGCCTGCTCCCGTTCATGAGCGTTGATGGGCTGGTCGAATGAAGAAGGTGGTGGCGGGCCGGAGACCAACTAATCATTCTGAGATGTAACTGTCCGTGTTCAATCTCGCCTGATTCAAAGAGTATTGTTTGGAGGTCTTTAGAACCTCAACATCGCCATATATCAAGCAACATTGCCATGATAAGGCAGTAGTATAGCAAGATGAGCAGCCAGTGCGCCTCGTTTCTTCGTATTCTCGAATCCTTCGACAGTGACAGCGTCAGCCAAGCTCACCAGCCCGCTAACCTACTAACCTGTTAGTCGAACCGCAGAAGCAATGTGGCTACTCTACGGTGCTTGGCGGCTGTTGATGGTGTCCGTTAGAAGGGGGCGAAATTACACGTGGATCTGCTAACACAGATTATCTGGCAGGGGCCAGCAACGCTAGCTCATGCAGGCGGCAGCTGCAGGCACAGGGCGATCGACACGGTGACAAAGAGGCGCCAATCAGAGGGCTCTCAGTGCCAGCAACGTGCCCCCTGCACCGAGGCCTCTCTCAAAGACCTGCCTTTTGGCCTTATTTCTCCACAGTCAGGGGGGGATGGATCATTAAAGGAAAGAGAAGCCCCGGACACACGAAGCGAGAGATTAGAACGACAACAGACGACCACCACACGCTCGCTCACCGCATAAGCCGAACAAGGAACAATAACAACCTCAAAAGCCCCTCCCGAGGCTCCCGTCTGCGACTTTGACGAACGGAATCGCGCTCAATTGCTGCAATTGGAGCCTGCTCCTCCAATCCGTGCATCACCAACCACGAGCTGTGGCCCGCTGCAACCTGACTCGCCGCGCGCTGAAGATAGATAGATACAAGGTTCTATCGTGGGTCCCGTCAACAAGGAGGGGTCCGCGATAGCCGATCAGCCTGGGAGGTAGAGAATCGCGGAGCAGCGCACTCGAGGAACTTCGCATTCAACATCTACACGGCCAACTTAGCGGACGGCAGGACGTTGAAATCTGCTATCCGTTCGCTGACCCCTGCCAAGCTTGCGATTGCTTCATGATACGGGGAACAGATCAATCGGGGCACTAGCGGTCCCGAGAAGCTGCTCTCGTTAGCTAGCAGGTTCTTTTCGAGGTTGCTGAGCTGTAAATCCCTCTCTGCCTTTCGCCATGTCGTCGTCATATACCTTGCCCGCGCCAGCATTCCCGCCGACGCATCATCATCACGGGCAAGCCCATGTGCATTCGCACTCACGACCGTCCTCCTCCCTCAGCTCCCTCAACCGGTCGTTCCGTGGCGACTCGAGCATGAGCGTAGACTCGCATCATCACGACCACGACCACGACCACGATCACGGGCACTCGCACGGCCACGCCCATAACCACAGCCATAGCCACAAGTCGCACAGTCACTCGCATCATCGTGCCAACTCGAACCAGCCAATACAGTCTCGGTCTAGTGCACCCCGGCCGCTGTCGTTGCACGAAGGATGGACCTCTGACTTGACTGCGGGCGGCAAGCCCTTGGTGACACCTACGAGTGCGACATTTGCAGCCTCGTACGATGCCCCTCAAGCACAGTCGGCCGAGCCCGCTCACGATCATTCAGCCCAGCGCTCGGCTTTCACAAACCTCCTTCTGCCACACACTGCGAAATGGCCGCTACTACATACTGTTATGACGGAGAAGGACTCGAGGAGGATATTCTATTTCATGAGGTAAGTTCGGGACAGAAGACATCCAAATTCAAAGAACCAGTGCTAATCCTATACCTGCTTTAGTCTCAACTTCGGTTTCATGGCCATCCAAGCATTCTACGGCTATATTACAGACTCGTTAGGTCTTCTCAGCGACAGCATACACATGTTCTTCGACTGCGTGGCGCTTGCAGTGGGCTTATTCGCTGCAGTGGCCAGTAAATGGCCGCCGAGCATGCGCTTTCCTTATGGCTTTGGCAAGATCGAGACGCTCAGCGGTTTTGCGAACGGCATCTTTTTAATGTATGTTGACTTTTCATCGTTGACGGGTGGCATGACTGACTTGGAAAACAGCTTAATCAGTGTGGAGATTATGTTCGAGGCTTTCGAGCGGATTATCGAGGGCAGGGAAACGAAGAGACTGGCAGAGCTCTTTGTTGTCAGCACCATGGGCCTGATCGTCAACCTGGTCGGAATGGCTGCATTTGGCCATCACCATCACGGCCATGACCATGGACATTCCCACGGGCACTCGCATGGCCACTCACACGATCATTCGCACTCGCATTCTCACGAGAAATGCGACCACGACCATGATCACGGCCACGACCACAAGCATGAGCACGGCCATCAGCATGGCCATTCACATGACAACGAGAACATGTATGGCATCTACTTGCATGTTCTAGCTGACACACTTGGGAGTGCCGCCGTGATTGTCTCCACCGTATTGACCCATTTCATCCCGTGGGCGGGCTGGGATCCGGTAGCATCTTTCCTGATCGCCGTCTTAATTCTACTTTCGGCGCTGCCCCTAGTCAAGTCTTCGGCAAAGCGTCTATTACTAACTATTCCGGACTCGATCGAATATAATCTACGTGACACTCTATCTGGTATCACTGGACTTCGAGGCGTCGCCAACTACGCCGTTCCGAAATTCTGGGTCGACGACCGGAACTCCGGAGACGATGGTCCGGGCGATCGACTACTTGGCGTGATGCACGTTGTAGCCGTACGAGGAGCCGACACGGAGGATGTTCGCGAGCGTGTAAGCAACTATCTGAAGGAGAAGGGCATCGACATTGTGCTGCAAGTGGAGAGGGAGGGAGATACGACTTGCTGGTGCGGAGTCGGGCGCAGCCCTCTAGCAGGAGGGGGATCGCAGAGCGCCGGTGTCTTCTAGGATGACGACATGGTTTGATTGAATCACTGCCTGTTCTTGGGGAAAGACCTTGGGGAATAGATGGTCTTTTCGTTTGGTGACTTTGGGCGATGTTGGCATATTACAGCAAAAGAGTCGTGTCGTAGACAGATGCACTGTTTGGACCGCTTCTTGGAACTTAAGCTGCATTGGCTTTTTGTACATACACCATATGAGTCTCACCATTCTTATTAGATGGGTTCATGAATAGAAAACGAAGATACCCTGTTAAAGTATGGTCTACGGCACGTGTGTTCACCTTGTGTGAGAAGAAAATCAGGCGCAGACGAACACAATAGATAGCGGGGAGAGAATGTCCTGTCAGCTTTCATTCAGCAACCTTACAACACACAATCGTGCTTTCAGTGACAAAGAAGGACTAGCAGGGGCTACAATACTGATCGGCCAGTAAGAAGCGGGCTGTGAAATGCAAAGAACCAACAACAGTTTTTAGGGCGAATGGGACTGCTGTGTGGCGTGCCAGTGCTGCACATTTATGCAAGTCCCCTGTGCTTCCCACCCTTCCGCAAGTGACGAACATCCAGTGCCCAACCGACTGTTCAAGTTGTTACACATTTGTTAGCGGGGTAGAAAAGACCATTGTGCCTTGTCCAGTTGCAGCAATGCTCGGTAATGACAGGGCAGACTGAGTGTGATATTTCTGCGGCTCTGCTTTCTGCGCGCGTTTCGTTATTTCGTCTTCAGCGTCTAACCTGTGCCGCGTCCTCTGGTGATAATTGAGGTTACGTGCCTTTTGCCCTACGCTGTCGTGCGGATAATCCCTCACTTAAGAAATGGTGCTCCAAAAGGGCGTGATTGCGGCTAGCGCGTTATATCCCATTATAAAGAGCCCAAAGCTGCAAACATTGTACGCTCCTAGACCGCATAGCTGCTATGCAGCTAGCTAATGTCCTCAGGATCATCACAGTCGGTGGCATTGGGACACCGCCACCAGAAACATGGTCCAGCTCATCAAATAATCATGAGCCGGCAAAGCTGTGGTTGGACTGTCTCCCTCAGTCTGCCACGCCCGGAATTGGCGTCTATGGCTATTCACACGGCATCAGTGCACTGGAACTCTCATGGCAGGCTCTACTAGACCATGGATCGCGGCTCATAAGTGCCCTGTTAGGGTTGGTCGGTGAGCAGAAGGTCAGTGTGTATGTCATTGTGACGAATTTATCTAACATTGAACCGAAGCTACATCACTGTCCCATCCTTCTGGTGGCACACAGTCTGGGTGGGCTCATAGTGAAGGAGGTTAGCATGTCAAAGTCTTGCCTAGACAGCTGGTTAATCAAGTCCTAGGCCTTGCGTAAAGCGTACGAAGAAAACTACCGAAACTTCCTGCGAACTCTTGCCGGAGTCGTGCTTTTGGGAACCCCTCATTCTAACATAGAAAATGAGAAATGGTATAATGCCGCATTGGCGGTGCAACCCAGTTCCAAAAAGAATAGAGCCATGAACTCAGATGATGTTTCCAAGCTGGCTAACAGCTCCATGCTATTTGAGCAAGCCGCCGTGGAAGTGCCGATTCTCTCTGTACACGAGACTGAGAAGACAAAGATCAAAACTGGTACTTTTAAAACCACGAAAACTCTCGTAAGCCTTTCTCTATCAACACCATGTTACCTGTAAACATTTGTGCTTTTCATTATATGCTAACATGATATGTAGCTTATGGGTGCAGATTTCGTGAAGACCGATTCTAAAAACGAAGAAATTTTAGCTATCAAGAGTGATCACAATGATTTATGCAATCTTGATGTCACGGCTAGCTATTTCCAGACATTTTGCTTGTTCGTGGATGCTTCGATTCAAGACGCTCGCCTACGGATAGTAAAAGGATCCCCTACACGTGAGACTTACCATTGCCTGCAGCTTCGCCATCAAAGCTAAGATATAATAGATGAGCCACCGTCGACGCTCGATGATTGGAGCGTAATTGATCGTGAGCCTCTTGATATGACACGCAACTTTGCGTAACTCTTTCTTGGTAGAAGCTAACGCCTAGAACAGAAAAGTCGGGCCCTAGTAGGACCACAGATAGCTACTCAAACCCAACATCCAGATCTGAGGCGCAGACACTTTATGCAACTGCGGCTTCAGGAGAATCGGCCTTCGAGATAACTCCATTCTCCACACAAACCACACTTCAACGGCAACCCTCTCGCTTTCCATGCCACCTAATTCCAGTCGCTCAGAACCGCGAGTTCTTTGGTCGCCAAAAAGTTTTAGAAGAAATTCATCAGGCATTTTTCTCTCAAGCACATGGTAGTCATCAAGGCAATGCCGAAACTCGGACTTTCGCCATCTGTGGGTCTGGTGGAATTGGAAAAACCCAAGTAGCAACTGAGTTTGTCTATACAAGACAAAATATGTTCGACGCCATATTTTGGATTCATGCAGATACTTCTCTGAAGCTCCGAGAGGAGTTCAGTCGGCTAGCGGTCTCACTTGGACTCGTCGAAGACGACTCCATAGATGCGCGAGACCAGGTAATCACACGAGATTTTGTCAAAGGATGGTTGGCCAATCCAGTTAAAGACTCCAATGCCTTGAACATGAACGAGACTAACCAGGCCTTTTGGTTGATCGTGTTTGATAATGTCGACAACACCGATGTCCTGGAGGGATTTTGGCCATTGGATGGGCCAGGCTGCGTCTTGTTTACGAGTCGTGATCCCTTAGCCAAAAATTCTCTATATCTTGCGAATTCTGGAGTGGATCTCCAGCCTTTTAGTCAAGAAGAGTCCGCAACTTTTCTTGAAAGGTTGACCAACAAGCAGGGAGACAGCAGTGGGATTCATGAGAGGCTTGGCGGGCTTCCGCTCGCTATCACGCAGATGGCAAGCGTGATAATCCGTCGCGATCTCTCCTATTCGGAATTTATTGAAAGTTATGATGAAGAGGGCGGCCATGAAGAGTTATTCAAACTTCGCTTCGACAAATGGAATCAGCCAATGGATTATAAAAAGACTATCTGGTCAGTCTGGGCTTTAGAGACACTGAAGCATAGCAAGGATCTCCTAGACGTTATATCATTCCTCGACCCGGACGGTATATGGGAGTACATACTCACCAAATACTCCACAAAGCTACCATTGTTGCCGTCATTTCCACGTACCTCGGGTGCATACCACCGAGCGCGAACAGAACTTTTACAATCATCACTGATCAGTAAAGATAGTTCTGGAAAGAGACTTGTGGTTCATCGACTCGTTCAAGATGCAGCGCGTTCGAAGATAGATACCGTACGTTTCCAAGATGTGCTTTCCTCTACGATCCACCTGATTTCCGCAGCTTGGCCATACGAGGCGTTTGGTTGGCGTCACGAAGTCAGTAGGTGGAGAGTCTGTAAAGAATTATTTCCCCACATCATCATCCTTCTTCAATATGGTGGACAGTTAGATATCAGAGCAGACTCGGCGGAAACGGGAGTCTTGCTTGCAGAACTAGTGACGGATGCTGCCTGGTAAGTCTCTAAAGTTGATGCGGCCAGTACACTTCTCTCATTATTACACAGGTACTACCACGAGACTGGTTATTCTATTGAAGCGACACCCTTCTTCGATTTCGCGAAAGATTTATGTGATTCTATTAAAATTCGTATCCCTAAACAGGAGAACGAACTTCTCATGAAATTGAAGCCTCGACTAGACTCGACAACGGCCGAAATCCACCATAATCTTGGTTGTATCGGGACTGAAACCAATCAACCGCGCTACACGTTGGAGCACTTCTCAATATTTAATCGAATGATGATACAAGCTAGCGGTGATAATCTTCGAGGAAAGGACAATCGTCTTTTCATATCTTGGAATGAACTCGGAAATGCTTATATGTTGAATAAATTATGGTCGAAAGGGGAGGAATCGTTCAAAGCTTCTATCGCATCCGCCCGCCTGCTTCCAAAATTTCAGCCGACGGACATTTCCCTTCCTACAGTAAATTTGGGACTGGCATACTGGTTAATGGATCGGCATGATGACGCTGTTGAGATTCTCAACGAAGGCTTGAAACATCGAGAGCAGGTCTATGGTATAGATGATAATGAATCTTTCATGTGAGTTAAATTGGTCAGTATTGTATGCAAGATCACATGCTAACGATCGCATCGTAGTACTGGCAGGTTTCTACATGCTCTTGGCAACGTCAAGGCGTCTCAAGGGTTAACTGAGGAGAGCTTTGCTTTTCATCAGAGAGCTTTGCGACAATTTGAGAACACGATTGGGAGGAATCACCATCGAACAGGAGATACGCACGTGAAAGTTGCAGAACATCATTTACAGAAAGGGAGCCTAGAAAGCGCTGAGTAAGTCCAAACCTTGGACCGCCATCTCGTCATACTGTCATACTGACTCGTAGCACCAGCTACCATCTTGCTGAGGCTCTGCGCATATTTGGCGACAAGCCTGTCTTTCGTCCCGAGAAAGCCAGAGCATTATACAAGAAGAGTCTCCTACTCCGAGTTAAGCAGCAGGCCGAAGATGCCAACCAAGTTCTGGAACAATGCGCAGTAATGTATAACGAATTCAACCCGGAAGCCCACAAAGAGGCAAGTGACTTGGTAAGTAAGGACTTCGACGAGGCTGTCGCTTTCTGGTCGAGATAGTTGCACATTTAGATCGTGGAGAATTAGATACTCCTACAATTATTCCACTTTGACTGTACTGTCATCGTAATTTGCTGGTGTGATTGGTACTTTGGAGCCACAATTTATTTCTAACCCGCGTACTCACTGTCACATCGGTTTCATTTGTCGCGCGTCAACACGGGCCCCTTATCTGCACGCGAGAAGAACCAGGTATCATGTCAGTGTGGCCCACCCCAAGGCTTTTCTTTGGGGCTGTGGTTACAATGGGGGATGCAATTGGTTAAGCGAATGCAGTCAAGGGTCAAAATGAAGGGTGTCCTTTCGCTAAATCGCTTTTGGACCATTTGACTGTCACTCCGCGTGCCGCGTCTTTCTAATAGAACGG